AACTAGAGTCAATATTGATATCACATGTGTAGATGTTTATCAGTACCATGCCCCGTTGTTCTATCTCATTCTGTTGAATCTTGTGGAACAGCGGAGAGGCCGGAGGAAGTTGGAGGCTGAAGGCAGAGAATGAAGGCGGAGGCTAGCGATAAAAAACTCTGATAATGTTGAAGCCTTTGGTGTAAAATCTTTGGTTTTAGGTTAAAAGTTACTCTTTTCCTCTTTGGCTGAGTAACGGCGGAGGAGTCTGCAACAACTTTTTGAGGTCATCCTCTACGTCTAAGGGGATTAGGGGGAACCGGAGGAGGTTGGCGTGGGGGTCTGCCCCGGCGTGGAGGTTCTACTGGAGCCTCATCATCTGCTGTGAAAGCTGGTTTGAGGCGTTGAACTGAAACCACTTCTACTCTCTTGCCAACTTGGAGCTGAAAGGTTTTAAGGGAGCGGGCTAAAACCTTGTAGGACCTTCGTAGAGGGGGGCAAGAGGAGCAACATGTCCATCCTTGTGTATAAAAACCATTGGGCAAGATGAGAGTTCTTTAGGAATAACTTCTGGAAGAGTGTCAGCTGCAGGAGTATTATGACGAGGCAGAACAGGTTGAAAACCAGACATAGAATTTTCAAGGTTTTCATAAAACAGATTTGTTGGAGGATCTTGTACTTCTAGGAACTGGCCAGGCAGGGTTAACTCAGAACCATAAACAGCTTCAGAGGCGGATGTGGCGGAGTCTTCTCTGGGAGATGTACGTAAACCTAATAGAACCCATAGCAGGTGTTCAAACCAATTGGAGGAGGCTAGACGAGCACGTTCCCTTTGTATGGAAATGTGGACATTCCCCTTAGAAAAAAATCCTGAAAAATAGTTGGAATATTATTTTTTTGAAAATACGCAAATTCGTAAAGAAAAATCAGCCAAAGTTTTCAAATTTTAAAATGATTTTAAATGGTTTAAAATGGTCTACTTTGATTCTTAGCAACAGTATAAAATCTAAAATTATTTACAGGAAAGGGGGTGCAAAGCACTCAATGTTTTAAATGTGAAAACGGGAGAATATTTTAACAAATAAAGAAAGTTTGCTTTAAAACCGAACTTTTTGAAAAAATATCGCATTAGTTGTATTAAGGAAAATAAAGAGCTTAGAAGGGAGTATCTCATGATTGGTCTTGTTCAGTTATCTTCTTCATCAAAAGTTCTGCTATATATATTCCTTCTGTTGAATCTCTGAACTCTATTTTTCCATATTTAGTTAATTGGCAAGCTTCATCAATTGGAATATTACAAAGCAAATTATAAAATAATATACAAATATAAATATACTTCAATAACCACAGGTTATGAAAAATAAACAAACATCTCATTACATTTTATATCAACCCTATTCCTGCTGGGGGGGGGGTCAGCAGGGATAGGGTTAAGATAGTTTTAACCCTGTTTATCCTGAACCATCGGTCCTCCGGGCCTATTATAGCTAGGAGGGTTAGGATATCTTACTCTCTCAACTCTGGTATAAATTAAATTGATGTTTTCCCCACTTCAAGGAGTTTAATCTCAGTTTGTAACGGGCATTGAGCTAGTTGCTATCCGTTACAAAATTTTATCTTTCTTAAAGGGACTCTAAGCGTAATTAAAAGTGACCCTCAATGCAAAAAAAGGCAATGCGCGATTCACAACAGTAGCTTTGTCTGATTAAGTATGATGATTATATTCGAATGTGGTTTCTCTATAACTGAGACATGCTCATTCTGATTTAAGAAAATCTAGAAAAACGATCAATATCTTCCACAATATTGATGAAATAAAGTTTCTAGAGTTCCGCATTCACGCGGATTTAACGTTTCTGTTTTTATCCCAGAGAACTGCAGACTTTTGATTACAATTTGACCCATTAAACATCATTTTTAGCCTTTTTTCATAAAAACTTTTTTGTCGGCATATACATTTTGAATGAAGAGTATAAAATAAAAAAATCCGTAAGATAAAGATTGATGGTTTCATTGACGTTTATTTTGAATCTGTTGATTATAGAGGTATATCTTCATGGATTATCAGTTTATCTCTTATCTGTTAATCCTTCAAATTAAAAAGTTCATCCCTTAGAAGTTAAAAAATTTCGTTTCTGGTATTTTTTCTTTTTTCGGAAACACTTTAACTATTAATTACTACTAAATTTCTCAATATTTTTGTGAAAACTTCGCAACATTTTTGTGAAAAGATGTTTTGATCTTTCCTAGATCAACTAGGTGTAGTTTACTTGTTTCAACTATTTTATTCAAAATTGATTAAGAGAGTGATAAATGTAAATATAAAATTAAATTAGAGAACTATTTATTTGATAAATCTATATGGATCACAGAGGGAGGATAAGTAATTATCCTCCCTGTAAAGAGGGAGGATAAGTAATTATCCTCCCTGTAAATAGGGAGGATAAGTAATTATCCTCCCTGTAAATAGGGAGGATAAGTAATTATCCTCCCTGGAATTAAAAAAGGAGGGAATTTAAGGTTGGTTATTTCGTTGAACAGGAGATTAAAGATGTAAGCAGTAACATTAAGAAAGATTAAAATTGTGCTAGAATGTAGTAAACTGCCAATAAAAATAATTGTGCTGAAAACTGGCAATAAAAGTAATAAAGTGCATTCTCATATGTATTAATTTACAGTTGAATTAAAAAAGGTTTTAACACAGGAAAAAACTGCATTTTACCATTTTTTTTATCTGCGCTATATCATATCTGTATTTTATCTGCGCTATACCATATCTGTATTTTATCTGCGCTATACCATATCTGTATTTCAATATATATTGTATAGTTTTACACTTCCTACATATTCGTTTTTTTAACATTTAATTTTTTGGGCTGTATCTTTACCTATTGGACCCATTTGGAATTAAACCCGCTGATCTTCGTAGCAAACAAAGCAAATACTTGATGTATATATTAGCTAGACAATTTTTTAGAAATGGTTCACAAGACAGAACTTTTGTGCTGAGTAGCGCTAATCTTGAACGCTTGATCTCGATATCCGATGTGGGCACTTTCAATGCTTGATCCCTTCATTTCCGTTTTCCTGCAGGCTAAGATTTTCACGAGAAATTGAGAAGGAATTAAATTAATCCGCAGATCTGCAAAATCTGGAGATCAATGCTTGATCTCGAGATTCACAGAGGCCAAATGTAAAATATCTAAATCATTTCGCTGAAAAAAACCAAAAACTGGTCCCCATTAAGCTCCAGCTTAAATCTCTGAACAATAAATACAATTTCAAGTGGAAACAACCATGTTTAAGCCGCGTCTCAAATTTGAGAAGCGGCTCAAATTCTTTTAATTCGGCCTGAGATTAATATATTTAATTTTGTACAGTGAAAAACAACATTTAAAAATTTAAAATACGACCTTAAAAACTTCTTTTCAAATGGAGTACCGTCTGCAAAGCATGTATAATCATATGGTAAGGCGGTCATGCATCGTCTAAATTTTGCATGATGTGAAAAAGCAAAATTTAATGAATAATCTGATAAGTCAGAGAATGAGAAAATATTTTAGGGATCACTTGAGACATATAAAACGTTTTGATAGTGTATACTTACTGAGTTTGATCGCAATGTCAACGTTCAAAATCATCCATTTTTTTTACATTTTTCGTCGTCATTATTAATTAAATTATCTAATTTGAAAAATCGATTTTCAAAACGTAACCACCCAAATGGATGATTTTGAACATCAACTTTGCGGATCGTTTATTTATGAAAGGGGATACGAATCAATGATTATATTTAGCAATACTGGATACGGATCAAGAATTGTATATTTAGGAATACCGGATACGGATCAAGAATTGTATATTTAGGAATACTGGATACGGATCAAGAATTGTATATTTAGGAATACAGGATACAGATCAAGGATTGTATATTTAGCAATACTGGATTGGGATCAAGGAGTGTATATTTATGAATACTGGATACCGATCAAGGAGTGGATATATTTAGGAATGCTGAATACGGATCAAGGAGCGTATATTTAGGAATACTGGATACGGATCAAGGAGTGTTATAGGAATACTGGATACGGATCAAGGATTGTATATTTAGGAATACAGGATACTGATCTTGTATATTCATGAATACTGGATACGGATCAAGGATTATATATTTAGGAATACAGGATACGAATCAAGGATTGTATATTTAGGAATACTGGATACGGATCAAGGATTGTATATTAGGAATACTGGATACGGATCAAAGATTGTATATTTAGGAATGCTAGATACGGATCAAGGATTGTATGTTTAGGAATACTAGATTCGGATCAAGGATTGTATATTTAGGAATACTGGATACGGATCAAGTAGTGTATATTTAGGAATACTGAATACGGATCAAGGAGCGTATATTTAGGAATACTGTATACGGATCAAGGAGTGTATATTTAGGAATACTGGATACGGATCAAGGATTGTATATTTAGGAATACAGGATACGGATCTTGTATATTCAGGAATACTGGATACGGATCAAGGATTATATATTTAGGAATACAGGATACGAATCAAGGATTGTATATTTAGGAATACTGGATACGGATCAAGGATTTTATATTAGGAATACTGGATACGGATCAAAGATTGTATATTTAGGAATGCTAGATACGGATCAAGGATTGTATGTTTAGGAATACTAGATTCGGATCAAGGATTGTATATTTAGGAATACTGGATACGGATCAAGGCGTGTATATTTACTATTTAGGAATTGGATACGGATCAAGTAGTGTATATTTAGGAGTACTGGATACGGATCAAGGATTGTATGTTTAGGAATACTAGATTCGGATCAAGGATTGTATATTTAGGAATACTGGATACGGATCAAGGCGTGTATATTTACTATTTAGGAATACTGGATACGGATCAAGTAGTGTATATTTAGGAGTACTGGATACGGATCAAGGAGTGTATATTTAGGAATACTGGATACGGATCAAGGAGTGTATATTTAGGAATACTGGATACGGATCAAGGATCGAAGTAAGTACAGCTAAAGTTCCTTCAAGTGGATTTCTTCTGGGATTCTTCTTAATATTTGGAGTTTGTTACTCAACCAACATGATTCTATCAGAGCAGTCAGGTGATAACAAAATAAATATTAAAATGACTACTTCTATTTAAAGAGCGTCTAAAGGGTACACTTCTAAGTTTCAATTAAGATTTCTTAATTTATTTATATTCAAATGAAAAACATAAAGGGAAAGCTTGAACTTGGAAAATGCATTGTTCAGCCGTTTTGTAATATTTTTTTATCATTATTGTGTTTGTATGGTACAGCCACAGGGTGTCCCACGAAACATAATAGTTGATAAATAGTTTTAAATGTCTTCTTCCATAATTTGTAAAGTTGTTTAATACCAAAGAGAATAATAAAAAATATTGTATGGGAGTCACGCTATAATAAAATTGATTTTAAAGTAAAATTTATTCAAGTAAAAGATTTTTAAAATCAAAATAAACTGCAAAGCGTCTATGATATGTAATACTGTACATGGAAGAAGACATACAAAAATATTCAAAGACTTTCATGTTTCGTGGGACACCCTGTATCATCCTTTTAATGTTTAGGGGGAGTGGGATTCAGTTGTGTTCAATACGCCGGAAAATTCCAAAACAGAGAGAGGGGGAGAGAAATTTGTAGATCCAGAAAAATAATTAATTTAGTATTTATTTAGGGTTAGGTTAGATTAAGACACTTTCTGGGCCGAGCGCTAAGACCCCACCAGCTGCCAGTCTTTACGCAGGCATTCTCAGATATTATTTTTCTGGATCTACAAAATTCATTCCCCCTCTCTCTGTTTTGGAATTTTCGGGGCATTGAACACAACATAAATCCCACTCTGCCTAATTTTTAATGCTAAAAATGACCGTTTATAATATTTAATGTGTTGTCTTTATTTATAATGATATGGAGTATATCGTCGTTTTCAGACCATAGCAATTTTCTATATTGTTTCTGAAGCAATAATCCGCAAGTCTTTTTATAGAGAAAATACAGTTGGAAATAATCAGTTTTCAAAGATAAAAACATGAATTTCGAATTAACTTTTGATCTCAAAATTCGCGTTTTTAATTTAGGGTCACTTAACTGAATTAATTAAACAAGCGTTTATCAGAAATAAAAAAGCAAAGTTTATAAAATGTTTATACACGGCAAAAATTATATTAGATCAAAAATTTGTCTCTTCTTAATCATGCATTTTACTGCTGAATGCGAAAAATGTATAAATTCAATTTTCGCAGATTAAAGCTCTGGGTTGCAGAGCAAGTCTTGATGAAATTCAAGAACTGGTTTTACCTAGTGGTTTTAATTTTGAAACTTTTAGTTAAACTTTTTTTGGTCGAAAATATAATTTTTTTTTACAATCCATTTTTTGCAGATTATATCCGCGGCAATGTGTTCCTGTACATAATGCTGAAGTACATACTTGGTACAAGCTACCAACTTTTTGTACCTCTCTGGGTACTCATAGCTAGGTAGGTTTATGTACATTCTACTGTAGTGAAGTACAAACTTGGTACAAGCTATCAACTTTTTGTACCTCTCTGGGTTCTCATCGACAGGTAGGTTTATGTACATTGTAGTGCAGTGAAGTACATGGTACAAGCTAAAGTTAAGTATTTTTTCATATAAAACTATATATAAAAAGATATTTTGTTTGGTATGCAATTTTCAACCATCTTTTTTCTAACAAAGGTTTGAACTGTAACTGTGTGATTCTAAATTAAACTGTAACTGTGTGATTCTAAATTAAACTGTAACTGTGTGATTCTAAATTAAACTGTAACTGTGTGATTCTAAATATATCTCTTTAAATGAAGATTCCCTTTGAATAACATCTTGACAGTTATCTAATCATAAATTCGCAGATTTCTTTTTCTTGGAAGAAACATTTTAATAAATTTTAAAAATCTTTTAGAGACGACATCCGTGGAACCGTTGTTGCATTGTACAGGTATGAAAAATGTTAAAAATTTTACAAAATCTAAAATTTTTGGGAGACAACTTTTTGAAATTCTGAGCATCCAGAAACCTTCCCCTGAGGTTGTATGAGGTTCCAATCGGGCCCAATCTGAGCTGGGAACTTTTGAATGGTGGATATCAGAATTAATGCTTGATCCACTCTTTTTCTTAATCTCCAGATTAACTATGGCTTGTTCTCCTCATGTTATTAATCTCCAGATTAATTAAGCGATCGGGATTAAGGATATCCCATTCTAAAGTTTTCGGCTCAGTTCAACCGTTTTGAGGTTTATTGGAAATAAACAAACAGACAATTAAGCAATTAAGCAAAGTATTTAAATACAGGGTGTCCCAATAAACATGGGAAATCAGTGACGACTTTTTTATCGTCTTTGATCCATTACAGCATTTGTTCATGAATACAATTATTGCAGTATTCCATCTTAATTATCTAATATCGAAAACGCCTGGTCTTGAGATTTTAAAATGTTGTCTACCATCTTTCTATCTTCAAAATTTTACAAATTTAAATTTATTTAATAAATCTTAATTGTCTTAATATTTAATATCGTCGTCAATTTTTAAGATACAAGAAAGGTAGACCACTTTGTAAAAAGCTCGTCTGACTTACAGCCTCGTTTTTTTTACTTTCTTTGCCATGCATTGATTATCAGAAATCAAAGACGACTCTCAAGTCGTCTCTCAATTCTCATGTTTATTGGGACACTCTGTATATGAACCGAGTTAAATTTATATGAACCGATCTGGAAAATTTCGTGTGAGCTACTCATAATCTCGATTTATTGATCTCGATAACCACTGTGGGCACTTTTATTTTGAGGATTAATACAATTATTCTTTTCATTTGTGTATTCCTCCATGTTATAATATTGAACAATCTGCAGATTAATAAATGATCGAGATTAAGCATTGATCTCAAAATCCGCTTTACAATTATACAAAGCTAAAATTTTTGTTTAAACATGAAATAAATAGAACTAAAACATTAAGTAACAAAAAATTTATTTCAAGGACGACATTTAAAAAGTGGTTTCCTTGTTTTCTTAAATATTGTACATATTGCAGGAAAGGAGGAACTACCCAGTCTAAATCTGTGGATTTAACAGCTGAACAGATGCAAAGAGAGCTGGGACTAGGAGTCTGCACTGGATAGTTATACTCTGATCCCGTTAAAGGGAGTTGTTCGCAAAAAAGATTCGTGCATTGCTCAGAATTGAGATTTTCGATAAAATAAATAATCATTTATAAAATTGTATAAGGCCAATGCAAAATTTTGCATCCAGAAAATGCTAGGTTTCTGTTTGGCGTGAATGCTTGAAGAAAATTTTATGATGTCAACATTTTCTTTTTACTTAAAAAAACTATTTAATCAACCGATGATTTCGTAAATCATATTTTTTTTTATAAAAACAACGCAGTTTCGTTAATGAAGGTTTGTCATTTTTGGCTTTGGTCGACCGTTAACGATCGTTAACGATCGTTAACAACCTACCTGTACATTTTTTCGAAAAGTGGTCACTTAAGTGAAAAGTACATGCAAGACGACATTCATAAACTTCTCTTCCTTAAAAATTAAAAACTAAAATTTTCTTCAGGAACAGTTTAAAAATTGTTCAATAAAGCATATCGTCCTTTCGTTTTCGTTTTTCGAAAGTTCATAATTTTTTAATTCTTCGTTTAATTCAAAAACAAAGGTTCGATAGTTAAAAAATCTAAAACAGAACAAATAACTATCTTATTTTCTTTCATCTTAAAATCCATATCTGTAGGATAAATCTGTAGGATAAATAATGATTGAATGAAAAAAATACAATTTTTATGTAAATATCATTTTTTGACTTTCCTTCATTCATGAAACTTAAAACTGTTTATTTCTTTTTCAAATCATTTTATAGCACAAAAGAATATATTTAAGGAGTTGTAAGCGTAATTTTAAGTGATCTCCATTTTGAGTTGGCAAGTTCCGATACACAACGGTACCCTTAAAAGCTTTGACAAGAATGAATTTATAAATATCAATGTTCATAAATTAAAAAACTGATTTGTTGAAACTTTGGCGGGGCGTCGGTGATTAGATGATTATTTAATTGGCTCCTCTACTCCATAACACATAAGCTCAATAAATAGATTTATTTCAAACCTATAAAATTCAGTTTTAGTGGAAAAACATATTAATATGACATTGTTTGCTGTTTAATAAATTAAATATTGGTCTAACATTGTTTACTGTTTAATACAATAAATATAAGTAAAACATTGTTTTATTGTTTAATAAAATGAACTTCCTAATTTGATGTGTTAGGGGGTAATTAAGGAGTGATTTACTATGAATTACAAAGTTATTTGTGAATTTAATTATTCACTAGTACAGAAATTGCTGGAGTATTGGTTTGGTTTGGACTTCTTCCGAGAGGAGGGGTTGGTAAAGACGACATTGAGTGGAGGTGCTTAGAAGGTCGATTTCTCTTTAAAAGAGACTTGTGCACTTCTACTGCAGGAAAACAAATAGGAATTATCAGAATGAAACATTTTTAAGCGACATATTGATCAAATATAGGTTTAAGGGTAACATAACTTGTAGAAATTATTGAAATCTTATTTGTTTTTAATAAAAACTTCTTTTACTCATGCTTAAAATCAAACCTGGATGAGCTACAAGGTCACAAAGACGTAACAGTAATATCGTTATATTGACCTTCTCATCTGTCTAGTTCAGTGTTTAAAGTGTGCCATATTTCATTTAAAATAACGTCTGTAGTAGAGACTAGAGAGTGCCTACTGTAATGCATCCATGTTCATCTCCCCATGGTCATTGAACCATTCAAAGAAATCGTTATAGCCATTAAAAGCAATGTACAAAATAAATATAGATTGTTTGATAGTTTTAAAGAAAGACAACATTTGCGAAGGGATGAACTGATCAAACTGCCACCATAAACCTGCAGGCTGCACAAACCATATGCAAAAAAAAACAAAATAACATTATCAAAAAAAAAATAAAAAAAGGAAGACGACAGTTGAAATCTTCAAAGTATAAGTGAAATTCAGTTATAAGTTTTTTATCTTATATCTTTTAAAAATGCATCCTTTTCTTCCTGAGGCATATTGTCAAAATGCTTCATATATTTCCCAAATAATTTGAATAGTATGTTTTTAGTTTTCAAAATAGAACACACAGACTGCTTATCTGCTTTCGTACGGGGGGGGGGGGCTAAGTAGGCCTATAGCTGTACCGGCACGACATGCTGCATTTCTAGTAAAGGTTTTTGACTGCTATCTAACAGCCACTTGTTGCATACCCATTCAGGGTTCAAGTTTTACAAGTTTTAAAGAAATACTCTAACTTTTTACATAAAAAATAAAATTTATGAGTTTGGTTTATTTTTGAAGGTTTTGTTTTTCGTATCCAAAGGATCTTTAAATATTCTTGAATACACCTACGTCTGTTTATTGATCGTTTATTGATTCAGTGGAACATGCAGGGGAAAATATCGTATACTCTAGTCTGTAATAGATGTCTACTCATATATCTCTGTTAATTTCTACAACATTATTTCACGAAATTTTGTAAAAATTACGCGAAAATAGCAAAACTTCGATTTAACGAAATTACGCCATAATTTCGCGTAATTCCTACAAAAGCAATTTCGCGAAATGTTGCAATAATTACGCCTAATTAGCGAAAACTCCATACAAACCAGCCTACAGGAAAACATTTTAACCTTCCTGGACATGAACTATAACCATCTAAAAGTTAGCGTTCTAGAGAAGGTTTGGGACCTTGTGAGAATTGTTTACTTTAAGTACGAGAATCTAAATGCATCAGAGATTTTATGACTGATCTCACAGGAAAAATAGTTTTTATTTAATTGTAAACTGTAAATCAGTATTTTAAAGAAAAAATATTATTTTTTAATTCCAATTGTTTAAAAGGTTTAAATACCCCTCCTTAGAAAAGCCGCCCCCCCTGATTTACTTATAAGTTCGTTAATTAGATCGACCCCCACTAGCCCCACCACCACTTTAAATGTTATACATATAAACTGGTTTGTTTTTAATCTTCATTCGACAGAAACAAACTCAAGGAATAATAATTGTCTTAAAACGTTTTTTTCAAAAGTGAATATTTACAAATTATCTTTTTTTTTCCATCTCATGATCTGAATTCGTTTTCCTTTTGTCCATTTGACAACCCATTTAAATTTTTTTAAATAATCTTTTTTGTAAGTTTATTTTCTTGTGGGTTTAACATTGATTTTGATGGTTATTATATCGTTAGAACTGACCAGGGTCAATCTAGACCGAATTATATTTTCAATAAAATGTCTACTTTTTTCTCTATAGAGGTTTGGTCCATATCCTTACACATATTTTCCTGCTATATTCATTTCTGAGAATTAACATGTACTCTACAAATTACGGAATGGTTTCATATTACGTAATTTCGCGTAATTACAACTTAATTACGCAAAACTAGACTTTCTTTCATATACGTAATTAGCATGTAATTTCGTGTAATGCTCCTCCGTAAGTGAAAGAAAGTGTTACGCGAAATTACGCGTAATTATGTGTAACAAAATTACGACTGGAAAGTGGAAACCCTATTCACACTTAATGTTTTTTGGAGGGGGGGGGGGCATTCGAAAATTCTATTGTCTGACAAGGCATTGCAACCCCTTTTTCTTGTATAATGATTTTAGTGATAATGGCTTTTTTTAATGGTCACAATATTTAATTTCTCTCTTTCTGTAAAACTAATAATTTCGCAGATTGTTCTATTATTAGTGATGGATTTAGTAATTTGGGGGAGGGGGCGGGGGAAGGGTCGTTTTTAAAAGACAATTTTTCACTGTTAGTATTCTAAAAAATTTAATCACCTTTATGGGTTTATGAGATCTATCACAAAATGTGGGCCCTCTTAGTATTGGTTTTGCCGTTTTATTATTTACACAAAATAACAGACATACATCTACAAATAAGCTATAAAATGTTCATTGTACAATGCACAGGTATTCCACAAAACATGATACTTGGGGAATTATAATTTTTAATGTCTTCTTACATATTTTGTTCAGTTCTTTGATGCCAAACAGAATAACAAAAAAAGATCACAAAAAAATTTCTTTATTTCATAAATACAAAATAGGAAAATTGTTCACTAACTGTCATGTTTATGAATATATATGAATAGTTTAAATTTAACCCTATTTCTGCATTACACATGATTAGGTTTTGATTAACATATTTAGACTTTCACAAATATATGAAAATCATTTTTATATTATTTAAGTAGTTAAGTCAGGGTTTTGCTCAATATTTTTACGAATCTTTATATTTTTAGGAAGGAAGAAATCAAGATGGGTCCTAAACAAGCGCAGCTTTGTATGGGACTACTTTTCAGTCACTGTAGAGTGTAGAAGTACTGTAATAGTAGTTTGGATAATTCTACCCATATTATTTGCAAAATATCTAAATTTTTATTCCTTGTTTTTTTTAAGCGTTATCATATTTCAAAAATGTTTTATCTTTTCATCCTAATATCTAAATCTTATTTAAATGTTCGATTCACATCTAATTTTTTTTATTTGAAATTGAGTAAATTTAATAGTACTTTGCCAGCCATCTCATGTCTTTATTATGTAGAAGCTTAATGATGGAAGTTTAGGTTAAGCATAATATGTATTATACTTTTGAAACTATAGAAAAATTTAATGATTTAATAAATGGAATTATTTCGAATTTTGATATTTATTACACTAGAAAATCTTGTCTTTGCGCAATATTGCGCTTATTTTTTTGCGCAAAAACTGCGCAATCTTCATTGCGAATTGTGAATGGCAAATAGTGCAAAGCTACGCAATAAAAAGGTTGTTTTTGCACATTATTGGGCTTGATTTCATTGTGCAAAATTACCCAATCTTCAATGCGAACATGTCATACGCAACATGTGCAATAGCGCAAAAAAACTTTGGGTGAAATTTAGCGCAACAAATTGCAAAGAAAAATGCCATTGTGTGGTAACCCTATGTTGAGTAGAAAGAAGACTGTAGATTAGTTCTTTTTTTGAAATAGTCCTATAAACATAGCACACAGCTCTGTACACAGACAAATTTTACATAAAATGCAGCTTTCCAAGTTAAAGGGTAGTCTAATTGCTCTCTTTTCAACACACAAAAGATTGCTTAAATGTCTCCTTCCTGTACAGTAGTAGTATGGGGCTTTAATACAATTTTAAAAACCCATGAATAAGAAAATTTTAAATCTGCAAACAAATTTTATTAAGATAAGGATATTAACATTACAGTAACAACTTATTTGAAAAGATTAAATAGTTAAAAATATTTATAGAGATGGATATGTGTTGATATAGTTGATTAAGAAGTAAGCTGTATGTTTTTTGATCATTTATTTGATAGTTAATACAACATTTTATCCAGTTCTCTTCTTTTTATAAAAGGAGAACACCAGCTCGGAACAAAATACTAATAGTAGTAAATAAATTAGTAAACAGTAAAACTAAATTTGTTTGTTTTTATGCAAATTTTACTAAATAAAATTCTATTTTATTGTTCCTAAAGCTGATGTTACTAGACCAAAACCAAGGATAATGAATGCAGCTGCTGTATGTTCAAAATTTAGCTTGTCCTAAATCAGTGTATTCTGTATACAAGTGATTCTTAAATCATGGAGCTTCTAGTCATACCAATGTGTTGTCTTCTTCTTCCCACTGCTTGACTAGATTCCATTTGTCAAGATACTCTCCAAGTTTTGCCTTAATATTTTTAAACATGACTAAGATAAAAAAGAAGAATATTGTTAAGCTAATATTTTAGTTACTGTACTTTATTGTAAACATGATAATTTACATTTCCAAAAGCACATGATGCTAGGGTACCAAACAATAAATTTAGCTTGATCATTTCTTAAGCTTTGACTATTATTGAATATCTATGCTTATAGTCATCAAAACTGCTGAACCTATGAGATCTAATTTGTTTTCGATACAAACCTAGAAATAACTGTAAATTTTTACTTAAATAGTATTACTAGAAAAAGAAAGGAGAACAGTGTTTGAAATTCCTTTCCTTGCATCACATGCATATTTAATGAAGTAATAACTATCAACCTGATGAAAGATCAAGATATGACTGTTGAGAAGCTCTTGCCATTTAGAATTCTTCTGATATAACCAACACAAGAATGATTGATAAACTGGTTCCTAATTATTTAAAAGGAAACAATAAAAAGGAATGGAAAGCTTTTCACAAATCCCAATCTGGTATCTGGTATCTCATCTAGTAAACCTTTGATATTTTAAACTTGGAATTCTGGTAGATCAATTGGTTTAAAATTAAAGGTCTATGACATAAATATTAAGGTCTGTGGCAAAATTTGTAGTTCCTTTGTGTATGTAATAAAAAGTTCCAATTTTACAAGAACTGTTAAATACCAGAATGAATATTTTTAAGAATTTAATGATTACGTAATAACTGAAATGATAAATATGTTATGTAATGAGTTCTGATCAATGTCGCCTATTTCATAATTTTGCATATTTTTCCTTTTTCTTTTGTAAAACTATATACTCATAATATTTAAACAAATTAAACTATAACATTAACACAGAGTGTCCCATATCATAATAAATTATCTCCAAGCTTTAACTCCAGAATATGCACATAATGCTCAAAAAATCTAGTATTATTTACATACAAATTCTTATTTTAGCCTGATAAAATGTTTAGAAATGATTCTTTTAAATTTATTTAATTTAAATTTATTTTATTTTAATTCTCTGATTAATCCTGAAAATCTTAATTTTAAGCAATTAACGATCTAATATGATGTAGGACACCCTGTATATTTGTATCTGTGTGTGTGAATAAATTTTTATAAAAATAATTTAGTAAATAATATGAAGGCTAATTTTATTAAAATGAATCATTCATATGACAAAAATTACAAATACATTAATTGCTTTACAATCCATTTATGAATAAATTAGATAATACCTTGCTATAGTGGAAAGGATGCATTGATTTCTCCCAAACAAATATTGGGTTATTTAACAGAAATTCTATTAAATCCTGATTAAAAAATAAACAAGATAATGGATGATGTTCTTTAATTTCTTTATTGAGGGCTGTGCTTAATCTAAATTAAAGTTGAATATTAAAATTCTTCCTAGAAAATCATACCATGGATAATATATTTTGTATTTAATCTTTTGTTGTGGTTGCAATGTTAAAATATTTGAACACATTATTCATTTTCGAGACAAAATTGTTTCTTTACAGTTGACCAAATTTTCATGCTGTAAACATCATTAATTGAAGCAAATGTGATTTTAAAAATTCTTTAAAAAAGACCTCTCTGAATTTGCAACCAAGTTAAAGAAAAAGTTAGAGTCATACCTTATCAAAGAAAGTGACTAAATTTTCTTTAGAAGTAATATCTGTAACTAGTTGCATCTAGACAAATAGGAAAGGTACTGTACACACTGTTTATTTCAAGAACTAAACCATAAGTTTGTAGCTAATTAACATTTTTAAATCAATAGTATTGATTTTTTCAGAGCCCGAATAAATATTTCTGATTTATTAATGTTTCCTAACAATTGAATCATTACAATTTTGTTGAAAATACTTGAGAGTTAAGGGTGCCTTGACACTGAATATTAAAAATTTAAAACTGTGTAAACAGAAAAATAGTAGATACTTTAGATTTATATCAGAATTATATTTAAACAGGAATAATTTTAACTTACAGGAACTAATTTAATTTTTTCATTGCACATGTGAAAAGATTAAAAGAATTAATACAATTATATTTACCCATGAAGCAACAAACACAAGGGTGTCAGCGATTTTAACATGATCTGAATTGTTTGAATCCTTCAGTATAAGCCCCAAATTGGCATCTAATTGCTTTCATGTTGCAATAAACATGCAATCTGGCTTTCTCAGAATACCAAAAATTTTAGAATCTCAAAATTTTTATTTTTGTTGACTTTTAAACTCAAACTTTTCTCAAGCTGCATTGAATCAATATTCTTTAACTTTGGGATATGTTTCAAACTTTTATTCACAAAACAACTATTTATCTAAATATTTAAAAATACAATGTTAAACACTGTTTTATCAGTTTCAATTTTTTTTCTTTTTAGTTCCCAGAAACTGTCATTACTCATTATTTCACAATTTAATATTCTATTTTCATATGATGATACAAAACTTTGTCTAACTTTAAACTTTAAGGCCAAAATTTGATAAACTTTTTCTGAGATTTGTCATGAGATTTTTTCTTTAGGATTTATGAACTCTCAAAAATGTCTGTAAAGAACTTCATTTAAAATTCCATCCTTATTTTATACATTAAGACTGATTTCAGGCCTGATTGCATGGAAAATGACAACAATACCGCCATTTGGTAGGATAAGGTTCTAAAACATAAAAAAGTTAATTAAATTACAAAATTCATGTGATTACTTACTCACCATTTGCCTCCTTGCAATTTCAGCTGCTGTATCAGGGGGAATTTCATAAGGTTGTGATAATAATATTTCTCTGAAATTATTCAAATTGTTGTAATATTATATCTTTGATGACATCCTCAAAGATTTTATCAGAGTTGGGATTTTGAAATAAAGCCAGATCTTTATAATGTATCCGGTTTTCCGTTTATCTGGCTCTACACTATGTTTCTAGTTTGCTGATTTCTGATTTCTGATCCCTGATTTTAATTTTACAAGATACATTTTTTATGATATAATAGGTTTACTTTTAACATCCAGATTAATTTTAATACCTAAGATTGCAAGAAAAGGCAAATGTAAATAGCGTAGATGCTAATGCCCAGGTTAGTATTATTATACTTCCAGAAAATACTAAAACAGATAAATTTAGATTTTAAGTAGAATTTAAAATAAACAGTAACAGCTTTGTTTTACAGATTTAGTGACAGTGATATTAGATATTGCACATTAGTGCTTACTTATTGATAAGTTCAAGCCTCAGGCCTTACTTCGCTTTTTATTGAATAGAAACCAGTCAGGCATACTCTCTGCATTCAATAAAGATATTGGTAGTAGTAACACAAGTATTCCATCAGGCTAGATAAAAAAGAGTTTATTGAGTTTTCAGTAGAACTAGGTAGAGGGAACCCTACTGATTAGGTGAGAATATGGCAAGTGCTTCCAAATTACGGACACAAATAACCAGAATGTGGAAGACGATATTTTCCACCTCTAGAAGTCTGGAGAGCCGTCAAAGCCAAACCAAATATATTCAGATTTATTGGCAGATGCAGAACTCCAACCTTTAAGTCCGCGAGGTGGGGAAGACTTCACTGCAGATTTTACTTTTGTAATGACCACTTTTTTAACAATTTTCAATTAAATTAGTATTTATTTTGGGTTAGGTTAGGTTAAGACACTTTCTGGGCCGAGCGCTTCGGCCATAGGTTAGGTTAAGTTATACCACTTTCTGGGCCAAGGGCTGCGGCTAGGATTCAATCTCGATCTACTAATGTCATCCCCCCCTTAATCATGCTTTTAATTAAGCGCAGCTGTGAAGTCTTCCCCACCTCGCACACTCGAAGGTTGGAGTTCAGCGTCTGCCAGATTTATTCATTTGATTCTCTCAGTTGTTTTGATCTTGATATTCAGTGGCGTAAATATGGGGGGTTATTGGGGTTATTTACCCCCCCTAGAATCCTGGGGGTAAACCCTAGAATCCTGGGGGTAAATACCCCCCCCTAGAATTCTAGGGGTAATTACCCCTGAACATATTTTCAGGCCCTGAATAGCAGGGGTTACTCCATTTGCTGCCTCTACAAGTAACAGTTCCAGTTGCCTTGACCCCTTTCCTTCAAAAAAAAATACATTCCCTATTCATTAGTCTGCACTTGTGTAAAGACGACTATTTTCATGATAGTAAAAGTTTTTGCGGCATTTTGCAGATGCTTCTTAAACTTTTAGTTCGGAATCGGTTACTTCAGCAAAGTTCACTCACACACAACTCGTCATAATAAAAAATATATATATTATGAGTTAAGTTCCTAAAATACGATTGGCATTTACAAAAGGGTAAGGTTAGGTCAAAAAAGTTTTCTTGGAGAAGCGGACCTTGGGTTTTTATAGTAATGTTCTATATGAATGAATTAACATATTGCTAAACAAACCAAATTACTTATGAACTCACACAAATCTAATTATAACTCGATTCACAAGACAAATGCTTCATTTATACAAAAAATTGATATCAAATGATTATTATGTAGAGTGTAGAATAAATGAGAAACAAGAATCTCTAAAAGAAAACCACTTTTATCCTCCTCCTCTTCGTACTGTAGATCTTCATTGACTAACTCTTGTTTCTGTACAGGTTGACCTGCTACAGTGAAACCCTTAAGAACGAATACAAAGGAAGAATTTATCAAATGTTGTCTTGACAATTTTTCAATGAGTTTTATAATATATTACGTAAATTTGAGTATTTGCAAAAATAAATAAATAGCCGTGAATATGCGGGAACAGTTTTAAAGAGTTCCATATAATCATTTAATTAAAAAACTAAATATCTGCATCATTCCATTATATGAAAGTGAAGAATACAACATTTGATGAATTCTATCAATGTATTCATTATAAAGGGTTTCACTGTAGGTCAGGAATCCCTAGTTCTCCCAAATACCAGGTGAATTTTCCATTAGAATTCCTGGTTTCCTTCGGGCCCTTGACGTCAGGTTGAAAATAGATTCAACCCACTAGAATATATACAACTTAAAATAGGGATAAATATTTTATCCCTCATTATTCACCAAAAAAGATCAGCTTCATTCATATGTAACAGTAACTTATCCTATATTTCAGCAAGGCTTCTGTTGGGAGTTGTAATAAAATAAAATATAATAAAACTATAAAATTGATGGAAAATGGTATAATATTGGCCAGATTTTTTTTCAGTCATAAATCTTATGCCACAACTTTGTATGCAGATGTCAAACCACCAATTGACAATCATAAGGATGAAGTTTTGAAAGTTTGGTTAAAACAATTTTAAATTTTGTTGACTACTGCGTTCTTTCCCAACCCATATATTTCCTTCCTGGTTCCTTCCAGACACTTCATCACAACTTTTTCCACTTACCCCACTTGAATATTGTCTCATGGTGCCATTCTTTCTCCTTGAGTGACTTTCATTAAGCCTCCCAAATGTCCCTTTTCCCCTATTTAAAAAAATTCCCGTACTTTGACAACAAATATAAACAATGGCAACTTCCGGAATGTGCAATTTATAAGCGGCATCTTCCCAAAGATTAATTTCAGCCTTATAAAGGCACTGCAGGTAGGGCTGGGCACATTCCAACTTTTTTGAAATGGTTCAGTTCTGTTCTAGAATGAGGGCCTTCAGCTAAATCGTTCTGTTCTCGTTCCTCTTTTATCGTTTGGTTCTCATTCCTTTCCGTTCCATTCTTGGAGTTCTTAGTTGAAGAATGGTTGCATCCCTCTTGTTCTGTTCTTATTCAAGAACGTTTCCATCCCACGTTTCTTTCTTAGTAACGAACAATTACATCCAAGACAAAAGTTTTATAGAAAAGAGTTGTTCAAAAAGTAAAAATATTATGATTTTTTAATAAAAAGTTCCTTATAGCCGTAAATAATACTTTAAATTATATATTTTGAATTTAGTGTTAAAAGAATAAGCTTAGATAATTTCTGGGCTGAGCAATGTATAATTTTGTGAGAGAGAGAGGAGAGGGGCGGGAGTGTTAATATCCTTGATATGTACATTGTACAGTACAATATACAGAAGTTAAACTGAAACCTGCTGTTTAATCTGAGTGTTTTCAGTTTAGCAGAGACAGGGGAAGGGGGGGGATGGTGGGTTTTAAGTGGGGGGAGGGGGGTCAGGTGATTAAAGAAAAAAATCTTTAATTATTTCTAGAGGATTTAGAACACATTAGTCATTTAAACTGCTTTCCCAACTCAAAACAAGTTCTTGATAATAAGAACGCGTTAACAATTTTAACCATTCTGTTCAAGCTATTCCTGTTCTGTTCCCTTCTGTTCTTTTACTAATCGTTCCAATATTTTTAAGAACGCATTCTAATTGTTCATTTTTTTGGAACGATGGGATCATTCTTGATCGTTCCGTAGTTCTCGGGAAAGAACGATTGTTCCACCAGGAACGCCCCCAGCCCTAACTGCAGGTAAGGATGATAATGTTTTCATTTTTTTTAACGATCATTTCACTCTGAAAAGAAGACAAAAAAACGAAAAAGTTTTAGCTCCCTCACAACTTTTTAACTTCATGTAAGACAACATTCAATAAAGTGTTATGTAATTTTTTTTCAAAAACGATCGTTTTTCTAAAAGAACAGTTTTAATAAAGTTCCTCGTTTTTTTAATGACAACCCTTTATTAATGATTGTTAATGACAACCCTTTGTTAACAATTGTTAACATATCTATAAATGACAATAATTTTTTTTTTAAACTAAGGTTTTTTTTCAAAAAAGATTGTTTTTAAAAAACAATCATATGATTGCTGATAGTTTTTATAAAAAAATCATAATTCGTTTTCTAAAAGTTGAAAATGAGTGGGTTGTTTATAGTAGCAATGGTTTTTCTCCAAAAACAATTAACCCTATCTCTGCTGGGGTACTTGAAAACCAGGATACGCTGGGGGGGGGGGGTCAATTTGACCCCCCTCTCTAAATCCTATGTTTGATGTCCAAATATGACAAATGATACATCATTAGAAAGCTCTTGTGCTCTACTTTTAGAATCTGCAAAAAAATTTGCAAATTTGCCAGAAAATTTCAACAGCCTCAGACCAATACTTTTTGAGTTATGTAAAAAAAACTACAGGGGGGTCAAATGGACCCCCCCCCCAGCAGGAATAGGGTTAACAACCCTAACTGCTGCTATAACAGGCTAAGGGAGCCAAGATATGTGGCAAGGGCAGACTTGAGAAGTTGCCCCCTGGGAAAATGCCTTTGGGAAAGTACCTCATATCAGCTAAACAACCTTTGGGATTAGGTTGATCACATAGAAATAAAAGATCTGATGATTAAATTCCCCTCTGAGAATCAATCTGGATGGGTTTTGTGAACTAAAATTACTTGGCTGAGTTTTTACAAAAATATTCACCTAACTCAATGAACCTATCCACTTTTGAAAGTATAAAAAATTAAAGCAAAAATTAGAGTTGTAGGGCAAACCTGTTGGATGGTAGATTACCTGTTTGAAGCCCATATATTGCACCACTTTGGAGACAACCAGTAAAGTAACACATACACAAGTCAAACTAAATTTTGTTCATTCTTTAAATAAGCTCTTCTCAATGAGTTAGTAAAAAGGTTACCTGATTAGAATTGCTATCCATGTAAGCAAGTCAAAAATCTGAATTAATGTAAAAAGTACTCAAAATTGAAACAAGATCAAAATACACTTGTTGTTCAACTAGGAAAAAAATATACATTTTTGTCTAATTCAAACAACGTTTTCAACATCTTAATTAGTTCAGCCTTTTCAAATGAATGCTTGATTGATAAAATTTACTTTTCACTAAATGCAGAATCTGTATCTAAGCCCTATTCAGAAAAGAACCAGGAATGGAGGATGCCGTGATCACCCTACCTTGAACTAATAGGTGAACTGGATCCACATCTAATCATTGATTCTTCAAGCAGAAGAAGATATAAAGCATCTTTTAATCACCTCCTTTTTAGCCATATTTAACCCTGTTTGATGTAAAGCATATTTAACCCTTTTTTATTATATAACTTACAGTTTTATCTGAAAGTTTTAAGCAAGAAAGACATGTTGCAATACCATTAATCATAAATTGTAAAATGTATCATGAAACTGTTATATTTCGCCCCAAAATACTGGAAAAGATATTTAATCAGAGGCCTTTTACAGACCAAATTAACATGGTATTTTTGAATACAAATCTAATTCTTTTCTCTACAATTTAAGTGTAAAAGGTTTGAAAAATATCAGATAATACTGTACATTCTTTAACTTACTGTATTTACTATATACGGGAACAGTGTACAGGGCTGCTGTACCCTGATCTCATCATTTAACCTCCCTTATACATCAACAATATAAAGCCCTGTTCAGGCCCTGAGGATTATATTGTTGTATCCTAACCATAGTTGCCTGGTTTATTGGAGAAGAATGAATTGTACCGTTGTACAGAATCTTATTTTAACTGGAGAAGGAAGAGAGGGTGTTTTCTATTCCACCTGTGAGCTCAACCCTGTACTGTTACTGCTCTAATGTACACTGTACTTGTAATCTCTAATGATTCTCAACTCTAATGTATTCAGGATTTGAAGTAGTTCTAAGAAGTTGAGATGGAGATATACCTGGAAAACATTGTTCTTAACCCTACACTAACCCTGGAGTAAGAGCTGATATACTCTTAAGCCTGGAGTACCCTGAAACCAGTGACGTCACTCGACAAGTCCCATTAGGTCGAGATAGGTCAGGTTAGGTAAAGTAACCTAACTGGGCTCGTACTGGTCTTAACCTGACCAATCCACTTAGGTTGGATTTGGTCGAGATTGGTTGAGTTAAGTCAGGTGACCTAACTGGATTGGGTTGCATTAGGTCAGACTTGGTTGCTTTACCTAACTGGACCTAACTGGTCCTTACTGTTCATAACTTGACCCTTAGGTCAGATTAGGTCTTGTGTGGTTGGATTACCAAACTGGTCATAACTGGTCACAACCTAAACAGTGCCCTTAAGTCTGATTTAGGTCTTATTAGGTCGGATTAACACCTTCAAAGTTTTGCCACTAGATGTCTCTATACCTGAAATTTAAATAAAAGCCACTTTTAAAATATTAAAATTTTTTTTCCAAAGAATTGATATGTAAGATATAATTTGAAAAAATAACATTTTTGAAAATTTGGATTTTTACGGAATTAATTGATGTTTTCGGAATAATCAATGTCAGTAAATTGAGAATTTTGTGATAAATAGAAGTTCTTTTATACAGCATCTGTAGCAGGTATAGGTTAGTATGAATTGATGAATGAATTGTATTTGGATGATGAAATTGAATGTATGGACCTCAGGGGGGGGGGGGTTGAATGGTGCTTAGTGGGGGAGGATTAGCAACAATTATTCACAGGAGGGTGGTCATTATGTGATATGAGGAGGGGAGGCAGGGGTAGCTCCTAGTGGGGTGGGGGTAGGGGTAGCAACAACAGGTCAGTCATGATGTAAATGTAATACCAGGGGGGGAAGGTTAAAGTGTAGCAGTACGAATAGAATAAATTAGGCTCTGTTCAGTGGTTAAATGTAGGATAAATAAATGACTAGATTGGTCATTTGGATGTCAAATCTTTGGTCCTTTGGACGTCAAAACTTTGGTCATTTGGATGTTAAAAGTTTGGTCTTTTGGAAGTCAAAAGTTTGGTCATTTGGAGGTCCAAAGTGACATCATTTTGACTTCAAAAATTAGGTCGTGAGGACATAAGAATCCTTGCATTAATCGTCCTCAACACCTAAAATACAATGTCCCCAGACGTCCCACTGGTAATTATTGATGTCCTTATGACATCCTTAGGATGACCTTAGGACGACCTCTGGTTTCTAGGGTAAAGCAGGGTTTGACTTAAAACTGGAAATAAATGCCCCTCCTGATTCAAAGACTTTCAGATTGGAGTATTAACAGGTGTGTTAAAAAACAATATTTCACATGGAAGTCCACTCAAAACATAAACTATTTAAGGACATAATCTTGAGAGATAAAGGAGATATGTCTGAATAAAACATTCACAAGACAAGGGTTGTTCTTGATTTGAAGCTATACCCTATGTGGACGTCGTTCCATATACTCAGTTGATGCACAAAATGTAAGCTTCTTTTAGAATTACATATATAAGATTAATTGATTGTGATCTATGAATTGCTTAAAAATTTGTAAACTACAGAAGAAACCAATTCACATTGTAATTTATTATTCCACTGCAAGATGTGCTTTTCCCTGTTCCTACATAAAAATTGAACTGTGGATATTTACAGAAACAAGTGAGTGAGAAATGGGTATCTCACTGGGCCTATTTCCAGCATTTGACATGGAGACCCAATTGCTAATTGATATAAGTTGCTAGTTTATAGGAGAGAATTTGGATAAATCAAATGATTTAGAACCAGCCACACCTCCCCGGAAGCGATTTTGACTTTGTTGTTACGACCACCTCTAAAATTTAATTTATAACTTGAATGAAACCCATGGGAATATAAATCTGTTTTTATCAAAATATTTTATCTGGCCCATTGGATTTAACAGCCAAAATAGCATTGGATCTAAATTAAGAAAACTTTGAGGAAGCCCATGAATTAGAAAAAAAATTCTTGAGTTTTTTTTGTTTATTTTGTTTTTTTGAAACTTCATTTTACAGTTTTGAAGGAAAAGAAAAAAAATTGATAAAATTTTATGCCTTGAGTTACCAATTATTGCTGGATTTTTAACTTCATAAATGTAAATATCAAGCTAATAACTCACTAAACATTTTTGTTGGTTTCCATTTCACTGAATCAAAGAAATTGTGGAAAAAGATATTTATAGCATACAAATGCTGCTGTGCATTCTAGAAAATTGCTTGTCCCTCAGATTTTATTTACCAAACAATCCACAGCTCTACTGGATAGTGTTGAACCCCTTGAAAATGTTACAATAGCAGGACAATGGAAACCATTGTCCACCCCTATGAGGAATGCCAGTTACAAATACAGAGATAGCATTGCTAAAAATGTACCCCTTACAAATTTCTAAATTTAAATATGGCTGATGTTAGGTGAATATTAAACTAGTTGCATTTAATCATAAATGAATATTTTGTGTTGTTTGTTTGTTTAAATTATGGCAAGATGTATTTAAAAGGAAAAATAAATGTGGATTTTTTTTAGTTTAGTCTATTTCCATGTAAATGAAGAATATCATTCTAGAAACTTAAATATTTTAAGGTAATGCAGGGTGTCACAAGGAGGAAAAAGAAGGATTATTAGGTTATTTGTGAGAACGTTTATACACAACAAGGAAGAAATAAATAAGAAATAAATAACAAACAGATAAAACTAACAGATTTAGGATTATTTCAAGACAGAATTTTATTTGATTTCTACTTGATACACGTCTAGTTTTAGATTCCTTTTTTCAAATACCAACATAATCTCTGTGCCAGCATATAATGCATAGGCAAATTTCTTTTCTAGGGCTATGCAAATTATATTTTTGATGTAGCAATCTCCAAATCTCAAAGTGGAGTAAAAAGTAGGGGAGAAATGCTGATTAAACTTCTTCAAGTTGTATATTTATAAACTTATCATTTACCTTAACAATATTTAGCATTGGAGATATTTTCTCTGGGCGCTAGAAAAAAAACACATATTTTCTGAATCAACATTTTCCTAGGAGAGACATCTCCATAGATAATTTGAGGAACTTACATAAACTTTGGAAAGCCGATGTAGAAAGAAGACATTTTCACAGAAAATTTACATAGGTTTTTGCATGGGTGCCTTTAAAGGATAATTGCAAATTTATTTTTTTTAATAAAAACCCTTTTAAAAGTATTTCAAATATGGGTCAACCAATTGCCAACATTTCCATAACTTGTCCTTGTTATCCAACCTTAGTTAATGCCTACAACATTTCTCCCTAATTGTCCATTACATTGGTTTGAAAATATCACTATTTCGTTTTTTCGTTAGCATAAATGAAATTATGTTGATTCACCTTTGTTATCCAGTAATAGACAGTATTGTCAACAGCCATGCTTGGAAAAAATAAATCAGATCTTAAATAAGCCAATATAAACAGATTTGTCTGCAATGTTGGAAGAGCTAGGTAGCATACAGGGTTATCCCATAAAAAGGACAAAACTTGAATGCAGACTTTTTATTTAACCATATCACAATTGCATGGGAGGGTCCCCTCTTTATTTTTTTTCAGATAACTCAAAACACTGAGCTACAACGCTCCAACTTCTAGACTTAGCTTGATTTGCAAAACCCCACTGTTATGCAAGTTAAGATCTGGAATTTGGGCATTTATATCATGAACACCCTATATAACTTAAAGATGTTTATCAGTCACGAAGATTCAGGTTATTTAAAAAAATTACAGAGACACTGTTTTTTACTATTCTCTGAAACAAATTTAATGAGAACAATATAAAATAGCTCCTGTACAATTTCATTGCTTGATTTTGTTTGGGTGAAGGGTGAAGGGGAATACAAAACATGTCCCCTTACACTACCTAAACCAATCTGTACATTTTACATGCCTCTCTATTTCCATCCTCACTGTACAGTGCACATGTCCATTGTCCACCCCATTTCTACATTGATCTCTGTACAGTGTACATCTCTCTCCCTTCTTTGTAAGTGTCCATAAAGAGATGTAAACCAAAATTGAAACCCAAAGCAAGATACAAATTTCCTTATGATTATATTGATAAATTTGAAGTAAAAATAACATTGGATGATTCTTAACTATTTTCACAAATTTGTGGTTTAAATAACTTACACATCAGAATTCATGGTAAAACCACCAACTGCAATGTCAGCTTCTTTATAGAGAACCTTAAATATTATCAACATTTTAGATGTCAAACATAATCAACTACTATTGAGCTCTATGAGGAAATAATCCTTGGTTAAATGACTAAAGACAGTTAAGTTGACAGAAACTTTATGAAAATTTAAAGTACTAGGCTTTTAGGGCACTTTGCACCCCCTTTAACAGATTCTTCTTTTCAAAATTGGGGCATTTTCAAACAAAAAGCTATTTTTCCATGATTTTTTGGAAACAAACGGACAGACAAAAGATTAAAGAGGGTGAACCAACTAATTCCTCCTATTGGACATCATTTAGTTTGATCTCTGTTGTATTGGTTGTCTGTCTGTTCACAAATCTAACCAATCAGGTTAGTATCCCCACCACCCCTGCAATGATCTACCATAATGTCAAATAAATCAGCTGAGTGGATTTTTTTTGCAGAATAAACTTTGAAATAAAAATGGCTCGTTTTGCAGAGATAATACTAAAAATATGTTTATATTTTCCTTAAAAAATCATTAACCCCCCTTTTAGAAAATCATTTGCTTTCACCCAGAACCTATATAAGTTGCCTTTTGCTGTCACAAATTTTCATTTTATTCCCCAATACATCAAAACTAATTTACATTTCCCCCCTAAATGGGAGGGAGGGGGGCACTAGTCAAATATAGGGTCTTTAGGGTTTTTGGAGTTGATCTAAAAAAGCAAGTATACAGTGTTGTTCTATGATGGTATAGTAACAGATTCATGATGAGTTTGAAATATTTCATGTAGAGCCTAAAAAATAAATAGACTTTTTAAAGTTTATATTATCTTCTTTATTTTCCTTGCTACTTATTTGGTTTACATATTCAATATTCAAAGTTGGGTTTACAAATTTTACAAACTAGATGAATTCTAAATGCGCATGCTCGAATAACTTGAGACAGCTTTTCTCAGCTTTTCTCCATGCCCTTCAAATGCCTCATTACAAGCGTATCTCTTATATGTCTTTTTGAAGTTGGCATGGACTGCTTCACTGCATTGTTCTGTATAAATTCCAAGTGGTTTCCCAGTCTGTTTCAAAAACTCTTCCACATGATAGATGAGCACATGTCCTTTCCATTCTAAATAAAATTTTTCTCTAAAATGAATTAAAATCCTAAATAAAATTTTTCTCTAAAATTAATTAAGGGAACTGAGTTTTTGCCACAAACTCAAATTTTCTCATCCTTATATCTTATCAACCTTAAGCTTGGTGAAAACCTTTGATATTTCAGACATACGACTATTTGATCTAGTTTGAAATATCAAAGGACTACGTCAGTGGGTTCCAAAAATAAAGGGATTAAAAAAATTCTGGTGAAAAATTCATCAATATTGACAAATGATTCTATTGTAAATAATCAAAGGAGCTTAGTCTCCCTTTGTTTGCTTCTTACCTAGCTTCAAACTGAATCCAAGGTTTTCAACATGCTCAGACACAAACTGCATATCAAATAATAGGTTTAATTGTGTTTCATTTATAAAACTGATTTAGTTTTTAATTAGTTTACTATAAAGATCATTTATATACATGGTTATTCACAAAGAAAGGGAATTAAATGAACACAAGGACTCATGTATTAGCTTGAACATAATTGTTTCTCACCCCTCTTCTAAAATCATGTTTTCCTAATTATGTAAAAAAGAATCTCAATGATGATGTGTCACATCATTTAGAAATAGGGCATTCTCTTAAGTCTTATCATATGAAAAAACCTGTACCTTTAGCTCATTCTTAAAATCTTCAAAGACCATGCCTTAGCCATCTAAGAGCTCCATTCCAAAGCATGATTCTACAACTGAAAAAAACAATTATAAAAAAACTAAGTATAAGTGATTTTGAAAAAAAATTTCGGCATTCTTTTAAGAATAAGAATATAGTATCAATAATCTCCCCAAGAACATACCAGAGTTAAACTTCATCAAAAGATCAACCAGTGGAAGGTAATCAGGACACTATTCAATTACAAAAGAAGAAAGAGTCTCCAGTTTTTTCAGCACCTGAGAAATGGAGGTTAGAGTTCTTAATGTATGTGGTAAGGACTTTTTTAAGCTATTATTTTATTTTTTATTAAAGACATTGAAAGTAGAACTAAAAGCTACCTTGTTACTGTTTCTTCCATCTAGACCTACACCATTATAACCATGGAATATAATTCCAGAAGCTTTAAACCAGTTAGCGACAGCTTGCTGATTACAAAGAAGCGGAGCACACACAGTTACGATTTTCATCAGCAAATGCAGCTCTGGAGGGGGTACAACATCCAGAACATGGGTATTATTTGATTCCTTCAGTAAACTTGGTTTGATTACATTCTTGTAATTCTTCATGTTATTAGAGCCATTTTCTTTATAAGCTGAGTAATTCATATCAAGACCGTCAAATGTCCTGAGATCACCAGGTTCTTCTGAAATTAAGACAATTAAAGGAATTGAGTCTTTGCCACAAACTCTGATTTTATAATACCTTCCTTTTTTCTATCTGATGGTGTAAACCTTTGATATTTAAAACTTAGATTCTTTCATCTAACAGAATTCATAGTTTGAAATATTTAAGGTCTACACCATTGCTAGATTAAATATTCAAAGTTTGAAGTATCTTAAGTGTAACTAATTAGGTTGCAAAGATAAAATGCTTAGATGAATAGAGTTTGTGACAAGTAATCAAGTTCTTTCATAAATATATTTACTTATTATTTTTGCAATGAAAAGAAAATTAGGTATAATCAAAAAATGAAAACAATACCTTTAAATCTCGGTAATAATTTCAGCCTTTCAGTATTAAAAATCCACTTCATAAGCACATTTACAGATACATTCTCACCTCGGCGTAGATCATTTAACCGACCTGTGTATTTTACAATTTGATACAATAAAAAACTTAAGTTGTTTCAATTTTTGTGTTTATATACACAGTCTCTTATTTTATTTTAAAACATTTTACATTTAATTCTTTAAAGTATTTGAAACTTTACTTAAAGATGCACTGAAGTTTTTATCTTAACCATATCATTTGATTAAAAAAGCAAATGGAAAATATCATTTATCTGACAAACATTACAGTATGTAACATAAAAACATTCACAACATAAATATCTTTTTTATCAAAAAATACTTACATTTACAGGATATGCAGATTCCGACAGGGTTGGAGAGAATATTTGAGTTGAAATCTGGGTTAATGAAGATTTTTATAAAGTCTTGCAATATCTCCCCTTCTCCACAACTTACATTTTAAACTTTTAACTCCACATGTCACACAAACTACCTTTCGGCAATCAATATGATTTTTAGCCTTCTTAGGCATGGTAATACTGTTTAACTTTGAATATAATTATGATTGAATGTATTTTGTTATCAGAGAACTGTACACAAAATGTTAATTTAGCAGATTTATGTCTCTAATTTCGCGGATTTTCTACTCACATTTCTTTCTTTTTCTTGAAATTTACAAACTTTTTTATTGCTATTTCAAATGGCAATCGCATAAGGGGCTCTACATGAAATATTTCAAACTCATCGTGAATCTGTTACTATACCATCATAGAACAACACTGTATACTTGCTTTTTTAGATCAACTCCAAAAACCCTAAAGACCCTATATTTGACTAGTNTGTAATTCTGAAAAAAATATACAGTTACCCCCTGAAATACTGTATTTTGCCCTTGAACCTGATTAATAACTTGACCATAAACAAAATTTAGGCCCTTTTTATCTAGGGCTTCTACGTCTCTCAAGATGGTTTGAAGCTGATACTTATCTAAATATTATGAAGTAAAAAACATATACTTAAGGGAAAAATGTGTGTACAATTATCACCTGTAAATGTTGTAAATAGCTGACCATACTTTGTAAATGGATGAATTTGGTTATTTTCCGATAAAAAAAATTTATTTTGCACAAAAGATACCCTGAAGTAAAACTATAGATGTACATAGGTTTACACAGAAATTATACTTTCTACAAATATTTACTTTGTTGTACTTTTCACATGATTCTTACTTTTGAAGACTAAATCTTTACTGAAATCCCTGATATCTGTGAAAAATTTATGCTTGGTAAAATAAGGGAGATATATATAAATCTCCCAGGAAACTGATTTATGTGCCGATGGCGAAGAGGTCGGGTAAATAATTCTGGACTTTCTATGTTCGCCATTGGTTTGTTACAGACTAAATGTTTGCAGGGCTGGAAAAAAAATCAAACTTTTTAAAGAGAATAGCAATAAAAAGAAAAAACTTTTAAACGGTTTTTGTCAAAGAGAAAAAATTTCTTTGTAAAATATTTTATTTGGAAAAATCTAAAGAAAATGGATAATCTGTTTACTAATCAAAACCTGATTTCTTGATTGAAAAATGAGTCTGGCATTCTATTATCATTTCTATTCTTTAATACAATTCTTGAATAGTGGGTAGACCATACACCAGTAAACTTCTGCTTGTGAAGATCCCTAAATAGAAAAATAAAATTATTGTTTATAAATTTAGATAATCAGATGAATGAGAAAATTACATCTGTGATAGAAATTGTTTTATAATTTGAAAAGACATGCTTAAATTTTACCAGTACTTAAATTGTCCGGAACATTGGGTCAGCGTCAAGTAGCGTTGCAAACCTATCTCATAAATATGTTTAAAGGGCTGTATAGGTTATTTCTCGTAGCTCTTATTTATTCCTTTATCTGAGAAATAAAGAGGAAGATATTTTCCTTTTTCTATCTTGAAAGGAAACATATCATGGATTTGTAGCTGTAATACAATTGTTTAAAGAAAGAATCTTCAGATGGGATTCTATAATCCATTTAATAAACTAACATAACTTTTAAAAACCTGCAAATTTAAGGAAACAAAAAATTTGGTTTTCCATCAGCTTTAAATGAAAAAGCAAAACAGAAAATAATTTTTTGCTTTTGTAAATTCTGTTTACCATAGCGATTCTCTTGAATTTTCTCCTGTTTGTTTCTAACAATGACCAGAGTAGGAGGATGCTTTAGTCTCAAAATTTCACTGTAGTTTATCTCCTGAAACATAATTGAGTTTTGAATCAGAATTATGGATTAGTGCAGAATTGCGGTTAATATGAACATAATATGAACCCAACCAAGATTTCATCCCTATGTACATATTATCATATTAGTTTATTGCTCCTAGTTGGAGAAATAATGCCTAACAACCTAAGATTAAAGCCAAACAATCCAGATTCAGTCCAAAAGGGTATTGAACCTCCCAGTAAGAGGTCCAGAGCCTGCAGTATCTAGTTCCTTAGATGGTGCTGAAAACATCAGTAACAATTTTGCGGAAAATTCGCGGAAATTCCTGGGAATCTTTCTCGGGAATCTGCGGAAATTCCCAGGAAAGATTCCCAGGAAGTTCCGGTGAGAATGTCAACAGCCATTTCTCGTAAATTGTAAACCATTCCGAGGAACCAAGTCCAAAGGAATTTCTTGTAACCTATTCAGAGGAAATTCTCATAACTCTATCCAACGAAGTTCTTGTAACCAATTCCAGGGAAATTCTTGTCACCAATTCTACAGAAAAACCAGAGAAAATGTTGACAAAATTTGTAGAAATTTCCAGTGAAAAAGAACCAATTCCTGGGAATTTCATGGGAACTATTCCATAGATTTTCTCAAGAGATGCTCAGGAATACCTTAAAATAGTCTCAGCATATTCACTAACCAGGACTTAAGCTCAATAGTAGTAGTGAATAACTTAACAACTATATTGCCCCTTCAACTTTTTAGAAGTATCCATCTTCTTAAGTCAGAATGTTAAAGTTGTTTTTTATCTTACTGAAGTTGTCATCTATTTTGTTTAATCAGACAACTAAATCGTCAAGAAAAAATAAAAAAATGAAAAAAAATGTTATTAATATTTTAAAAAATTGTCTCTCAAATAAATTATCATTTTTTATCAATGAGGATGCAAAGAAATAAAGATTTAGTTAGGGCAGTGCATAATAGATTATAACCTCAGAGACACCTATTAGAGAAAAACAGAACTTGAAAATTCTATGATGAAGTCCTGAGAATTTCTCAGGAATTTCCGGAGAAATATTCCTGAGAAAACTTTAGGAATTTTTTAAGAAAATTCCAGAGAAACTTATCGAAACTTATCCTCTTATTTAATTCCCCTAAAAATCTTAAAAATGGTAACCAAGTCCTAAGAATTTCTCATGAATTTCTGGAGAAGTATTCTGGAGAATTTCTCTGGAACTTCTTGTGGTGAAATTCCTAGGAATGGTGACCAAGTCATAAAAGTTTCTCAGAAATTTCCGGAGAAGTAATCAAGAGAAATTTTCAGGATTTTTTTAGGGTAAAATTCCAGAGAAATTCTCAGGAATTTCTTGAAACTAATTCTCTTAATAAATTCCCCTAAAAATCCATAAAGTCCTAAGAATTTCTCAGGAATTTCTGGTGAAGTATTCAGGAAAAATTCTGAGGAATTTTGTGGGGAAAAATTCCAAAGAATTTCTCAGGAATTTCTCGAGACTGAGCCTCAAAACTGTGATCCCACAAAAATCTCTCACCTTGGTGACCAATTCTGAGGAATTTCTTGTGAATTTCCGAGGAGTCAGTTACAGTTAATGATTGGAATGGGATTATTAAATGATTCTAAAGACAATTTTTATATCCTTTTCTCTCTCTCTCATTCTAACTTGACAATAATTCGTTCATTCTTTTCAAAATTTGTATTCATCTCTATTCAACATTTTTATCTACTAAATTACATAGGTTTTATACACGTATTTTATTATATCTGTATCTTTATACTAATCTTCAATTCTATTCTAGCACAGTGGTCCCCATAAAACATCTCTATTCATTACTCAATCTTTCCAATTACTCCAACTCCCAATTTACCAACCTTTTTTATCATCCAAACATTTATTGAATCCCATCCCAACTTCCTCCTTAGTTGATATCCATTCCTATTCCCAAACTATTTCAACCTACTCCCAATTGGTCCTATTTCAACCTCATACCTTATTCCCAAACCAAGCCCAATCCCAATATCTTGGACATTTGTTGATAATTGTTTGGGATACCAATAATTTGGATTTTACATAAAAGTTATGACAATATAGACTTTTTATACCATGCTTCATTTACGACAAATGACAAGAAAATATAAACTTTAGAAATATATGAAAGAAGCAAGCCAGTCTAAAACCAGCCTTTGTGCATGTTTTATGCAGTAGTATGCTAAGCCTAGCTTAAGGGGTGTTTAGACCCTTTGCAACAAAAGTTATTAATATGTTTTCATGTTTTTACTTTTACATCTATTTTATGCCTAAAATAGTTTTTATTATCAAATTTACCATCCTTGAATTTGCCCTGAATCTGGAAAACACAAAGCAGGCCAGACAGTCGCTATAGAACCAGTAAATAGGAAGGATTCAAGTTGCTAAGAATTTATAATATTCTCTGTTGAACTGAACCTGTTTCTGTATTTGTTAAATATAATTCTAAGATTCTTCATTTATTGATTAGAGTAGAGACAATTGCTAGTCCAGCACAAAGAACCCCCTCCTATATATCGTATTCTACCATCTCAAGCTACACCCTTACCAATAACCAATTCCTTCTCTCCCCCTTCTCTCCCAACTCCATTCCCCATCCTCCAATTTATCTCTCTTTCATTTCAAATCCAAGACAGATTCTTGAGAAATTCCTCCGAAATTCTTCAAAGAAAGTCACCACAGTTGGAGAATCGGGGAAAATTCCTCACTTTTGTTATTTGGGATAGGGTAAAATAAGTTTTGTATACTGCCCAAAAAGCCTTCTAAGTGCAGGGGCCACTTGTGCCCTGGGGTGTTGCCATTTCTGATAATAGATTAAGTCCATCACAATTGAATCAACAAACGGGTTTGTTAATTCATACTAATAATCCTAAAACTCATCTTAAATTGTTTAAATTAGTTTTGCAGACTTAACCTCACATAAAAATGACATGGATGAGCCTACACCATTGTGCATTGACTCAATAACACGAGGTAAAGAAGAGTTATCCCTGTCCCATAGGTAAAAAATGGAATATTTACCTCTCCTTCTGCAAAGGCAAGATATGTACAATAGTTGAACTCCCTTGGCACTTGGCAGGAGCCAATGGTATTGAATGCAGAGGACCCCCTCTGATAGGAGCTGTACAAGGTACAATTGTAATAGATCAGTATGATTTAGAAAAGCTCTGCTGGACAATGGAATACTTTACTTGGTCAAATCATGTTTCGACAAGAATACAGGTAAGAAAACAATTGAAAACAAGGTAAGAAAACAATTGAGAATCAAAGATGAAAAGGTAAAAAAGAAAGCCAAGTTAATTTGAGGAGGAATTTGAGGCCAAACCAATGATGAGAATTGTCACCCCACCCTCACACAGGTATCAAGCCCTGCTCGCAGTACATGCACATGCACACCTGGGAGTACAGTGTACCATGCAACAAGGTTTTCTACTGGCCAGTGCAGGGTGGAGAAAGGGCACAAGTCTCTTTGTCACGGAATGTGCAGGTTGCCTGCACAGAGAAGAGGTAAAATCTAAACATGTTGAACCTTTCCAGGACCATGCAAAAAACATCAATGATGGTTTTTGAGAAAGTTTCTTTTCATTAATGATCGGATATAACCACCAGAATGGGTTAACTACCGATTAGTCTCCATGCCCAACAAACAAAACACAGTTTTTCAACGAGATTAGCATGATGGAGAACTGGTTGATAATTCACATGATTAATTCATGGCCCCTCCTTGTGTTATACTCGCGGTAAATCTACTTTTCACAATTTTGAAGATTCCTCCTGTGTACAGCACGGGTAAAAAACGCGAAAATATTCCTTGAAAATTCTCATCGTTATTTCTCATGTTGTACACATATCAAAATAAACCAATGCAAATTCTTGCATATTTCTATCATATTATACTCTAGTAATGCAATGCCAGAATTTTAGATTTTAATTCTCTTAATTATCAAATGCAATATATTTAAGATAATTATATAGTTCAATTCTTGTTGTTTTTTCACATGTTGTGCTCGTAGCAAAGATACCAGTGCAAGATCTGGCATATTCCCAACGTGTTAATCATGAGTAATGGAATGCCAGAATATCTAGATCTTAATTCTTGTAAATATCACACGCAAAATATTTGAGATATTATGGGAAGAACTTCATGTTTTATTTTTAATAGAGTTTCAAAATCACAACACTTGGTAATCTTTTAGAAACTAAAAGTTTATTGTAGTAAAATGAAATATTTTAAATGACAAAAATATTTCAGATTATAACAAGCATGAGCAGAGTATAGAAAAGTTTCACATTGAATTTTGTATTGTATTTCTCAACAACCCCTTTTTGGAATATCAATCTTTTAGATATATGAAGCAAGGAGCATTCTTACAACTATGAATACATTAACATTATTTTGACTTGAAATATCACTTTGTGATAAGAACAGTTTAAAGTTACATGTTCAAGATGTTTAATGTAAATGATTTAAACTGAAATGTTTAGTTTCTAAACATTTTGTAATAGTTATATACTTTTACACAGTATATTTTATAATATATTTGTATATCAGAAATCAATTTTATATCCCCCCCTTTACCAGGGTTTTTGAAAAATGTAATTTAAGTAGATGGGGAAAAAAAATAATTTTCTCATGTAAAAACCCATGTTCATCTTGTGAAATAAACTCAAGTTTTCACCGTGTAAAAACTCAGTCCTAGACCTGTGTTCAAATCGTCGACATTCACCTCGACAACACATGAATTATCACAAGATATTGACTGGTCACTTGTGTGAAATACACAAAATAATCTTGTGTTCTTCATGGGTTTTTGTTTGTTGGGCTGTACGGACATATGTGATCTTCTCCAACGCTACAGGACATGTCCCAAGATGGGCGGGAAGAGCATGCAAGCGATGGAGTGGGTATAGACTGTTAAAGAATATAGACTGGGACGAGGATAACATCAAACTGACCAAAGTCAACCCTCAACTAACACAGAGGTTTGGGAACATCCAATCTGAAATATTCAGACGTTCACCTGAGATTATAGCTTTTGTGAACATGATATAATTTACAATGCATAAACAAACAATTCATTGAGAGTGAAGTGAAGTCTGAAGGAACCTCAAGGCTGGGACTTACTCAGGGAACTCCTGTAATCCAAAAATCCAGTATTTGAGAAAGTAACGGATTTTTAATCACTGATTTTTTGTTGTTAAGTTTGATACTTTTTATACCTTACTTAGAGACAATTCATCGTCAATTTACAGATTTTTTCTCTTTTATATTTTCAGATTTTTAATACATAAGTATAAGGGACAAAAAGTCTGTAACTAAAGAATTATTTGTTGCAGATTATTAACATCTTGATCTTAAGGATACAGTGCATGTTGGAGAAATAATACCTAATGAATGCAACCTAAGAATAAAGTCAAACAATCCAGAGTCAGTCTAAAAAGGTGTTGAGTATGTTTGCCCCAGGCAAATGTCATGTGTATTTGGATCAACTTTAGTTGGGCTAACACTAATTGTTTGTACTGTTATAATGTAAAATATAGTGCAACCGTGCTTTGTTATTCCACTTGATCAATCTTGACTATTCTTTCTAAGTCTATAATAATTAATAAATTTCAACCTTGTTGGGCAATTTATAAATGTATAATGATATTAAGAAATTCTGATGTCTGATATGAAAATCTTTGTGTTTAAAATATTTGAATTTATTCTTGGATGTTCTTGAAATTTTAGGATCAATATTTACATTTATTTCTATGGTGTGAGATTTTTATCATGACTTCAATGGTATACAAAAATGGTTCAAATGTATTGCAATTATGAAAGAAAATATCAAACCTTATTAAATATTATTACATAGCATTTTGTTAAAGCAAATACTTTGTCATAAGACGTCAATTTATTTTCATCCTTCAAAATTGAAACTTGGTCTTCAATGTCGATGAAACTTTCTAACCTGTAAAAGCATATATATAGACAAAAAGAATCTAATATCTGTTTTATTTTTTAATAAAGAAAATAATCTTACTTACCCAATGTATATATTAACACACTTGGCTGAGGTTTGTGTTGCATATCTGGAGTAAGTAGCATATTAAAGAATGAATAAAAAAATTTATGATTGATGAAAAGAAATTAAACATGGTTGGAAAACTTTACAAAGAAAAAGTTACAATTTGAGACAGATTAGAGTAAAGATCAAAACAAGAATTTAAAATTTTTGAAAATTAAATCATAAGTAGTAAACATATGGCGAAAAAGTTTAAAACAGCTTTAATAATGCAAGCATTTACTTTTAAACCTGACTCAACCTTTCTTCCAAAAGCAAATGGTGTAAAAATGCCACTTTTATTGTAAACTATTGGTAATAAATGTTATTTTCCTCATGAACCAATAAATTGTTCTCCAGGTGTTTATCTCTTGTTCCTTAGTACAATCACCAGAAACAGATGTTAAATTCATTACCAAGGTCCCAAGGAGAAACATCAACTGAAGTTTCATTCTAAATCTAAACTTTAGTAAACTCTTAAATAATCCTATTTAAGGTAATTAAGGACAATAGCAAACTGTAAATCCTTCGGATCTTAGTAAAATGTTAGTTAAGAAACAAATGAAATATTTTGATGTCCCATTGGAGCATTCATGAAAAGTTCCGGTTTTACAATGAGTAATGATCAATGTTGTCTATTTGTGCATAATTTTGCATATTTTTCTCTTTTCTTTGGAAACCTGTATTTTCAAAAATTTATTTAAACAAATTTAAACTACACCATTTATATATATATTTATATCTTTGTGTGTGAATAAAACTTTATAATAAAATTTTTATTTAGAATACACCAAGTTCTGAAATACACAATGAACTCAGTTTTAGTTGTTTGTAAACAAACACAACTATATTATGTTTCCCCTGTTTAAAAAGCTAGTCTGTAACTGTGCACATTCATTATTGAAATTCAAAAACATCTCACTATTGACCTTTTTAGGGCAATAAAACAAGGGCGTATACAGGGGGCAAGGGGGGCAGTGCCCCCTCTAAACCTGTAAAGGAGGGAGCGTAGCCCCCCCTAGAACTCAGAGGTTTTTACACTTTTCAAATCTTAAACTCAAGAGTGATGAACATAAAAAAAATTAGTTTGCTGTTTATTCAGTGCACTAAGAATATCGACCAGAGCCACCATGACAGAAGTCCAAATGAAAAATCTATTTAGAATGTTTAGAGGGATAGCAAAGTAAAACAATTATATTTAAATGCAAAGCCACAAAGGCTTGAGTTTGGGGGTAATAAAAGACTATTTTTTGCTTTTTTTGGGATTTAACTTTTTTTTGCTTTTTTTGGGATTTAATTTTTTTTGCTTTTTTTGGGATTTAATTTACTTCATTTATTGCACCGCCCTTCAGTAATCTTTCTTTTTATTACAAACTAGCTGAAGTGCCAGGTGTTGCCTGTGGAATTTTAAAAATCGAAATGAAACAAAAAGCTTACAATTAATTTAGTTTCTGTCATCTTGCCAAAGGGTATCAATAAGTTTCCTTACTAAAATTCAGCCCATTTGATTCAGTCGTTTTGCGAGCCATAGCAAACATATAAATGAACGAAAAGCTGTATTATATAGATTAAAATTGTACTCCTACTTTTATATTCAAAACAGAAACTTTTACAAGTCATAATTATTTTCTGCACCGTTGTCCTTTTTTTAATCTCATGGAATTTATGCTTAAGTCAGGTTTTCCATTTTCAAAAATGTCTTTTACTATCTCTAGTTTAAATACTAATTATTAATAACATAACAGCCATAGAGTAATAAAACTAAGAGGTGAAGATTAGCTCAGATGTACACAACCGACCTCCCTATTAATCAATTAATAGAGTGGTCGGTTGTGTATATTACGATATGTTTTTGTATCTAACACTGTACACTTGTTTATAAAGTGATCGTATTTCTTGGGTGGGATTTATGGAATTGACCAATTTTTAGATTTTCTTTCTTTATTTAAACAAAATTCGATGATGATGATTGCAAACATTTGACAATCTTAAAATTTGTAGGTTTTCAATTAATTAGCAAAAAGTTATGTCAAAAATATTAAGTTTTATGGGCATGACTTTAACTTAAAACATTTCAAACATTTTATTGTTTCTTCTCTTCAACTCTTTATCATAAAGCTCTTATCTGGAGCTCATAACCCTAAACAGGCTGGGGGGGAGGGGGGGACGTTTGGCTCCTCCCTAGTTTTTGAATTTTTCATAAATAGAAATGTAAAGGATTTTTTGTAAAGTTTTTTATGCATAAGGTAGGGTGCAGGGCAATAAAAAAACGGAGTATGTAAAAAAATTTCAGTAGCCTATAACTTTCTTATGACTAAAGTTACAGATCTGAAAAAAAATATTTTTGAAAAGCCCTTGACAAATGGATGTAGAAACATGTGTCACACTTTGATATTTGTTTTAACCAAAAAAATATTTTTTACATTTTTTCGATTTTTTTGCATTTTTTTTCGACCCTCTCTAGCACTATAAAAGTTATCGATCTATAGAAGGGGTGAGAGGAGGGGGGGGGGGGTCCAAAAATCGGTTTTTAGGAAATTACCACTGGATGGGTATAAATAAATGATAAACAAATGAACTGTGTTTACAATCCGTATTAAGTGTCTATCTAATTATCAATACTAATATTCTAATCTACATGAAATACGATCACTCTATATACAAGTGTAAAGTGTTAGATACGTAGACATATCGTGATGTATACAACCGACCTCCCTATTAATTAATTAAAAAGGAAGGTCGGTTGTGTACATCTGAGCTAAGCTTCACCTCTTCGTTTTATTATAGTCTATGATAACAGCATAGTAAAATGTCGAATTTTTAGAAACAATGCTTTTCTTTCTGCTAGTTTTGTTTGAAGGAGAGAAAGAGTTTAGTACATGCAAGGTTATTGGACCTTTAAAGTATCTTATACTTATGTCTGATATCCAGAAAGCCAAATGTTTTGAATTTACAGTTCAAATTTCCCCCCCCCCTAAAAGCTCCTAGGGGTCAAAAAAAAATTCCCCCCCACCCTTAGAATTATTTCTGTATATGGTGCCATGACAAACTCCTGAAAGACAAACTCCTCTAATTCAAACCTCTGAAAGACAAACTCCTGAAATACAAACTCCTCTAATTCAAACCTCTGAAAGACAAACTCCTGAAATACAAACTCCTCTAATTCAAACCTCTGAAAGACAAACTCCTGAAAGACTAACTCCTGACAAGACAAACTCCTGCCGAGACAAACTACTTAAAATAAAAACTTCTGAAATACAAATTCCATAATATCAAATTTTAAAAAAAATGTTTCACAATTTATATTTAATCTATGTTTCATGTGAACAAGTCTGGTATGTTTTTGCTCCAATTACCTTCTCCTTGGTGTAAGTTAAGTTATTGTGATCAATAAGATGCACGGATGCTTCACGAGCATTGTAATACTTTGCTGCTTGAAGCATATTCAAATTATTAAAGTTTGAAAATTTTTTCTAGGATATTTGCGGATTTTTTCTCCTAAAATTTATGAATTTTATCATATTTCATTCAGAGAAAAATTTCATAATTTCAGGAGTTTGTCTTTCAGGAGCTTGTCATAGCACCCTGTATACGCCCTTGCACCAAAACGCTCTATTGCACACTCCTCCCAGTATAAAGTATAAATAAAAAAATAAAAAACTACAATTTCTATTTGTGTTTAAAGTTGAAGCACCAATGTTTAACTCCATTTCCTACTCACCTTCAACTAAAACTACAACTAAAATATTCATTGAAATGGACTCTGATTTTTATCCATTAAATGTTAAATCAAAATGCAAAATTAATTGGGGAATATCAATTTTGTAAAAATAATCTTTGGATGGTTTATAAACAAATCCCAACCCTACTTTCTATTACTAAAACTACTTCAGTTTCTTCTCAATAAATTTCTCCAAAAAGTTTGCCATCATATAAAATATTAAAGCAAAAACAAGAAAATCTGTAGAAAGAAAATTTGTAAAAAGGAATTTTTCAAATTAAAATTGTCAGAACAAATAGTACTTGAACAGGCATGACTTGTTTATCGGCCTATGCAGGGGGGGGGGGATGTTGAAAGGGGAAAATTCGATCCAAAGCAGTCAACAGGGCTCAAATGACAGATATTTTTTATTTATTTTAATTTTTATAAAGTACGCTGTAATTTTTGCCCTGCTTAACTATTAAATTTAGAATTTTATGAATTTCATGTTTTTTTTATATGTTTTAATGTTTTATAATGTTGTCTAATAATCTTTCTACATGAAGTAATCATTGTTAAAATATCTGCTCTGAACGTCATTAATAAAATTGAGATAATTGACAAACCGTAGCTTTCTATGAACATTTGTAAAAACAACCGTTAACGAAACAGCTTGAAACAAATCAGTACATGCTCAGTCCTAACATGTACTTCGCACCTTTCTATTTCACTTTGGTCAAAGGGGTGGGGTGGAGAAAATTAGGATTTAGCTCAATCATTTTTTAGCTGTCAATGTTTAATGGAAGCTGCACAAAATGTGGATACAACAATTCTATTTAAAATATTTTTCAAATCTTTTATTTTTCAAATATTTTATTTGAGAAAAATGCACTAAAATTAATAGTGTCGCTTTTAATGAGCTGGCCTTTAAAAACTGGAATGTGAACATGTAGAGATTGCAACTTCTATATACTTTAGTCAAAGGCTTTAATCAAAATTTGATACATTTTTATTCCCAAAAGTACAGTCTATAAAGCATAGGCCAAGTTTATCTTGTAGATTCATCATGAAGATTTTTTTTTAAACATTTGAGCCGACCCTGCTCATAACAATAATGTAAAATTGAGCAGAAATGAGGCAGTTGCCCAAGGAAGTTACGTGCACTTGCTGCGTTGAATTACAAGAAGAGAGAGATTAGTTTATATTTTAGAGTTAGCTAAGTAAAGAAACTTTCTGGGTCGAGCGCTGCGGCTAGGGGGCCGAGCCTCACGGCTAGGGGTCCGAGCGCCATGGCTCTTGTAGTTCATTGCGGCATGTGTACATAACTTCCTTGTGTTCCATACACATACTTTTTGCTTTAAGTTTTTATTTTGCTTCTTGAGGAAGCTCATATATATTTGATTTTTTTATATTTTGTAGACAAATTTACGATCTTGTTTTTAGATTTGACAGGTGTGCCATAGATTTGGCGGCCTTGCTACAGATTTGACAGACGTAGCACAGATTGGTCAATGTTCAATAGATTTGAGGGCATCCCACAGATTTAGCTGCTATACCATAAATTTGGCCGCCAGCCTGCTATGCCACAGATTTAAATACCAAGCAACAAATTTGACATTGTCCACGAGTTATTAGATTACTGCAAGGGCATTGTTCATCATGCATCATTTTTTTCCCAACATTTTTCCAAGTTCCAAACAATCAAAATGCTGAAAAAAATTACCTAAGCAAATCATGCTTTAAAACTTTTAATGTGAGACCATATAATAATTTTTCTACCCTAAAAAACTGGAGAAGTAAACAAATTATTATAAATAATCTTTAAAAACATGTTATTCAAATTTTTTTATTTAAAAAAGTTGCATATGCTTTTTCTGCATCATTAAATGCATAATTAGATGCACTAACTGTTGAAAATCGAAAATATTAATTAGAAGCTTTATGGTTTTAAAAATAAATATTTTTTGCATAAACCTTTCATTTAGCAGTTATTAACTTCTTTATAAAATAGATAGATTTATGCTTACCCCTAAAATGACTGGTTTCATATTAATATAGAGATAATATTAAAATGTGTGCAATTTATAAACATTCTGTGCAAAAAAACGCAAAACGGTTATGTCTCAATCTTATTAGAAGACAATTTTTAACATTAAGTACCCCCTCTTATTATACAACCTTGGGTGTCTCTAAATAATTTACTTGTACTGACGTATATATTACTAGGATTAAGAGATCTTCGTGCACCCATCAGAACATAATGCATTTTTTAAAGTATAGACAACAAATGTTTGTTAGATTTATGTGTTTTCTAAATATTTCTTTAAAAAATAATCTTTTAGATTTTTTAGTTTTCAACCGAACATAAAATTTCCAAGGGTCATTAAGGTTCCACAAAAAATGTGTGCCTGTTTGGTTCAGACGTTTTGACCTTCATTGGATACAAACAAAATGAAAATAGTATCATTTTTTATTATTTCTTTTTAGTGCATTTCATCGCAGATGATTTAATCTTAATGCAATTTTGCAGTTTTCTGATTTAAATCTTAATATTAGCAGATGGGTTTATTAAGTCTTACTGCAAAAAAAGTATGAAAAAAATCAATGAAAACACCCGGGGAGGGGATAGATATTGGCAAATTCTGGTCCTAGATCACAACCGACCTCCGGTCCATGTGGTTCTGGCTCTGATACCTGGAGCATATTAAATAATGAGCATGTTTTATTTGACATGAGGTTTTCATGTGTTTTTTCATAAGGTAATTTTCACAATAAGATAAATCTTGTTACCTGAGGGACTACTGGGACTACTGGTCCTAGATCACAGCCGACCTCCGGTCCATGCAGTTCTCGCTCTGATACCTAAAGCATATTAAAACCATTAGTTTATAGCATGTTTTATTTGGCATGAGGTTTCCATGTGTTTCTTCATAAGGTCATTTTCATAATAAGATAAATCTTGTTACCTGAGGGACTACTGGGACTACTGGGACTACTGGTCTTAGATCACAGCCGACCTCCGGTCCATGTGGTTCTGGCTCTGATACCTGGAGCATATTAAAACCATAAGTTTATGAGCATGTTTTATTTGGCATGAGGTTTTCATGTGTTTTTTTCATAAGGTAATTTTTACAATAAGAGAAATCTTGTTACCTGAATACTGGTCCTAGATCACAGCCGACCTCCTGTCCATGTGGTTCTTGCTCTGATACCTAAAGCATATTAAAACCATTAGTTTATGAGCATGTTTTATTTGGCATGGGGTTTCCATGGGTTTCTTCATAAGGTCATTTTCATAATAAGATAAATCTTGTTACCTGAGGGACTACTGGGACTACTGGTCCTAGATCACAGCCGACCTCCGGTCCATGTGGTACTGGCACTGATATCTAGAGCATATTAAAACCATAAGCTTAAAAGCATGTTTTATTTGACATATGGTTTTCACATGTTTTTTCATAAGGTCATTTTTATAAGAAGATAAATCTGGCTACCTGAGGGACTACTGGGGCTACTGACCCTAGATCACTGGCGACCTCCGGTCCATGTGGTTCTGGCTCTGATACCTGGAGCATATTAAAACCATTAGTTTATGAGCATGTTTTATTTGACATAAGGTTTTCATGTTTACCAGTGTTGGAAATAAACAGGAGTGAGTTATCCCTGTTTTCATTGCGTATATCCTGTGACTACAGCAAGGGATATAAAGAGACGTGTTAAAAAAGAGTAACATATACGTGTCCTAAATGTGAGTTTGTTGAAAATAAATCAGACACTTAAAAAAACATGCTGAAACTGAACACAACGGTGTTACATATCCTTTTTCTTAAAATGAATATGTAGGAAGTGATTTAAAGAGACAATTGAAGATAAACATATAGGAGTAAAATATCCTTGTTGTCAATGTAGATATGCTGCGAATGCAGTAAATGAGTTGAAGAGGCACATTGAAAGTGAACATAAAGGATTGAAAGAAACATGTTCAAATTAAACACGACCAATTAAGAATTTATTTTCTTCAATAAACTAAACCTGAGAAACGTGTGGGAGCCTCTTCTTCTTCTTAGGACTTATACTGTCAAAAAAAAACTTGAGCCAGCTTTGAGACTGAAATATGCAAAACTTATATTATAAACAAAGGACAGGAATGATGAATGCAGGTAACTGTGTTGCACCTGAGCTCCAAAGTTTTTCAGTGATTCCAGTGCAAACTCCAAGTAAGCAGCTTCATTTACAGCTCTGAAATAATTCACTTGTAGCATAAGGAACCCACATCAGTGATAACCAGAAATATACAGTGATAACCAGAAACTCTGAAATAGAAAGACAACTTTTAAGCTAAAGTTAGGACTGTAAAATAGTCCAATGACACAGGAATTGTGCAGTGTAAACAGACTCGTTTCACTATATTAGTAATACCATAAGTTTCAAGAAAAACTATTTGCTTTGTAACACCATCAAATACATTTTTTGTATTGCTATAAAGTCGTCTTCCTATTTTAAAGTTTTCTGGTTATCACTGTATCATTACTGCTATTTCTTACCGAGAATGGTTAGCAGCAATATGGGCTGTCCCCTTCAGCTGCTCAGAGACCATGAGGTGAATGAGGGCATTGTGCATCTGTCGAAGGTGTCGGGAGTTAGTCTAAAACAAACACAATTTGACATTTCAACACATGTCTTGCATGATATTTCAATCAATGATTACCTCAGTTGGGAAGTCAGGGATCTCTTTTCACACGCTTCTCCGAGTTGTCCTATTAACAGTAGGTTTATAAATGTATCTCTCTTGATCAATTGTTACATTTGATTGAGTTACCTCCATAAATTTGAAACCACTGAATCTGTCATAGGCTCACCAGATCTTGTCAAAAAAATATACCGGTCTGACATAGGTGATATAGTCCAATAAGCACTCCATCAGTTGGCCATCTATTGACAGGTAAGTTGGTTCTGAAATAGTACTTAAGTAAGATGATGGGAATCATTTGAAAATTTGAAAAGGGTTCAGTTTTTGCAGATGTGATATTTTAATAAATGGTTGTAAAATGTTTATTTACTTAATGTTCGAGCAAAATTCTTGTCTGATGTGGAGGGTACAGAGTAGAATTGATGATTCTCTATATCTGTTCTAGGTTCCAATTCATTTGCCTTAAGGACATCCTTGACTGAGACTCTATACAGAGCTGCTGGACAAAGACTCAATGAAAACACATAATTGATATGATTGGTGTGCAAGTGTTTGATCTACCTGGAGAATGAAGAGGGTGAGAAGTACATTGCGAATCTGACAGGCCTGGATGACATTCCTACGAATCATATGTATCCAGCTTATTCAAAGAAATTGAGTATTTGCCACAACCTCTAATTATATAATCCTTAGATCTTTGCAACCTAATGTCATAGACCTTTGGTATTTCAAACTATGCATTTTATTAGATCAAACAGTCTAAGTGTAAAATATCAAAGATTTACAGCATCAGGTTTCTAAGATATAATGATTCAACAATTTGAGTTTGTGGCAAAGGCTCAATTCCTTTATGAAAAAACAGAACATTACTATGAGGGAGAAAATCTATGAGAGGTTAATTTCAAATTACCTCATTTAGGTTTGCTGTCAGTTGGCCAGGAGAGTAAATACCTTCGTGATGTAGTCACTATTGTTAAGAAGGAGATAGAACAAATCCTTTAGTCTTTAATCAGCGGGCCATATTGATTTTCAGTGGGAGAAATTGAGCAGGTAACAATTTTAAAAAAGCACAGCAAAAAGTGAGATCAATCAAAGGACAGGGAAAGAAAGACAGGGGCAAGCTTTTCTTAAAATCCTTCCTTGTCAGTAGGCGCTTGACATGATCTTCAGTAATATACAAATCAGAGCCCATCTCAGCCACTTTCTTTTTGGCTGCTTTTACCCCTCCCAACTTTCTCAGGTTTCCTTCGCATGCAATGTTGGTTCATCAATTGCAATAAAATGAGTTTATATATCTTGGATTATATTTCACATGATTATTTTCTCAGTAAATATTATAAACTTAATAGAAACTCATGTATAAAGAACTAAATAAAGGCAACTTTACAAAGAGAAACTCAATATAACAAGCCAGATTGAATCGATTAAATCACTAACTTTGCACAGACATTTATTTTACATTATTATTAAAATACAAACTGAGGATCAACCGAAGTCAATCCTGGAATCATAGATGGAGCTAATTCTCCTCTCGGAGCTACTGGAGCTGTGATCGACCGCTCTCTTCTCCTCCTTCATCAAGACTAACCCTTTTCTTGGGGACAAAATGGACGTTCAGATTGCTTTCTCTTCCTAACCCTTTTCTCGGGGACAAAATGGACGTTCAGATTGCTTTCTCTTCCGACGAAAGCACCGTTATCCGTGTTCCCCTGATAAGGATTCCCAGGATTTGAACCTTGCTGCCCTGGAAATTTCCTCTGGCCGTTGATACCAGCTCCAGTAGTAACGGGTTAAATACAATCAATACTATTTGTTTGTCCAGTTCCTCAACTCGTGATACAATTTAGCTTGGGTTGAATGAACTAGCTGGGTGGGTTTACAATATACTTTTGCTTGGAGGGGAAAAACTTCAATCTTTATTACAAATAATTAAATTAAGCAAGCAGTGCCTTTAAATATAACTAGTGAGGCAGGTCAGCTTTGGGCATGACAGGTGACCGCTTTCCTGTTTTTAGGAAGGTGAGAAACCTGACAAAATCAGCTACTTTTTGGTGGTAGCTGAGGGTTTCCCATCAAATGAGAAAAGTACATCTCCTCTGTTGGTGTAGATTTTCCTACTTCTTTTTATAACTCATCACCAGGTTAGTTTATGTACAGTGTAGTGTGGTGAAGTACATGGTACAAGCTAAAGTTGAGTATTTTTTCATATAAAACTATATATAAAAAGAGATTTTGTTTGGTATGCAATTTTCAAACTTCTTTTATCAAGCGATGGTTTAAACTGTAACTGTGTGATTCTAAATTAAACTGTAACTGTGTGATTCTAAATTAAACTGTAACTGTGTTCAACTATTTTAACGTTTATTGGATACAAACAAACAAAATAATAAGCAAGACAGACCCATATGGAAATCATTTTTAATCCTTCATCAACCATACATGTCTATAGACAACCCTGTTTCAAGGCTTCATTGAACTATTCAAGCCTCCAAAACTGTTAGAAACAAGTATATGCATACAATCTCAATACGTAGGCATTGGTTTGTTAAAAATTGTATAAAAATACTTGCTGCTTTTCAAGAATTTCCAATTCATCCACTAATATTATTCACGTCTAATTTTCTTTGAAAGTATTTCATCTTTTTTCTTACAAGCAATCAAATATGACAATCCTGCAATTTGATAAAAACCTAAATAGATGGTGGAATGAGTATACATGAATATTAGGAAAGAATGATTCTTTATTCATTTTTCGAATCTATTGAATAAAGGGAAGGGGTCCATGGACCTGAACCGACTCTTAATTGGATAAGGAAAATAAAGAAGCAAGACGACATTCATAGACAGACTTGAAATATAATCCTGGGCTCAGGGTTTACAAAGTCATGATATTAATTATATTCAATCCTCGTTCACAATGCATTAAATAACAGAAATCAAAAACAACTATCAAGTCGTCTCTCAATTCTCATGTTTATTGGGACACTCTGTATATGAACCGAGTTAAATTTATAAGAACCGGTCTGGAAAATTTCGTGTGAGCTACTCATAATCTCGATTTTTTGATCTCGATAACCACTGTGGGCACTTTTATTATGAGAATTAATACAATTATTCTTTTCATTTTGGTATTCCTCAAGGTTATAATATAGAACAATCTGCAGATTAATAAATAATCGAGATTTAGCATTGATCTCAAAATCCACTTTACAATTATACAAAGCTAAAATTTTTGTTTAAAAATGAAATAAATAGAACTAAAACACAAAGTAACAACAAATGTATTTCGAAGACGACATTTAAAAAATGGTTTCAAATAAATTAAATATTGTTTTACTGTTTAATATAATAAATATAAGTAAAACATTGTTTTATTGTTTAATAAAATAAACTTCCTAATTTGGTGTGTCAGGGGGTAATTAAGGAGTGATTTACTATGAATTACAAAGTTATTTGTAAATTTAATTATTCACTAGTTGAAACATTTCACTATTTGATGTTTTCCTTTGTCGGAGTACAGAAATTGCTGGAGTATTGGTTTGGTTTGGACTTCTTCTGAGAGGATGGGTTTGTAAAGACGACATTGAGTGGAGGTGCTTAGAAGGTCGATTTCTCTTTAATAGAGACTTGTGCATTTCTACTGCAGGAAAACAAATAGGAATTATCAGAATGAAACATTTTTAAGCGACAATATTTTCCACAAGTATTATCAAATAAAGGTTTAAGGTACCATCATAACTTGTAGAAATTATTGAAATCTGATTTGTTTTTAATAAAAACTTCTTTTACTGAAGAGCTATTGAGAAGAACAAAAGTATTTTGAATTCTTAATATGTAACCTATTAAATTTTTTCCTCATACTCATTCTTAAAATGAAACCTGGATGAGCTACAAGGTCACAAAGGCGTAACAGTATTATCGCCTTATTTGACCTTCTCCTTCTGTCCAGTTTAGTGTTTATATTGTGCCATATTTTATTTAAATTAATATCTCTAGTGGAGAGAGACTAGAGAGTGCCTATTGTGAATCGGCCAGTGTCCATGCATCCATCCAAGCCATCCAAGCCTCCCTGCGACTGTTCATCTCCCCGTGGTCATTGAACCATTCAAAGAAATCGTTATAGCCATTGAAAGCAATGTACAGAATAAATATTGTGACAACATCTGCGAAGAGATGAACTGATCAAACTGCCACCATAAACCTGCATGCTGCACAAACCATAAACCTGCAGGCTGCACAAACCATAAACCTGCAGGCTGCACAAACCATAAACCTGCATGCTGCACAAACCATAAACCTGCATGCTGCACAAACCATAAACCTGCATGCTGCACAAACCATAAACCTGCATGCTGCACAAACCATAAACCTGCATGCTGCACAAACCATAAACCTGCATGCTGCACAAACCATAAACCTGCATGCTGCACAAACCATAAACCTGCATGCTGCACAAACCATAAACCTGCATGCTGCACAAACCATAAACCTGCATGCTGCACAAACCATAAACCTGCATGCTGCACAAACCATAAACCTGCAGGCTGCACAAACCATAAACCTGCAGGCTGCACAAACCATATTCAAAAAAACGCAATTTTTATGTACATATGCATGTATAGACAAAATAACACCATCAAAAAAAAATTTAAAAAAAGAAGACGACAGTTGAAATCTTCAGAGTAAATATTGCAATTATTTCCAAGTATAATTGCAAATTTTCAGATAAGTTTTTTATCTTAGAACTGAACTATAAAGCTAGGCCCGGTGTATGTTAATTATCAATCTGCTCTATCAGAACTAGAAACTAGAAACCTTAAGGATTAGGAGAGAGAAACTTTGTTTATCCTTTGCTAAAAAATGTCTAAAATCTCAAAGGCATTCTGCCCTGTTCCCGGTAGAACCAGTCACTCACAACCACCAGCTACGGAACGTTGAACTGTTTACTGTCAACTATGCTAGAACGAAGAAATACAGAAAATCTGCTATTCCCTATATGCAGAGAAAATTAAACTTCCTATGATATAACCTTATCTTAATCTGTGATAAAACCCATGATATACTCAATTTTATTCTTATGAGAATGTTAATCATGTTATAATATGTATTATGATCTTGATTTATCTCTAATAAATCTTACTTACTTACTTACTTACTTAACTATAAAGCTTTAGCTAACGGTTTATTTCGTTCGATTTACAATTATCTTTAGCGTTAAAAATAGATTCGTTTAACATTTACGAAAAATAGTTAGTTAGTTGACGAGCGTTTTTTTATTTTCCTATTTTTTTTAATGAATGGTTCATTTTGGTTAATAACGATTCGAAAATTAGGTTTTTTTCATAGGACTTTTTTGCTTAAGATACGAACAAGAAAAAGGTTTAACACTTAAAATTTTTAGACTTTTCACCAAAGAATATTTTAGCTCCTTAGCTAAAAACTTTTCTGAAAAAAACCTTTGTATGAGTATACTGTTTAAAAAACTTGTTTTAAAAAGTCGTCTTCATTATATTGCTATGATCATCTACCACCGTACTTAGATAATTAAACTTCTCGCGATGTATGGCATTTTACTGAACTTTAAATCAAAAAGTTTGATTTAAAATCTGTAAAATTTTTTCTAAAAATGCATCCTTTCCTTCCTGAGGCATATTGTCAAAGTGCTTCATATATTACCCAAATAATTTGAATAGTATGTTTTTAGTTTTCAAAATAGAACACACAGACTGCTTATTATATAGCATAAATATGTGAAGTACACCTGCAGTATGGAAACAGTACAACAAAATGGCCGTTTTACACTTTTTTCTAGTAAATTCCACTCTAATATATATATTCTATTTTCTATGTTGCATTCCCATTCAGGGGTCAAGTTTTACAAGTTTTAAAGAAATACTCTAACTTTTAACATAAAAAATTAAATTTATGAATTTGGTTTATTTTTGAAGGTTTTGTGTTTCGTATTCAAAGGATCTTTAAATATTCCTGAATACAGCTACGTCGTGTAGTTCAGTTGAACACAATGGAAAATGCTGGGAAAATATCGTATACTCTTGACTGTAATAGATCTCTACTTCTTCTACTCATATATCTCTGTTAGAACTTAATCCTTCTATGTTAACCATTTCTAAGAAATTAAGATTTTATTTCATTAAACATTTTTTCATAAGAACATTTTTTTCAATCAAGAGATAACTTTTTCAGACTGCTTGTCAGTGAACAAAGTGATTTGCTCCTAAAAAATATGTTGAAAAGAAAACATATAATTTATTTGATTCAAAACTGACCTGACCTGACTTGACCTCCCCTAATCTGACCTGACTTGACCTCCACTAATACCTGACCTGACCTCCACTAATACCTGACCTGACCTGACCTGACCTGACAGCTGTTCTGATCATGGAAGTTTGAAGAGCTTTGGTTTTCATCTTCTTATAATTGTCTTCTCTTGTGCGAATAAATTCTTGAATCTAAGAAAAAAATTTTAAATACGAAATCTTTCATTCATGTAAAGGGACTCCAGTCATACAGGATTAACCAGAAAACCCTTGAATAAGAAGACGACATTATAGCAATACTCAATTAGAATTGAATGCTGTTACAAAGCAAGTAGTTTTACGAGATTATTATTAAATCACTAATTTCAGTAAAATTGGTCTTTTTGCACAGTGCACAGTGCACAATTGTCTCAACCCTCAATATCTCATACTCATTTGACAAGTTATAACTTGATGATTCTAAAAGTCGTCTTCCTATTTCAGAGTTTTCTGGTTATCACTGTATAGATATAAAGTCATCACTTTTTTTATATATTGATATATTTGCCTAGATACAGGCATATCTAGGAATATCTGAATCACAACTGTACTCTTACACCGAAATTTAAATTATCCTGTACAGTACTACACAGAAAGACCCGTAATTAACTTAATATTAATCAGACGACATTACAACATAATTTTACAAATATGATTGATGAACGATAATCACATAAAAGCCCTAATCCTATCATTTTCAAATACTGGTCTGCCTTTTTTGAGCATTTAAAATATAAATATAGTCGTCTGATTAACTGTTTTCTAAGTATGACTGTCGTTTACAAAAACAATGAATATAAAAATCATGTTACATAGAAATCCTTGCTTTTACCTTTTCATCCTTTTTCTTTATTAACTCCTTTTTCATCCATTCTTCTTGCTTCTCTTTCTCGTAAATGATTCTTTTTCTTTCTCGAATTTGTTCTTCCTTTAGTTTTCTTTCTCTTTCTAGACAGAGGTTGGGTTCAAAATTGACTAGTTTTAGGTCAAACACAGTGATGAATGATTAAAATGACAATGATTTTCTAAAAAATTTAGAATTTTAAGATTTCTCTCTAAAATAACTATTTGTTGCCTAAGAAAAGAATATTGAAATATAACTTTAAATGTTTACTTTTAAGTAAATCAATACACACAGATGTAGTAAATGCCCTACTCCAATAAATCCTTTTATATCCAGGCATATCCTTCCTTATCCTTAGATACCTGTCATACAAGATACAGCTTAATCGCGAACTCAAGGTCGCTCAATTATCTGAGGTATCTGTCTTACAAGATACACTTAATCGCGAACTCCAGGTTGCTTAATAATACTTTAGTTCCAATATTAATCTGGATACAACTTTATCTGCATTCTCAAGTATCTATCCTACAAGATACAACTCAATCGTAAACTCCAGGTTGCTCAATAATCTCAGGTATCTGTCTTACAAAATACAACTCAATCACAAACTCCAGGTTGCTCAATAATACTTTTGTATCAATATCAATCTGGTTACAACTTTATCTGTATTCTCAGGTATCTGTCTTACAAGATACAACTCAATAGTGAACTCCAGGTTGCTCAATAATCTCAGATATAGCTGTCTTACAAAATAAAACTAAATCGTAAACTCCAGGTTGCTCAATAATACCTTAGTATCAATGTCAGTCAAGATATGACTTTATCTGTATTCTCAAATATCTGTCTTACAACATACAATTCACTGTAATTCCTAGCCTAGATCTATCTTTCAAAATGTGACTCAGGTCCCCTCTCGTTCGCTAAACAAGGAAAAATTACTCTAACACCGTAATCAAATGGAGTATTATTCCAACTGACGTATGTTTTGAGTTCTATGTTACATGTTAAATTAATGAAAGTAATTAGAAGTTTTATGTAGTTATTTACAAGCGTAGTTAGGTTAATCGCAATACAGGTTTCACTTAGTTATTTACAAACATAGTTTGGTTATGGATAGTGTACAGTGTAATGTAAATATAGGGTTTACTACGATATTTATTACACAGAAAGTAAAGTTTTTATTGATCCTCTAATAAAAGTGCCGACAAATGATATCGAGAATTTTTCCCTTACGTCCCTCTTTTTTTCTTTACCTTTAGTTTCAGATTTTAATCTTCGTTCTTCATCTTTCTTTTCCTTTGCTTGATTTGCAACCAATTCTCTAAAGTGTTTTTTTTTGGTTTGTACAAAAATCCTTTGGGAAAGAACCAAACATCACATTTCTTACTTGAATTTGATGTAACATGTAACTGTAAATATTAAATACAAACAATTTTCCTTGTTTTCACCAAATGTGTCTTCCAGTTTTTAAATCGTTCTGTTAGTTCATTCCTGCAACATTAATTTATAAACTAGTAGAGGCACTCTACGTTGCCCGAGGAAAAAAATTGAATTTGAAAAAAATTAATTTCGAAACGAAATTTCATTTTAAAATATATGAGATAAATCGTAATCATTTTTTAATCAGATAAAACAAATATTTAAAATGGAAATAAAATTGTGATTTAGAATTTTTAATACACCCACCTTAATTTTTGAGCATTTTCCAGCTTAGTTTTAAGTGCAGCAGCATTCCTGAGACAAAACTATGAAAATTTAAAATGTTTGATTTTTTATTTAAAATTTTGTGTTGATGATACTCACAGAGTGAAAATAGGGTTAGTTCCATATTGTTTAAAAAATGTTGGTCTGGGTTGGCCCCTCTTCAGTTCTTGAGATTTTTTTTATGTCATGCAAATTTAAAACAGAGCCTGCGATTTTAAAAATTCGGGAAAATACGGCTAGGGTCTAAGCTGTCGTTGGGCCTTATTTAGGACTTGAGCTTTCAGATTCAAGCTGCATCTTATTTTCCACAGAGATGAATTCAAAAAACTGGTTTAATATTCTATTTGGCGGATTTTCATGGAAGGAATTGGCGCATTCTAGGATTTTATGAGAACAACATTGAGCCTTATTCTCTATTTAAACCAATCAAGGTCGGATTTATTTTCAATGGACCTAACTTCTTAAATTGAGCCGAAGATCTTGCAGCTGTCAATCAAGTGATACACGCTGTCGTCAGATTTGGGTCGAAGATTGGGGCAGCTTAAGGTCGGGTTTAAGGAATTACGGCTCCAGCCGAAGTTTTAAATCGCGGGCTAAAACAGATTTTTCAAAGAGGAAATTAAATTTACTTAATATATAACCTTTGAATTTGTTCCTGCTCTGCAGTTTGTTTTTCTTGAATGGCTTTCTCAACTTGTCGATCCCTTTTCTCTACAAAACAAAAATGTTTTTGTTTTCAATGTAGAAATATATGTAGATATGGCATTAATGTCTCTTCAGATTACTAGAAACAAGAATGGTATAACATCCTCTGATTATTACTGAACAAATTTAAGAGAATTTAATTTAATAAGTCAAAAGCTGATTCGTTTGAAGCATAGAGTAATAAAACGAAGAGGTAAAGCTTAGCTCAGATGTACACAAACGACCTCCCTATTATTTAATTAATAGATTGTACACAAAGGACCATTCTTGTTTCTAGTAATCTGAAGACATTGCTTTTTGGACAATTTTGTAATCAAAATCAAAACTTTAACATTTTTACTAAGTCACTGAAATATATGTATAGAATATTATATAGTTTTAATTATATGATTATTAAAAATCAATAATAGTAATTTTTTTAAAATTGAGAATTATTGAGAATGCATACCCCAATAAACGTTATTTTGTATCACTGTAATTTTATCACTGGAACAACTTCATGTTTTGTAATTACCTAAGTATGCTAAAAGATGCGCAACCTCATAATGTCTTTGATCTTCAACCCTTTCCTTATTTAACCTGAATTCAAATCTGAATATTTTTCTTTAAAAAAAAATTATGTATTGATTTTACCGTGGGACTGTTACAGTTGTCCCGTCCTGGTCGATATTCTTTTTATTGTTTGCTTGTCTCTGTTTTTGTTGAAACCAATTCCAATGCTCTGCATTAGAGTTTTCTTCTCTATCAGATCTACTCTAGAAATATATATATATATATATATGATCTGGTGTTCTACCAAAATAATGACGTTTGTTAAGTTTCTAAGTATTAGTTATAATCTATAATTGCATTATTTCTTACTAGCGGAAAAAAAATTTTACTAAAAAAATCACATTTTTTTAGCCTAGGACGTTCAACGATACTCATCTGGTCATCTAGAAAACTATTATGTGAATTATCAAATCTTCAAAATTCAATTCTTTTAACCTTCTCGAATACCGATGCATATCTATTCTTGTTTACAAATTCCGCCCAGAGAGAACTGGTTTCAATATGTACGCAGAGTATACGCAACTTCAATTAACTTTCCTTCATTATAACATTGATTCTACCCTGGGTAAATTCAATAACCCTGAGCCCGAATCTTCCCAACTTAACGAGTGTATTTAAGACGTACTAAGTATGTCTCCGTACTCTATAGTGTTTGTCCACTAGATGTCTCCCGTTAGTTATTTTCGGACGGACAGACTTACTCGACACGTCATTTTACCATATTTTATCCTTATCATAGTGTCAGCACAAAACAACTTTTTAAACCCAGGTATAAATAGTAATCGCAATTTTATTAATTAAATTACATCGAAAAAGTCAAAATTTGACACAATTTTAATAAAAACAAAATAAAAATTTAATATTTTGTCATTTAATTAAAAAAAAATAGATTATCCAATGCGTATCTTTAGAATTTAACATTTTTTAAAATCATCAATTAAAAGTATCCCTGAATATTTATTCCCACGTATTTTGAGCAGCTTTCTTTTCATTTTTGTCTATAGAGGTCGCACCATGAAGCAGTTTATTGTCGGACACTAAATGTCCATGGAAGATCGCATTTAGACAATTCACAATTCCTCCGTATTTAAGACATGAGTAAGTGAAGAAATCATGTGTTTGCAAAAAGTATGGATGGCTAGATATGGGCTCTGGGTAAAACTCGGGGTCGACCCTGAGTTTTCTCTACCCTGGTTAATTTTACTCTAGAGTCTATCGTAACCCAGGGTGTTGAAGGTCCAAAAAATTGGAACTAGGGTTAACCCTAGAGTAAATTCCTTTAGAATATTATTGCCAAGCTATTGATTGTAGCTAATTCTAAGCTCAAAATTGAAGCTTATTATTTTTGATATTTGTGTAAAAAAAGTAGTCCACAGAAATATCTTATCTAGAGATCACCTCAACTCACCACACTTGGTAATTTCATTAATAAATTATTTGTTAGTTTATTGTGTCATCTAATACCATAAGAATGAGATACTGCGCGTTTAACACTACAATCTACATGCTCATCGGAAAGGTTATAAATTAAAAATCATTACCTTGGCAGCCTGCCGGGCTTTTAAGTATTTTTCATCCCTCTTTCTTGCTTCCTTGTTTATCCTGTTCACCTGGATGTAGTAATATTTAAAAAAAAATTTTTTTTTAGATATTTTTTATTTTATTCATATTACCAGAGCCCACGATTTAAAAACTTTGGCTCGAGCCTTAATTCCTTAAACCCGACTTTAAGACCCAATCTTCGAGTCAACTCTGACGACAGCTTGTGTCACGAGATTAACAGTTGCAAAATCTTCGGCTCGACTTAAGGAGTTAGGCCCAATGAAAATAGTGGAGAACAAGACTTAATGTTGAGTCTTGTTCATAACAAACCCCGGAATTCGCCCATTCAAAATACACATTTAGGTCCCCTAGGTAGACAAGACAGAAATACAGTATGTTTTTTGTAATTAATATTGATTCGGAAGGACTGGAATTTTATTAGAAGCCTAAGGGTCAAATGTTTTTATGAAGTCTAAACTCAATTATTTTTACCGGAGATTAATTTAAATAAAATAAATATTGATGATATCTGATAGAATTATATTCACGGTAAGAACCAGAAAATAGTGAAATAATCGTCGATTTTGCAACTAAACTATTTCTTTTTTTGCTCTAAACTTTTTGAGAGATATACCAACTGCATTTTTTAAAATTGTAAGTGATAGGATATAAACGGCAACATACATTGCACAGTTTTCTCATACTTACTGTATTAAAGGGATTGTTGATGTAATTTCAAGTAAGCTTTTATTGATAGAATGGCATGTTCGATTCTCACCATTACCCTTAAACCCTAGATATGATGAAATATAAATCCCCTCTCTATAAGTGTGGTTTCTGCTTTAGAAACAATAAAAAGCAGACTGTCAGAATTAAACCCTTTTCAAGCTAAAAACGACACGTATCTTTTATAGTTTTGATCAGATAAAGGTTTAATTGGTGCCAATGTGAATCTCGCGTTTAATTGGAAATCACAATGATGATGTCTTTAATCATTATGTAAAGTTTCACCCCCACTGTACAGTACACTACAGTGCAGTACTGTACAGTACAGTACAGTACAGTACAGTACAGTACAGTACAGTACAGTACAGTACAGTACAGTACAGTACAATACAGTACAGTACAGTACAGTACAGCACAGTACAGTACAGTGCACTACATTACACTACAGTACACTACAGTACACTACAGTACAGTTCACTTCATTAGAATACAGTTAATACTTTATTTGGGTTTAAAGGCTTTTTTTGTTTAAACATTTTTATCTTTTTCAAAAACATTTTATTTATTTGTGTTTTCAACTTAATTTTTTGAATTTTTTGTTTGTTTGTGTGTTTGTGTGTTTACCTTTTCCTCTTTTATTTTTTTCATCCTCTCTACTTGCCTTATCTCCTAGCAAAATATATGTTTCTGTATTTTTGTACAAAATTAAAATAATGAAATACAAAATTACATGGTTATAAAGCGCTGAGCTGAAAACTCTTGTATTGTGGATATCAAGGTTCAAGATCAAGATCAAGATCAAGATTCAAGACCAAAAACAAGATTCAAAATCAAGATCAAGATCAAGATTTAAGATTCAAAATCAAGATCAAGATCAAGATCAAGATTCAAAATCAAGATCAAAGATCCAAGATCCAAGATGAAAGATCAAGACTTGATCTAGATCTTTTAATAATCTGCAGATAAATTGATGTTGATTGTACTTGCAGTCAGAGGATCAAGGAGCTTTGATCAGGGGAGGAGAAACTAAGATAAACTTGAACTATGCAGAGGATCAAGGGAGATTTGATCAGGGGAGGAGAAACTAAGATAAACTTGAACTATGCAGAGGATCAGGGAGCTTTGATCAGGGGAGGAGAAACTAAGCTAAACTTGAACTATGCAGAGGATCAAGGAGCTTTGATCAGGGGAGGGGAAACTAAGATAAACTTGAACTATGCAGAGGTTTTACATAATTGTTACAGCTACATACCTAAACAAACCAGTATACTGGTGTGTTTAGTTTTGCAAAATAACGTCAAAACTCCTAATCAAAATATTGAAAACATGAATCTAAAAAGTATGAGTGCTGAAAATTTAGTGCATTGAAAGAATGTAATGCAAGGAAAGTTAATTGCAGTTGCGTACACTCTGCGTACATATTGAAACCAGTTCTCTCTGGGCGGAATTTGTAAACAAGAATAGATGCATCAGTGTTCGTTTAGTATCCGAGGAGGTTAAAAGCATTGAATTTTGATAATTTTGATAATTCACATGATAGTTTCCTATGACCAGAATATTTCATTGATTTTTTTTTGTGAAAGATGGATCCCATGTCAGTTTCGACATCCGTCTTGTGTTTACATTACCGCCCAGTGACAGTACACTGCAGTACAAAAGATGAGTACACCTTTGAAATAACTTTCCTTGCATTAAATCCTTTGTGCATTGTGAATAATTATCACTAAGCTTTTTTTAAAACAAATTATAAATCAATGTTGTAAATTACCTTGCGTTGAATTTTGTTTTTAAGTTCATATTTTTCAGAAACTTCTTTTTCTTGTATTTTCTTCTCCCTTTGAAAATAAACTTTTGAAAAAATCTCTTTTTATTTACTCTTTTGGAAAAAAATATAAATCTACACACCAATGTTTAACCCCCCCCCCCCACCACATTGATAACTTTATATTATGGGTGTTCTTTACAAGGCACTGCAGAATTATTGAACATAGATAAGTCACTTTTACCCTAAATAGGCTGGGGGGGGAGGGGGGTTTGTCCTAGCACTCTCATTTTATTTACACCAATGCCGTGAAAATTTGTGACTTTTAACGAATGGAAATTAATAGGATTTGTTTGTAAATAATTTTTTTTCAATGCATAGGTTTTGAAAAAGTCCGATCTGTGAAAAAATCTAAAATATCCCAAAACCTTTTTGTGCCTAAAACTACAGTTCTATATTTTTGAAAAACCCTTGAAAAAAGGACTAAGAAACATGTTTCACACTTTGATATTTGTTTAACACAAAAAAAATATATTTCTTTATTTTTCTGACCGATTTTTTTGGCATTTTTTTTAACCCTCCCTACCACCCAAACTATTAAAGTTATCGGTCTAATTTTTTATAGACCTCCCAGCCTAGCTTTATTTAAGATTATTATTATTATTAAGTTCTAATAATTACTAGCTGAAGTGGCCGGATTTGCCCGTGGAATAAAAAAAAATTCAAACAAAAAAATGATTAGATAAATAAAAGAAAAACCTTTTTTTCCTGGTAATCTGTTCATCCTTCAAGTTTTCTTGGTAAAGGATTCTATTTTTCTCCAGGTTAGCCAGAGCTCTAGCCTCCTCCTCCTCCTAGTAATAGGACGTATAGTCATATTTCAGATGATCCTTCATTAATAGATAACACTGTCTGAATCACAACAGTACTTATTATAGCTTTGACTGTTAGAATCCCACCTTTTCTGCCAACCATGATTTCCAGATTAATTGTCTATTAGTCTCCTGAACCACCTCTTCTACCTGTCTAAATAAATTTGAGTATTAGATTTTTCATTAAGAAATTATGCATTTTAGCCGCCCCCCCCCCCCCCATGATTTTGCCCTTAGAGTTTAGATAAAGGTAAGTGATAAATGTCCCTAGTCCAACATGTCAAAATCAGCTAATTTAAACAAATTAGACTTCTAAAATTGATGGCTGGGTACAAGAGAGGCTTAAAAAGTCCGTCAGAAAAAGTTGAAAAATACCACTATGGCCTATTTGCATCAAAAAATGTTTAGCTAAATTTTTTCATAAGTTTGAAGCTTTTGACAGACAGCTCTTTACATATTTGGAGCAGTCAATAACTCTCGTACTAGCCGGTCTAAACTACCCAAAAGGATACAGAGGAGAACTAGGATACCCAGGATACCAGATGATACCCATATCCTGATATTTGAGATGCTGCTCTTGACAGACAGCTCTTATTATATCTGGAGTAGCTAGAAGATCCAGTCAGACCTAGGACTTCCAGGACAAACAGTAGAACTATAGATATCCAGGACACATAGGAACTAGGACTTCCAAGACACATAGGAGAACTAGGATATCCAGGACACACAGGAGAGCTAGGACTTCCAGTACACAGGAGAATTAGAACTTTCCAAGACACACAGGAGAGCTAGGGTATCCAGGACACAGGAGAGCTAGGATATCTAGGACACATGGGAACTAGAACTTCTAGGACTCTAAGAGCAGAAGCTAAAACTGATATTGGAGACGCTGCTCTTTACAGACAGCTCTTTACATATCTGTTGTAGCAGCAGCAGAACCAGAGGATTCTGAGTACAGAGACGCCGCTCATGGTAGAGCAGCTCTTCACAGTCCTGCTGAGGAATCAGCAGCCAAACCAGAGGATCCTGAGTACGGAGATGCCACTCATTGTGGAACAGCTCTTCACAGTCTGGTTACAAGTACAAAAAAAGAAGCAGCTACAAACACAGTAGGAGTATCTGAGATTGTAAGAACAGCTAACATAGCAGAGGCTCCAGGAGCAGCTCCCGTAGTAAAAAAGCAGTAGGAAATAATGTAGAAGCTTCTCCGGAACCAGAGCAGCTGAAAGAGATAGTGTAGTATGAGGAAGCTGCTCAGATAGATTATAATCCGGAGCAGCTGAATGAGATATTTGAGGTTGAAGAAGCTGCTCACACAGATTCTGAACTGGAGCAGCTGAACCACGGTTTTCCGGATATCAAAAGAACTGATTAAACAAGAGTAAACTTACAAATAAACCTATGAAGATGACAAATCCTATTCATTTATACTCCAGGAGATACATAGAGAAAGAGCTGTAAAAAGGGATTTATAAAAACAGAGTTCTGGAATGTAGAGTAAAATATTTGTACAAGCCCTACCCTTGGGAACAAATGATTGATCTCGAAATCCTTAGGATTTTTATCTGGATTGTAGTGAATTGAACACCTTTAATCATTACAATGGCCATCTTTGCAAGAAGGGTCACTTGAAATTAGACATACAGGCCCTTTAAACATGTTTATATATATATATATATATATATATAACAAATAATCCCAAGTATTTCAGGGTAAAATTACAATAACATTAATTTTCATGTTTCTATCGCCCAAACCAGTGAATTTTGACAAATAGACAAAGTACAGTTTATTTAATTTTTTTAGAGGGGGGGCTTACATTTTTTTTTACCTTTTTATCATAAGTTGAATAATTTTTTTGTCTCGTTGAGGAATATCAAGATCCTGCATGACGGTGTCCTCTACCCCGAATAGAGAGATAAACCCCTTACTAGTTTCATCCAGGCTCAATCCCATCTTTTTCACCTTTTTTAATCAACATTTTAATTTAATTTTCTCTTTTCTGGACTTCTTATTTCTGATTTACTTAAACCCTACTCTTCTCTAACCTACACCCTACACTTCTCTAAACTAACCCCTACTCTTCTCTAATTCCTACACCCTACACTTCTCTAAGCTAACCCCTACTCTTCTCTAATTCCTACACCCTACACTTCTCTAAACTAACCCCTACTCTTCTCTAATTCCTACACCCTACACTTCTCTAAACTAACCCCTACTCTTCTCTAACCTGAACCATACTCTTCTCTAATTCCTACACCCTACACTTCTCTAAACTAAACCCTACTTTTCTCTAAACTGAACCCCACACTTCTCTAACCTGAACCCTGCTATTCTCTAACCTTAACCTTACTCCTCTTTAACCTGAACCCTACTCTTATCTAACCTTAATCTTACTCCTGACTTATCTAAACCCCACTTTTCTCTAACCTGAACCCTACTCTTCACTAGCCTAAACCCTACTCTTCTCTAACCTGAACCCTACTCTTCTCTAACCTAAACCCTACTCTTCTCTAACCTGAACGCTACTTTTCTCTAACCTGAACCATACTCTTCTCTAACCTAAACCCTACTCTTCTCCAACCTGAACCCTACTCTTTTCTGACCTGTGGTCCACGAGGATTGTCATAAGAAAATTGGTTCTAATAGGTTCACACGTTTTTTGGTTTATTGGATACAAACAGAGAGACAAATAAGCAAAGTTTAAAGATGGAAATAATTTATAACAATCAAAATAATAATATTCTTAGGGAAATGAGAAAAGTTAAATTTGCTAACTCCTCTATCTTTGCAACCTGGTGTTGTTAACCTCTGATGTTTCAAACTTAGTTTGTTTGATCCAATATAATTCCTACTTTGAAATATCCAAGGTCTACGACTTTGGGTTGCAAAGATATAGAGATTTGCAAATCAGAGTTTTGCAGCAAGGACTCAAATCTGTTCTTAACAAACACGAAGAACGACAACGACAAGATTCCAGTGTTTTCTGGTTACCACTGTAACCTTTATCTTGTATCGTTTTGTATTTAACTAGTTAAACCTGGATATTAAGACGAGTAGCTCTGTTTCTCTCTCTCTAAACCTCTCATCCATCTATCTATATATGTCTATTATATATATATATCCATCTATCTTTTCTTATATTCATCCTTCTCTAAATACCTTACTTTCTCCTAGATCCAAGAAAGATAAACCAAGAATACATGTTTACATAGAAAGTGTACTGCAGTTTCTGGGAGTAATATAAACAAAAACCAGCCTAATAAACAGTTAACAAAAACCAGCATAATGAAACAGTTTGTTTATATTTCTCCCAAAAACTTGTAATACACATGTGAACACAATTAAATAAAGATAAGGGTGTTCCTATACAACAAAATCTATAAACATGATTTTTATAATTTGTTTTACATTTTTTGAAAATTTGAAATATTTAAATTAAAGTTTTCATGTGTTTAATTCTCACACATTGTTTCATGGCATGATTTTCCTGACTGCAGACATTGATTTCCAGACTCTAGAAATAGGGCGAGCAAACCTTTAAAACAGAGTCCAAATAAATTAATAATAATGAACTTCCGCATCTAAAAGGAGGCATGGCTGATTATTTATTAATGCTATCAGATGTTGAATAGTCTGAGGTGTACAGTCTTCCAGTTTAGATATTGTTGCCGCCATCTTTTCGTCGTGCACCGTAAATCTTAAAATTTCGTGGATTTTTCTCTGAGCATTTATGGATTTTCAGAAATTTTTAAAAACTTTATATTTTTAAACCAAATAGTATTGAAAATTATAACTTTTGTCTGAACTTCGTCTTCTTATCCCTAAAATTGATGAAGACTGGAAAAAAAATAATTTATAAGTATTTAAGAAGTGCAAATTAAAAACCAACAAAAAAATAGTCTAGATAAAAAAAACACCTGAGCTGGGAACTTTAGAATGGTTGATATCAGGATTGATGCTTAATCCTCTCTTTTTACTAATCTAGAGACTAGCATAATCTCGAGATTGTATTAGTCTCCAGATTAAATATTAAGATCAACAAATTTGATTCTAGAAACGCCAGATTTGTTTATTTTCTTGACTGGAAGAGCCTTCACTTAATTTCTCACCCATTTATTTATTAATTTATTAGTTAAAATTGGGTAAAAAAGAATCTTAAAAGTATTGTTAAATATTTTTTTTTTATTTACAAAATGGCCGACAACAAATTCTTTATTTGTTAGAAATTGCGGATTTCTGTCATGGAATAGAATTTATTTTCAAGGCTGTAATTGGTCAATACAATTTACGAACTATATTCCTGCACTCTCATTGGAGAAAACAATGTACGGATATCCAAAGAGAGAGAAAAAGAGTGGATTAAGGACTATAATTAAAAGCTTCCACAATGGATATTCGGATTAAGTAGTTGGGATTGAAGGTTATCCATTTTAAAGTTCCAAGCTCTGTGTAAGAATTTTTTTTTAAATGCGATATCATGATAAAAAGATGAACTATGATGAAAAAAACTGTAGACGTTTGTCAGCATGCAAAGGCCTTTTAAGAAAATTCTATCAGAATCTTTTTTAACTGAAGGTACTTACCAAATTTCTTTTTTAAAAATAGAAACCCCATTTTTGTTCGCCTTTTTAATAGTCAAAACATCAATATCTATGACATCTCTGACACCATGATATGATGTCATAAAAATGCTTCTCCATCTAAAAAATAAACAATTGAGATCGATTTAATTTTTAACTTTACAATCCAGATCTTCTACGTTGAAACATACCCATTACCCAGGATATCAAAAATTACCCTAAAAATAAATCTTTTTAAAATTTGATTTTACATTTTACATTTATTTTTATGAAATTTTTAGTATTTACTTTTGGCGTTCCAAGCTTGAGTTACCCATGCTATATGTTTTTTGCCATCCCAGAATAAAATTTCCTAAATTGGTTGCAAATATAAATAACTAACAAGTATTGATTAAAATTCAAATATTTAAATATCTAACTAGTGTCTATCTGACAGTAAGACAGAGCACAGGTATTTAAACTAGAGATGAATGTGTTTTTTTTTTATCCGTTAAAGTGACTGTAGAAGTAATTTCAAGTCACCTTGCTTTTATGGAATGCCATTTCTTGTTCACAACCACTGGAAACCCTGGTTCACTTCAAGAACAGGGCAGACTTTTAACGTAATAAACCAAACTTTACATTACATATACACTTCAGTGATAACCAGAAAACTCTGAAATAGGAAGACGACTTTTAAGCTTAAGTTAGGACTTTAACTAGTTCAATGAACATCAGACATAGCAATTGTACAGTGTAAATAAACCCATTTCACTTAAATAGTGCGTTGCTAAGTTACTAGTAAAAATATTTGCTTTGTAAAAACATCATGTCGCTTAATTGTATTGCTATGATGTCGTCTTTCTATTCCATTGTTTCTGTTTATCACTATATACAGACAATACAAGGCAAAATGGGACGGTACGCCAAATGAACAATCCCCGTCAAGTAATGTTTATGTGTAAAACCTTTGTCTGATCTTTAAACTGATGAAGTAAATCCTATTTTTCTATCTTAAAATTGATTGACATGCGGACTTATGGAGAGAAGATAATAAAGATGAATAGACGGTTTGCTTAAATTTCATTCTACTGCAGTCTCTTTAACAATTTGTCAAACAAGCGATACAGCTAGATAAGCCTGTCACGTAAGGGTTTGTTTATAACTAATATCATCTAGGACTATAGGCACGTTTGAATTTTTTAATCCGTTCGTTGGAAACATTATTGTATAGCCGGGGTATAGGCTTTTATGATCTGATATTTACTTTTAAAAACATGTATTCCTTTTTCGAGGATTTTTGATAATGAAGACGACATTTTCATATTTTCCAGGAATGTTCCAAAATCCAGCGCCAGCGAAATGTTATTTAAAGAAACAAAATTATTTTTTTTAATATTGTCTATATACGAATGCGTCATAAATAATCGATGACTATTGATCGTAATAACTGAATGATTTGTTTGGAATTAAATTGATTATTTTACGATCAGAGTTAAATGTTGCAACTTTCTGAATTTGTATGGACGCTACGTTCTTTAATCTTTAGCATGAGTCATTTTTAACAATTTCTCCTTATAGACGCAACAGATAGAAGTAAGATTAGTAGTGATCAAAATCGCTTATATTTCGCCGTAAGCCTGTATCCCCTTTCATTTTTCGCAAACACTCCCTTTAAGAACTGAACTTTCAACAACACAATTTAAAAATATCACTTAAGTAAAAGAGTTAAAATATATTTTTTAAACAGTTAAACTTCCTTTTTAAAAACTTTCATTTGTTTCAGAGTTGGCTGAGATAAAAACATATTGCATATCAATGTTAAAGAATTTACGAAGACGATCTCCAAAGAAAGCACGTGAGCCGCGTGTTCCGTTTTTACCGGCATTAACTAGAAAACTATTCGGATCAAGACATAAAGGTAAAATCGTAAATGAGCCAGAAAAGAAACTACTTCGTTAAAATCATTTATATCTACATTATATGTGAAAAGTTGCAAACAGTACGATCAATTTCACTAACCATATTCTTACTGATAACTCAAAAAATTATTTGTGCTCTGGAGTTCAGATTTTCTAACTAACGCATGTCTCTGGCTACAGCCTGAATACCTTAATTTCCAGTACGAGACCTAATCTTTTATTACACATATTTTCAGTCATTGGATTTTAACATTCTATAGCCCTGTTGAAAGCCTGTAACAAAACAAAGCAGAATGCATAATTATTGCCAAAAAAAATCGCAAAGATTTTTGCACAAACGCCTTTAAAGGGAGTAATTGCACATTTTCAGATTTTCTTAAATAAACATTATAAAGTAATACAAATTTTGAAAATAATTTTGCATATTTGAATTTGCTGGGTCAAGGGCTCTTTAAAAATGTATAAATTGACTCATTTTGCGCGCAATTTTAGCTCTTGCACATTCATTACTAAAAAAATTGTAGACTCCTGGGACTTTACAGAGACGTATCAAATGTTATATTTAGATATATATCAGGGTCCGTCCTACAGATATAAGTGTGATAGCTCAGAGTTCTAGTTGGGGTGCTATGCCCCCCTTTACAGGTCTAAGGGGGGCACTACCCCCCTTTACCTTCCCTATATACGCACTTGAAATCAATTCAAAACTGAAGCTCTGACCTTAAACAAATGTTTGTCCGGAGACACCCGGGGGTTGTGGGGGCTTAAATGTTTTCCTCTTTCTAAACGAAATGGAAAAGCTAAGCTCCCGTCAGGGACTTTCCCTTATTCAGAGTGAGAGATACTTCCCCAGAGACCCTTTTCTTTACCTCGTAATCACCCTGAACATATACACTGGGAGCCATTAAACTGTGGAATAGGAAGACGACATTCAAGAACTTTGATGTGTACTTGATGTTTTTAAAAGTAAATTATTTTAGTAGCTTGTAACTCAGCTTTCTAAATTAATTAAAGCAATTAAAATTATTTCATTCTCATTGGACCTTTTAAGATCAAAAGTTGAGCCCAACAACCGTACCTTCCTGTTCCACAGTGTAATCCCTGAAATTCCGGTTTATTTTATGGACCGGGCTGATTTTTAACCAGCTGGAGCAAGCTGTACAGTATAACTTCAGACTATGTGGGGCAAACCGGAACCGTACGGCAAATGAATGATACTCTTCTAGTTTAATTTAATGTGACTGCATATGCAAGGTGTCCCAAAAAAACATGGGAATTCAGTGACGAATTCGATATCGTCTTTGTTATGAATTAGCATTGTATACCTAATTTCAACAGCCATAATATTATTATGTCTGCTAGAGTTTATTTTATGAAAAGGGTAAAAGACTGTGAAGATGTGTCTATAATTTCTCTGCAAGATGAACAATAAAGACGGACAAGTTTACTCTGTTTGTATACTGCAAAGTACACCCCTATGAAGTCAAAACATAAAGAAAAAAAAGTGAGCATAGCAGACGAAACTCTTACAGATTACAGCTTTCTCAGTAGGAATCACTATACAAAATCAAAGAAGTTTTTGAAAAGACGATATCGAATTCGTCACTGAATTCCTATGTTTATTAGGACACCCTGTATCTTCGTTTCATTTTTTTGTCTAGACAAGTACGCCCCTAACTCCAGGTCTGTGAGTGACCCTGAGACCCCTGAAGATTGTCTAGACCCTGATGAAACGTTAATAATTACAGTTCCTACTGAATCTGCCAATAAGAGATACATTCTACCCAAATTAAAAGGTAATATAATGTAACACATCGGCGTCAATATTTCCCTGTTCAGAAATAATGTTTTTTTTTTCTGCAAATTGATGATTTTTAAATTGCAGAAAAAAACAAGGATTTCTCCATAATTTCTGATTGAATCGATTTTTTATTGTTGATTTTATTTTTGGAAAGCTCATTAGACTTTCATTCTTTTTTTGACGCCCTTTATACCATTGTCGGAAATCAAAGACAATATTCAAACTGTCTCTCAATATATTTCCATGTTCATTGGGACACCGCTGTATATCTAATTTTATTTGCATGATACATGTTTATCACGTTTACCAATGTCCAATAGTATCCAAAATTATATATATATTGTGCGTTGATCAGTGACACGAAAGGTCACAGCAAAAAAATGTCTATTTTTTAATAAGAAAACAATAAATATTAACACAAATATTTTAACATTGATAATTATTATGATATTTTTACAGTCCTGTTTTTAAAAGGCCTTTATTTTATAATCAATTTTCATCAAATGAAAAAATATGCAGATATTTTACTGCCTCTTGGTAAACATTATACCGGCCTATGATTCCCTTAATAGAGGGACGGGAAGTTTTCACAAGACGAGAATTAACATGGTTCCATCAGTCAGTTCTAATTGCAAACCTGTGTTTTTCATTATAATTATTTACAACTACTTTTTCGGAAAATTGATAATTTAATCAAACCACAGGTTCCCTCGTCCAATTTTGCCAACAAAATATCCTTTGCTTACGCTGCGCGCTGGACGTTTTATTGGCAAAATTGGTCTTGAGAACCCTTGGTAAACTTCCAGGTATAACAGTTATAAATATTTATAGAGGGGGGGGGGGGAGTTTTCTTAAATATTTATAGGGGGGGGGGGTTGCTATTTGTTGGTTCATCATTCATCATACATTCTCTTTGCTACACAATTCTTAACAGATATTTCGTTTACAACGTGTACTGCACATTCCGAGAAAAACATAAACAAAACCAAAAAGTTTGTTTTCATTCCTCCCAAAAACTGCAGTACACTTCTTTTGTAAATGAAAAATTGGAATTCCAAGATTCCTATAATCAATTCTAATTGTAGACATGGTGTGTCTGNCGACAAAACAACTATGGAAGGAGATACAAACTATCATGTAGTAGTAGTAAGATACCCGATCAAACAAGTCCTAATATCAACTAAAATTTTAGAGTGTTTCGCGCCGGTTTTTTTTTATTTTCTTTACTTTTACCTTTTTATCCAAGTAAAAACAATTTTCGAGATATTTGTAGATTTTCCCATTTAACTATTCATAAGACCCGCCCCCCCCTCTCCCCATGGACAAAACAGGCCAGAGTCCTTGAAAACATAAAATTGAGAACTCTAGTCTTAAAAAGAAGAATATTTTCTAATTTACACTTTTAATTAAATATTAATACTTTACTTCAAAAGTGCATTTAAAGAAAATCTCAAGAAAATCCACAAATTCCCTGTGCTTTTCTTGTTTTTAAAGAACCCTAATGTAAAATGTGTGTGTAGAAATCAATCTATGTTAAAGAAAAAAATGCAATATTCAAGAAAGGAAAAAAGAATATCAAAAAACATAATAAGGTACTTTTTAATTTAATTTTGGGAAATTCAGCTTTGTTTGGAAGTATAAATAATTCGACCAACTCAAGCTAAGAACATTCCCTTGATTTCAACGAATTCCCCCAGTCAAATTTGAGGGAAAATTAGTCAAGGGGTTTATGACTCATATTTATTGATCGGACATTAAAATGTTAAATAAGAGGGTGTCCCAAAAATTCTCAAAATTGTCAATATTGGTCTAAAATTGAGACTCTAGTTATCTTACGGGCTGTTTCTTGGGCCACCCTGCAGGGTATGTATTTAAAGAGTGGTACTTATATGCAGTTTATATAATGTTAATTCTTGATAAACGGGGCTATAGCCTGTAATAATTCCTCCCTTTCACCAACAATTGACCCATGACCCATGATTCCCCCAAAAGCGGGGTGATACGTAATTGTTACTTTACCTCTCTTGGGACAATTAAGAAAAATAACCTCACAATCGCGGGTTCCCTCTTAGAAGACGATACAATTTTCTTCTTTTTTTTGGGGGAGGGGAAATGAAAGATTATACTTAACTAACTACGGGTTCCCTGTCAAGTAGTTGCAAATAATGATTAAAAAATGGCTAGAAAAAAGGAATTAAAATATTATATTTCTTATATAACTCTTATTTTCTTAAATTTTTTATTTTTATTACACACATTTTCAAAACATAAACAATACTATAAGAGCCTATACAGATAGAGAGAAGGTAGATGGGAATACAAAAAGAGATTTGAAATTTATTTGTAAAAGATAAACATAGATCAGTTTATTAATTGGGCTGGAGGGATAAAAGCTTTTGTAAATTGTTAAGACCAGGCAATGCAAGCCATTAAAGGGCCCGTACGCTTATTTTCAACTGTAACAATGCAAAGTTAGAAATGCCCGATTTACAAGGGTATCTCACCTAGGCCAGAGAACTCTTTGTGTTGATCTATCAAAAAGCGTTCGTAAAACAGAAGTGTATTGTTTGATTTTAAATTTCTATATATATTTGTAAATTTGCTTTACCATACATGTGTGTAAAATCAAAACAAAAGGAACTACGAGGTCACACAGTTGTACAACTGATGTCGCATAAAGTTCTCCTTTTGTCCAGTTTCCAGTGTGGAATCGAAGTTCATATTTTATTAAATTGATCGAAATCATGCTAGAGCTACCTACCATGCAATCTTCTGCAATATAAATGAAATTGAGTTTTCAAATCTTCAGCAAAATCGATTGATCCGCCAAATAATTAAAAAGTTAAAAAAAGAGTAATAGTCTTTTAAAAAACAGTTTTCTATACTTTTATGTCTGTGTTTTTCTACGATAACTAAAAGTTTCTCAAAAAAAAAAAATGTCCACCAGACCAAATATTTTTCTTTGAATATAGAATATAGATAGAAGATTTGGTGTTGTTATAAAGTAAATACTTTATCAGTAGCTGAATATTCTTTTCAAGTGAATTAGTTCTGTGTACACTGCACAATTCCTGTCTTATAAGCTTGATTAAATATCTATTCTAAATGAAGCAGTTTAAAACAGGAAAAATATGAAAAAAGAGAGAGATGAGTATTGATTTATATATATGAAATATGTATAAGCTTTTTCAAGTCTCTACTTAGCCAGATTAATTTAGATAGACAGATAGATAGAAAGATAAATTATCAGCAAGTAAGATAAATTAATAAATAGATAAATAGATAGAAAGATTGATAAATATTTTGTTAGATAAATTGATAGATAAATACTAGATTTATAAACAAACAGCTAGTTTGATAAATAGAAAGATAGAAATATAAATAGAAAGATAGAGAGATAGATAAATAGAGAGATAGATAAATAGACAGAAAGATAGATTGATAAATAAATAGATAGATAGATAGATAGATAGATAGATAGATAGATAGATAGATAGATGGATTGATAGATAGAAAGATAGATAGATAGATATGTAGAAAGGTAAAATGGTATATATCTCCAGGTATACCTCCAGGTAGAAAATATATGCTCCAGTACAGTGTATAATGTTTGTCGTGGCAGAGCCTCCGATATATTATATAGATAGATAGATAATCATATATATGGATAGATAGTTTAGTAATTAAAATATTTTAAAGTTTTTACCAAGGAATTGGATTTTCTAATCCCTATATCTTTGCAACCCAATGAATTGTAGACCTTGTGTATTTCCAACTATAAATTCTGTTGGATCAAATAATCTGAGTTTGCAATATCAAAAGTGTACAGCCTCTGGTTGTAAAGATATGGGGATTAGATGATTTGAGTTTGTGACCAAGACGAAATTCCATTTAAAATCGTTAAGCAGAGTCGGTAGAACAATGGGTTCTTTTCGGAAAGTCCAAAATTGTCCCAAACTTAAGTTAATGCTTGCATATGTTTTAAACATTTCCAATATTTAGGAGTTTCAGATATGTTTAGGAAGTTTTAAATTGTTATGAAGATTAAGAAATCTTTGTTTTCAAAGTTTTTAAAATGTTAAAGGAGGTTCTGATATATGTTTCAACAGTTTTTAATGGCTAAACATATGTTGTGCAAATATGTTTTAAGAAGTTTTAGTTATAGTATAGAAGATTTAAATACGTTTCAAAAGTTTAAATATTTTTTAAAACATCTATATTTGTGTTTTAAGAGTTTTAGATTTGTGTCCATGGGGTTTTAGTCCAGTGCAGTGTTACAATTGCAGATTTTTATAAAGACAAAGGTTACAGATACAGATTACAGATACAGATTACAGATACAGATTACAGATACAGACTACAGATACAGATTACAGATACTGATTACAGATACTGATTACAGATACTGATTACAGATACAGATTACAGATACAGATTACAGATAAATATTACAGTTAAAGATTACTGATACAGATTACAGATACAGATTAGATACAGATTACAGATACAGATTACAGATAAAGATTACAGATACAAATTACAGATACAGATTACAGATACAGATTATAGATACAGATTACAGATACAGATTACAGATACAGATTACAGATTCAGATTTCAGATACAGATTACAGATACAGATTAAAGATACCGATTACAGATACAGATTACAGATACAGATTACAGATAAAGATTACAGATACAGATTACAGATACAGATTACAGATACAGATTACAGATACAGATTACAGATACAGATTACAGATACAGATTATTTTACAAATAGAAATCTTTTTTTAGGTTTATTATTGTTAATGTGTTAATATCTATATCAACAATATTTTTTGGGATTGTAACAAAACAAAAAACGTGAACTAGATCAGAAAATTAACATTGTTGAAGATAACGTTGTCTTCAAATAATTTGTAAATTGAACTCTATTAAAATCATTTATTTTCAAATATAAAAAAAACTTTTCCTCTTACAAAGGTTTAAAGGGTACCGTTGTAGAACACTGGATGGCAGGTCCTAAATCAGCTGTTTAAGGACTAAACAGGCTAGATGAATTTCGGCTTTCATCCGTGAGGTTTACACTTTAATAATTTTCAGATTATCTTTGAACACATACAATGATTTAAGTTTCACACTGAATGAGTTCCACACCGGATTGGTTGAAGTTTTTAATGTAGAATGTAATCGAATAAAGAAGGCATTTAATAATTCGGTTATTTGCTCCAACACTGGAATTCTTCAAGTTTATCTGCACGTGGATTATTAAAGGGAAAATTCACCTAATTAAATATGTACATCATAACATTATTTTGAATTAATATCGTTAGAGAAGAGGCCGAATTTAAAGAATTTAAGCCGAGTCTCAAATTTGAGACGCGACTCAACCAAGTTTGGTTCATTTGATATGTTCTCTGATTTAAGCCAGCGCTTAATTTAAACAGGTTTTTTTGCGGAACAGCTACGCAGTTTAAATTCATTAAATGCGGCCTTTAAAGACCAAAATATATTTTGAAAATGAACATCTACTTTATTAATTCATGAGGTTTGTATCATCATCAACACACAATTATAGAAACTCAACTTGGCTAATATTGATAATCAATGATTATCGAATATTTTGTTGTATATTTTTTTTGTTGCACTTTCCAACTTTCATAACATTTCGAATAAAGTTTAATTCTACGGAGTTTAACAAATTATAAAATTTATATTAAATAAGAGAAAATACGGAATTCCAGAATTAATGGATTATTTGGCAATTTTTTCGAAAATTATGGCATTTAAAAAGTTGAACAATCCCTTTAAGGCGGCAAACTGAACTTCCAGCTTCCGCCGGCTGTATTTGAATGCCGGAGGCCGGAAGCGCTACGTTCGGCTTGGCGGAGTCACGACGAAGTTTTCCCGAGTAAGATTTAAGAATTGATTTTTTTAAATCGTAATTTTTAATATTTAAAAAAATTATCTTAATCCTTTTTCCATTTTTTGATAATTTAGGGATATGAACTCTTGAAAATATAGCTAAAGCATACTCTTCTACAATTAAAAATTTGAGAATTACAAATATTGTAATGTTATTTTATATCTAAATTTTTTATAAATTTAACTTTTAAGCTAGAGCTTTAATACAAAAAGTTGTTTTTATATATAAATATAAAAAAGACAGTTAATTAATATAAATTGCAATAATCGGAAATATTGACTATCATGGAGCGGATAAATCGAGATTTTGCTGGGTCGGTACAAATATAGTAGAGCAGTCTCCATCCCTGATGTCAATTTACCTGAATATTGACTATCATGGAGCTAATAAATCGAGATTTTGCTGGGTCGGTACAAATATAGTAGAGCAGTCTCCATCCCTGATGTCAATTTACCTGAATATTCTTATATTCTAGATAAGCCAAGATACCTGAACATGACTAGCGTTTTAACCCTCCCCTCCCATATGTCGGGGTTTCTTCATGAACTTGGATCAAACTCTGGTGTTTACAGGTAAAAAACCTTGGTTTACTTTCACGTTTTTTAACGTCATTTTGTGATGTTAATATGACTCCAAATGGTTTATAACGATGTAAATTAAGTTGATTTTAATTCATCATATGGCTTGCAGGGCCTCAGCAGACACTGGGTATAATAATATTTAAAATTTTTTCAAAATTGTTTAACTATGTATAAATATAATAACACACATTTTTATTCTAGTTACGTTAGCAGACCCACAATGCTGGTTACAAACAAACCTAAGATCCAGCATCAAGTGAATGGTGAGTATTTATGTATGTTTATTAAATGTACAGGGTGAGTCAACAAAAAGAGTTGTTTTGTTTTCCTGCACTTTCAATTCTGAGAAAAAAGTTTAGCAGATTTTTTCCGGTCCGTTTGAGTAACAAAAAAAAATTTTTAAATGTCTAAAAATTACAGACAAGAAAAATACCATTAGTGAGAAAAAACTATTTTTTTGGTGACTCACCCTGCATATAATTTACCCTCATTCAAAAGAGCAAATCAAATCGGAACTCGAATTCTACCGATAGTTTGATCTCGATATCTACAGTGTGCGCTTTTAATTTGAGGATTAATGCTTAATCTTTTCATTTCAGTCATTTCTCCTTTTGCTCCCTTCAACCTTGAATACCCCAACGAATACCCTCCAGGCTCCATTATTTAATTAATTCTTTGTATTTTTTCAGCCAGATATCTGATATTTGCAACAGCTGATCCCTGATATTTGTAACCTTGTAACTTTTTTTAAACAATAAATTCCAACTGGCTGACCAGAAAAAAAACTCATTAAAATTTGATTTTCTGCTCAATACATAATTCAATTAAACTTTTTGAAAAAAAATCTAAAAATTATATAAATTATTTATATATCTATTTTATATTATGTATATATATATATTTAGGTAAACCGCCTAATATTATGTTTGATAAGCGTGTAGTAAGAGGGAGTACTTATACTCCTATACGTACTCAGATCATAACTTTAGATAGACAGGTACAGTACAATTCACGGTGGACTAGGGTCAATTTAATTTTAAACTGGCCGGACCCCTGTACTTGTACCAACCTAGTGACCTATTAAACCTTCTCAACCAGCTTATGAAAGCTCTAATAAATTCGTACCGGTCCAACACTATCCTTGTACTGAACTAAGAGATATTCCGACCTAAGGGATTGTCTATATTTCAAAATTCAAAACCGTACAACTTAAAAAAAAATTTCGCCGTATCCGCCTGGTTTGACCTATGATTGAAATTATGTTTTTTCTTGCTTGCCGTAAAATTTCTGTTGCTGTATTTTCGTTGGATATTTTGACGTAGTAGAGGCTTCGAGCCAATTTTGGACGTTAAAAATTTCCTGGGACCGAAGAAATTGAGTTTTAGCCAAAGACTTAAATTGTATAATTCCTATATCCTTGCACCCTGATGTTGTAAACCTTTGATATTTCTAACTTAGATTATTTGATTTCACAGAACTATCTAAGGTCTACGATATTTGTTTGCAAAGATTTAGGGATAAGAAAATCAGAGTTTGTGGAATTGACTCAATTTAATTAATAATACAAACTAAGGGTGCAGGGTTGAGGGAAGAATATGCTAGGATTTTTCTAATTTTAGTGCTTGTTCCGATAGGGTGTACATATATATACTATCCGTGTAACATTCGTCTTGGAAAATAAATATTTAAACATCTAAAATTTATATTTAAACTGAAAAAAGTTTTAAATACTGTCCTATTTAAAAAACTAGGTCCCACAAAAAATCTGCGCCGTTTTGACGTTTATTGGACGCAAACAAACAAACAAACAGACAAGCTAAGTACATATATATTAGATGTTTGAATTTTTAAATTGTATGCAAACTGTACACAAAAATGTTCTGCTCTGAAGGGTTCTGAGGGTAATGTTAATATTCTAAGATTTGGAAAAACAAAATAAGTTTTGAAAAAGTTGGGAAAAGTTTCCTGGGTTATTTGTCAACTTTGATGGTAAAATGATAAACCTGAAGATAATGAAAATAAATTAAACCCTGAGCTGGAAACTTATAAAGAAACGGATTACACCAAACTCATATTTAGTGGATTTCATTGTCTAGAAATCATTTAAAGGTCGGGTTATTGTTGAAAAAAGTTGTTGAAATATTTCAAAATTTCTGAGTTTAAAATTTAAATGTTTACTGTACAATGCAGTTAAGCTAATTTATTCTATCCAAAGTTTTGTGGATCACATTTAAAAGATTAGTTCTTAGATACATTATTTTTAATTTTTGATTATTTCTAAAATCAAACAGATTATATTACAAAATAAAGACGACTTTTTATTAATAATGCTTTGATCCATAAAAACGTTTCTAAAATTACTTTGCTTGATTAATTTGAGTGATTGAAATTTTTAATTGCATCTTATGAATTGTACTATTATAAAAAGGAAGTCTTCAAATATTCTAATGCCTATATCTTTGCAACCTGATGGTTTACACCTTCGGCATTTTTTAACTTAGCTATATTTAATATAACATAATTCAAAGTTAGAAATATGTTTAGGGTCTTCAACTTGCGTTGCTCAGAGATAAAGATTAGAAAATCAGAGTTTGTGAAAAGAAAATTTTTTTTTTTTTCTTTTAACTAATCTTCTTTTTTTAGAGAGTAACACCTACAGATGGAACTTACATCAGGAATATTTACTTAATTTAATTCTTCCTCACTTTTAAAACTAATTTATGAAATTCGTAGAAAAAAACACAGAAGCCGAATTTAAAGAATTTGAGCTGTGGCTTAAATTTAAGCCGGGCCGCGGCTCGAATATGGTTGGTTTCATGCACTTTAAATCGTATTCATTGATTCAAGATTTAAGCCGGCACTTTATTGACGCGGCTCAAATTCATTAAATTGAGACACAGGCTATATCGACTAAAATTTCTGATATCAATATATAAAGTTGTAATCTCTGATTTGTCTGTTTTTATGTCAGATCATAACTTAAGAAACCCTTTGACCGATTTGCCTCAAATTTTGAATTGGAGAACACGGGAAGGGAAAATAACTAAAATAACTAAAATAGTAAAATAGATATATTTTGTCAACCAGTTCAAAAATTATAATGTTTATCCTTAAATCTTAATCTAAATTTTATTTAGTTAGTTGACTTTAACATGTGTGCAATTGTAGAGAATTTTTAAAAATGTTCTCCCCCCCCCCCCGCCGAATCACTTTTTATGATTTTTTAAATTCCAAAACTAAAAAATCTGCTAAAATCTTATCAAATTATTGTAATTTAAAGCAATACGAAACAGCGTCAATTTATTAGATAATGTAAAAACGTGTCTTGTACTAAATGTACAAGGTTTGCTGCCATTATTGCTAATATTCTTAATATTTCTGTCTCCAGTTTATAGATTAAAATAATAAAAGTTTAAACATGCAATCTCTTCTATATTTAGAATTAGATTTACATACTTTTAATCAAAAGCTAACCTTAACAAAGGGGTAAATAAACAGTATTTTCTAGAACGTTTTTTGGTATGAAGTAACTGTCATTATAATCCCGATAATCTTCTAAGCTATAGGGGTTACTCACAAAGAATGAGACTTCAGAGACTGTACGGAATTTATTTAATTCAATTCCTTGTATTCAGGGTTCCTTGTTGCACAAAACTGGTTTATTTCTCTATGCAATATTTTATTTAACAATCAAAATTCTTATTTTAATGCAGAAACAAAAAATTAGGCTTTAAATATTCATATTTTTAGAGTTTTGAGTCGTCTTTACAGTCTCATCCTTTGTGGGTAACCCTGTATTTGAATAAAAACATGTTTTTGAATCTCACAAGGTTCTTTATGGTTTTACAATTCATTCAACTTGCGGATTTTCTGTTTGCATTTGTATATTTTTGATAAATCAAAGTTGAAACCAACATTAGCGTTGCGAAATCAATTTTTCTTTTTTTTAAATATTAAAATTGTAAATATAGGAGAAGGGATCCTAACAAACCTACATCATTTAATTCTAACAGAAAGGAATCGGACCGGAAAAGGTTTGGAATTTATCATTATATTTTTAAATCTTAAAATAAATAATGTTGTTTCCTTTTATGTTTTATTGTTGGTTCTATCCAATAAACGTTAAAATGGTCGAAACCGTTCAGGTTCAAACTCACAACAATCCCGAAGGAAGGTTAAAAGTCGTTAGAATATTTTAAAATGTTGCCTCATGATGATTTCGATAGCTTTCGTATTGGAAAACCCGCCAACATGAAAACTGGAAAATATCAGAAATTTTTTATTTTTTTAAATAAATATTTCACTGATTACGGAAATTCGAAATTCTGAAATTTTTCTCATGTTTTTTCAATAGATTTGATTTTAGTCTATGAAAATACCCAAATAAATAATAATCATAATCGGAAGAAATCTATAATCACAAGGCTTTTAGGGCGCTTCGCGCCCATCTTCTATTTAAATTGTGAACATGTTCTTTTTGTTTACATTTTAAAACAAAGAAGAAAAAATTTTGCGGATTTAAAAAAAAATTCGCGGATTTTCAACAATTTAAATTTTTTTACAAAATTAAAAACCTTTAAAACACATTTTTTTTAAAATTTTATCATTCATAAACCTTCCCTATGGTCACATGATGTACCACAAAAATATTGGGCCCGATCGGTTTAGCCGTTTTGACGTTTATTGGATACAAACAAACAGACAAGTCAAATTTATATATAGATAATCGATAAAATTCTAAAATTTGTTTTTTATATTTTTTAACTTTTAGACGTAGGTTACCAGATATTGAGATTTCAAACAAACCCTCAGATAATAATTATAGGAAAATCTCAATCAAGTTTTTTATCTAAAAGGTTTTCGTATAGAAAATTGATATAGATTAATCAAGAAAATATATTTTGTGAAAAGTAATAATGAAATATTTAATCGATTTTTTGTTACGAGCAAGATGGTTTTTATCTCTTTTCTTTACGCGTGGATTAATAATTTAGTATTTGAATAAAGATAGCAAGGTGATATTTGAGATTTCGTTTCAGACATTCATTTTTGAATGGTGGATTTGGGAGTAGAGGGTATAAAAGTACTACGGTAAGATTTTGAATTAATGTAAAGGATATTGTCATTTTTAATTCTAAAAACATTGCTATTATTTTTTTTGGTAATTTAGAATAATTAATAAGTACTATATAATAAAAATACCATTTAGTCAGAACAAAATACAGTGCATTATTCAACCCATAGATATTTTCGTTAATAATTTTTACATTTTAGGTGACAAATGGTTTTCAGGGGGATGTCCCCTTTTCCTCCAATCAGGGGCGTGTTAGCTCCCCCCGGAAGGATATGTTCCCCTCCCCCTACATAAACTCCTCCTCATTAATTAACCCTGTTCCTGGGAGGAAACATAGTCAACTTCAAACAGAGAAATGGCTGGAGGTAGGATATATATAGCACGGGCAGCCGTAGTACATTTGAATATCCGAGCCGGGTCAACCTTTCCGTTCCCAGTTTGTACTGTACCTAGCTTTATGGACAGGACTAGCTGGTGCAACAAGGTTGACGCGGTTTGACTTTATGCATCACGGGCAGACGTAGTACATTTGAATATCCAAGCCGGGTCAACCTTTCCGTTCCCAGCTTGTACTGTACCTAGCTCTATGGACAGGACTAGCCGGTGCAACAAGGTTGACGCGGTTTGACTTTATGCTTTACGGGCAGCCGTAGTACATTTGAATATCCGGTTGACGCGGTCTGACTATGCTTCATATAGGTTGAATTTACTTTTACTAAAGGGGCAGAGGTGCCTGAAACATTTAGATTATAGGCAGTTTTTTAGGTTTCTGATAAATTATTTTTTTGTTAACAGTAAAAAATTAATGAAAACGTAAAGATCTTTTTTAAAAGGAAAAAGCGAATTAGAGATAATTTTTAAAATTTAAAAACGTAACTACCATTTTTTTTTAGAACTATCATTGTGATAATAAGAAAAATGTTTACCAACCGATGGTTTTTGAAACCTAATCGCTTTGAAATATAAATAATTTGTATTTAAGAGAAAGATTTATTGATTAATCATAGCATTCTTATTAAAAAGTTCACTTCTTTTACAATTAGCGCCATGCTTAAAAATAAAAGGAATATTATTTTATCTACGTTTTACCATGACATATCACCCACTCAAGCTCTCAAACAAAAATCGATGAGAATTTCGCCAATAACTTCTTTAAACCCAAGGAAAGCAAAGCTAAGCGTTTATTTAAAAAGAATAGAAAATGTCTTGTCAGATATAAACGCACACTTGCAGTAATGCCATAAAACAGTCTGAGTTTATAATATATTTTTAAATGATTTTAATCTAACTTTTTGGAACTAGGTAGAATTAAGAAAGGGTTTCACGCACCTCTGTCCCTTTAGTAAAAATTCTGACGCCGTCAACCTTGTTGCATCGGGTATTCCTTTCCATAGAGCTAGGTACAGTAAATACTAGAACCGGAAAGGTTGACCCGGCTCGGATATTCAAATATACTACCGCTGCTTGTGGTTTGAATGATTTAAGACTGAAATTTAGTTTTCCTAAGAAATTGTAAATGGGAACCTCACCTCAGGCTTTAACATAAAACATATGAACTGAGGCCGAATTTAAAGAATTTGAATCGCGTCACTGAACCACCAATAACTCGTTCCAATTAAGCTCTGGTTCAAATTTCGAAACACTGATTTTAATTTCAAGTGGAACTATGTATGTTTAAACCGCGTCTTATATTTGAACCACGTCTAAACGAGGTTCAAATTAATTTTAAACTAATTTAATTTCAGGAAATAACAAACAAGGTTGAGGAAGCTAATGCGGAAGTTCAGACAGATCCTTACACTACGTTAGTTTTTTCTTACTATAATTACAATCATAATAACTAGTGTAAAATTCACAAAAATATTGACAATAATTAAATAAAAACAATAATGATAATACATAATAATACATAAAAAGTATAAGTATGGTAATATTAATAATAATAATAATAATAATAATAGTAATAATAATAATAATAATAATAATATTGTTTGTGCAGACCAAGTGTGTCCCCAAGAGAGGAGAGTCGAGGTACAGGTCTGGATAAAGAAACACAAATTTATCCTTTAGATCCAGAACTTTTCAACTTTGATTCCGAGGTAGTGATGTGCTTTCATTTATTTTTTTTTCTTTCCTTTTTTCCCCATATAATTTCTTTCAATGTCAAAATTATGCATAATTTTTTCGGGCGTTTTTTCAAGTGTTTTCTAGTGTTTTCTAATTTTGTTCCAAAACATCTACCTTTCTTTAAGTATGTCAAATTTAGACACTAGCAGAAGATATATGCAAAATCGACCCAATAAAGATTGAAAACCATGGAAAAACCATGTGTTGTAAAGATCATTTTACAATTTCTTTGTTTGTTTAGGAAAAAGATATTGCAAAATTTAATACAAGCAATCTTTATAACATTTTACAGTTTTTAAACCTTGGAAGTTTTTTTTCCCCTAAAAATGATTCAAAGTGATTAAACAACACTATTCAAACTTCAAAGGTTAGACCATGGAAGATATAGAGCTCTGAAAAGACGCAATTACAATTATTTTTTTTACAAATTACCAGAAAGTCATTTACATATGGAAAGAAACATTTGATAAATTCAACAAAGGAATTGAGTCTTTGCCACAAACTCTGATTTTCTAATCCCTTTATCTTTACAACTCAATGTTGTAGACTTTAACTATATCAAAATATGAATTCTGTTAGATCAAATAATCTAAGTTTGAAATATCAAAGGATTACATCATCAGGTTGCAAAGATATAGGGATTAGAAAATTTGAGTTTGTGACAATGACTCAATTCCTTTATTCGCTTTCATCTTAATCAGTCGGAAATATAGGGATATAGCTTTCTAATATAACAATTTACATAAAAGTTATGTCTCTTTCTGCACATTGATTGATTCAAGTTGAAAAATTACGTAAAAGTTACATCTCTAAGGTTACCAGGTTTGCCATGCGTAAATTGACTTGATCATCTAGTCAGATAATGTAAAGGTATATCTCCTACGTTTCCAGGATTACTGGGAATACATAAACCGTTTTAATCATAATTGGGTTTTTAACGTAAAAGGTAAATCTTCGACGTTTCCAGGTTTACTGACAGGGTATGCATGAAACTGTCTTGAATATCTAGGTTGGAATTGAGTAGAGTATACTGGAGGTTCTACAGGAAGAATATGATTTATCTTGAATATATAGGTTGGAATTGAGTAGAGTATACTGGAGGTTCTCCAGGAAGAATATTATTTATCTTGAATATCTGTGTTGGAATGGAGCAGCTCGTATACCGGAGGTTCTCCAGTAAGAATATGATTTATCTTGAATATATAGGTTGGAATGGTTCTGGAGGGTATCCTTGGTAGAACAATGGAGCAGAGTATATTGGAGGTTCTCCAGGAAGAAGAAACCGCTCTGCTGAGGTGATAATACATTATCTTTTCATTTTGTTGAATAACCGCACCAATAGGAACAAAATTTAACGAATTTAAGTTATGTCCCTGAACAATCTACCGATGGTATAAATCTCAAATCACTGATTCATGAGGCTTTGAACCGACTGTTATATCTTTACTTTTAATTATAAAAAATTAAAATTAAAGTGTTATCTTAGATAATACTCGATCAAACGGTTTTTCAATTTTTAGAAACACGAGGTATCATACAAATCTACTGCTAAAGTGATTAAATTAAACCCTATTTTATTTTTCTAACACTAGTTAAATAAATTGAGCCTTTGTTACAAACTTTAGTTTTCGAATTCCTATAGCTTTGCAATCCAATGTCGAAGACCTTTGATATTTTTAATTATGAATTCTGTTAGATCAAATAATCTAAATTTGGAATATCTAATGTTTACACAATCAGGTTGTAAAAATATAGTAAATAGAAAGTTTGAGTTAGTTGCAAAACCTTAATTTCTTTCTTTATTTTAGAAAGCAGAAGCTGGAGCACCAGGCCGCTATCACTGCACTTTCTGTTCTATGAGACCACGGATTAACATAGTAAATAAATTTTCCCCATCGAAGATTTATGTCCATATGTGAGTTATTTATGATCATATTTAAGTTATTTATGATCATATTTGAGTTATTTATAATCATATTTGAGTTATTTATGTCATATTTGAGTTATTTATGTCATATTTCAGTTCTTTATGGTCATTTTGGAGTTATTAATGATCATATTTGAGTTAAAACAGATCATAACTTCCTAAATTTCATTTGTTATTACAGATCATATTTGATTTATTACAGATCATATTTGAGTTAATATAGATCATATTTGATTTATTACAGATCATATTTGATTTTTTATGATCCTTTTTGAATTAATACAGATCAAATTTGAATTCAAATTGAGTTAATGCAAATTATATTTGAGTTATTACAGATCATAAATTTCAGTTAGTATAGATCAAATTTGAGTTATTACAGATCATATTTAAAATGTTACATACATGAGTTATTACATATCATATTTGAGTTACTACAGATCATATTCAAAATGTTACATACATGAGTTATTACATATCATATTTGAGTTATCATTGATCAAATCTGAGTTAATATAGATCATCTTTGCTAGAATTTCAATTGTCTTTAAATCACACTTTTTATTTTGAGTTTTTTATAACAACAAATTTTAAAGCAGAGGTCTGGAATAACGAAAAATGACCATCTGCATTTCAAATTTTGCTTGAATATCCCTTTTTGAGCTGGCTAATAAAGAAATAATTTAAAAGTTCATTTTGAATATATTTTGTGACTTTTTTTTAAAATGAATCTTTTAGTTAGTTTATTTTAAATTTTATGATTTAATTCTCATTATTTTTCTAAACAGTTTTTAGTTCCTGCAGTATTATTAAAAATATAAATGTATATAATCAAAATTGTTTCCAGCTGTCATTTGTGATTCGACTAAAAATAAATATTATTTTGTTATTATTGAAATTATAGTTTCAAAAGCATCGAAACAAAAAACTCAAATTTTCCGATTCCTACAGCTTTGCACCAGCTTGTGTGAACCTTAGATATTTCAAGTTTGACTATTTGCTAAAGCAGGAGTCATAGTTTGAAATATCAAAGGTTTACAAAATCAGATGGCACAGAGAATTAGAAAATTAAAACTTGAGAATCAAAATTTTTAATTTGTATATTGAAGTTCTTCGCTTACATATATATATATACTGGTCAAACTGCTGGAACAAGTTGGCTGAAATTTTTGAGGAACCCCAAGGGTGCCCTGGGGGTAATATATGTAAAAAACTGGCAACGCCGGGCACAACCAATAAGTTAAAAATAACACAACAATCTCAGTGTACTATTATTGAGTTCAGATATTATTAATGTGTCAGGAGCTAAAGAGAGGAGAATAATCTAACAGCAATTATGGAACAGTCATTTTATAACCCTTGCCTTCCTACCCTCTACAGGATCGAAATTTGTTTTATAATCTTCGGTATTGTTTTGATAAAAACAGGTACCGCCCTACCCCTATTTACTTTCTCAGCTCGGTTTAATTTTTGATGGCACGGCCAGACTTTTTACAGTACCTGGCCTATCATAGGCCTGATTTATCCTACCCACACTAGCTTTATGAAAACCCCAATTTCCTCACCTTATTCTAAACACATTGGAAACCATTAGATAGGTATGTAGAAGTAGAACGCAGAGCTTTGATAGTATATCTAAAAGTTTTTTAACAAGTACTGTAATTAATAATTTTTTGGACTACACAAATTAGTAATTCACGTGTGAGGGTTCAAAGTGAGCCAATAAGAAGACTTTTACAACACTGTAATGTTTTTTGCATGTCAGAAAGTTTTTGAGGCAATACTGTAATTATTAATCATATTTGACCTTCACATTCCACAAGTTTAACACTAATCAAACAACATAATGTATTTTTAATAAATTTGAGGCTGAAAGAAAGTTTATATATATATATCTATCTATACCGACTATCTTTCTATGTATCTTAATCTATAGATATATACATAGAAAAATACCCAGTATAGATAGATAGATACATATAAAGATAGATAGATAGACATACAACTGTATGACGGATCAAACGTTTTTGTAAAAAGATTCCGAATTATGCAAATCCTGCAGTTCAAATTAAGAAATCCGAGACAAATCATACATTTATTGAAAGACAATTGTTAAAGAACGCGTAATGTCAATTGACCCTCCATTGCAATACCAGATTCACAACAATACCCTTAAAAGATTTGTCTGAATAAGTATAAATTATATATCAATGTTTTCAGTTTTGAAAACAGATTTGTTTTAATTATGGTTTCTCTATACAAAAGTAACTAGCGCATTTCTACTGCAGAAAAATAAATATGTGGATTATCAGAACTTAACCCTTTTGAACATCTACTAACAATATGGTTTAAATAAAGTTTCAAGGATACCGTTATGAATCAGAGTATGGCCATCTTTGCACGGAGGGTCACGTGAAATTACCCTTTCAGTCCCTTTATAAGTCCTAAGAAACCTGGTCCATTTTTTAAATAAAATTTTAGGCCTTCTATGATTGAATGTTTTCAATACTAAATACTATGCAAAAAATCACAGAACCTCTTGTATATAATATACACTTTACATGTATTGTATAAACTATGAAAAGTAGTTAAAATTCACTTCAAATTTTTGGGTGAGAGAGACTTTTTATAATTTAAAGTAACCCTGAGGCCGAATTTAAAGAATTTGAGCCGCGGCTTGAATATGGTTGGTTCCACTTAAAATCAGATTTAATGTTTCAAGATTTATGCTGGAGCTCAATTAAAACCGGGTTTTGGCGGATTTGAGACGCGGCTTAGATTCATTAAATTTGGACACAGGGCTAACTAGAGTGCAAGATACGTTATTTTTTTTGATTTGTAGAGATTTTGCACTAAAAGTCAACAATGTTTAAATTTACAGAGCTGTATTACCAGACTTTTTTATTTTAAAAAAATAAAAAGAGAGAAAAGGCGAGATATTCACGTTTCAGAGCTTAAATTGTGATCGAAAGCCACAGCCAGCTTAAATTGTGATCGAAAGCCACAGCCAGCTTAAATTGTGATCGAAAGCCACAGCTTGCTGGAACAAAAACCAAACTGTTTTACCCTCAAAGGATAAGACATGGTTTCTGAAGCTATAAACTTTTTTTTGTTAATCCATGTATATTATGTCATCAATAGACTGTATTCATGTCAGTATCCTATAATTTGACATCCAAAGCGATACATTTAAAAAGTTTTAGGTCGTCTTTGAAGTCTTATCCTTTCAATGTAATCCTGTGTATGCAACAACTAATAAGATGCCAAATGAAAATAAATATAATAGAGATTAATATATTCAATACATCTAGTCAAGAGTAGAGTTGGTCTAAATTTAATCATCTGCCATCAGTAGATAAATCCTTATATGGAGTTATAATCATATTCTTCATAGAGTTAGAGGGGGGTGGGTGGANGGTCAAAATATGCAGAAATTAAAGAAGTTCTTTCCACAAACTCACAATTTTAAATCACTATATCTCTGCAACCTGAGGCCATATTTACAGAAATTGAGCCGCGGCTTGAATTTAAGCCGCGGCTCAAATATGGTTGGTTCCACTTTAAATTGTATTCAATTTTTTCATGATTTAAGCCGGCGCTCAACTGAAACTGGTTTTTGGGGGATTTAAGACGCGGCTTGAATTCATTAGATTCGGACACTGATGGTGTAAATATTTGATATTATTTTATTTAACAGAATTATCTAAGGTCTACAACATAGGGTACAAAAGATAGAGGGATTAAAAAATCAGAGTTTGTGGCAATAACTCGATTCCTTTGGCTTTTAAAATTTAGTTGCCAATTTTTATTTTCATTTTTTAAAATATCAAAACTCCTATCCATTTAATACTTCCTTATACTTTACGTGGACTGTTAGCTAAATTTCAAGTGAACATCTATGCAAAGATGGGAATGCCCGATTTACAACGGTACCCTCAGAAGCTTTGTCTGATCAAGTATGAATTAGATATCCATGTTTTTGTTTATTTAAATCGTTTTTTTCATTTGTGGTTTCTCTGCAAAAGTGACTTGCGCATTTCTTGATAAGAAAGAATAGAGAAATTCATGGAAATAAACACTCTTTTAAAACAATAAAGGTATCAAATGTTCCGTTGCAAATCGGGCATTGATATCTTTGCATAGAGGATCACTTGAATTTACGCTCTCAGCCTCTTTAAATAGACAGTAGTTGTAAGATCAGGGTCACCCCTCCTTTAATAACACAACGCGGTACTTTTGTAACCTCGTGATTTGTCTCATCTTTAATATTTAAAAGAAATGAAAAGTGTTAAAGTTTTACATTTTCTCTATTGTTTCATTAGCAGAAAATTAAACATTTTTCAAAGATAAGAGAATGGATGCTTCATGCAATCTTGACCAGACAAAGCTTTTAAATGTACTGTTGTGAATCACACACGGAAGGTCACGTGAAATTACGTGTTCAGTCCCTTTCCACGAGTATTTGTGATTTGAACCAGCAGGGTTTTATTGTTGGTATCAACCTTGTAGTTTATACATATTTTGAATATCCATGTTTTGTATTCGTCTTATACACTATCCACGAGCTGCAGGAGCCAGACACTTTAAATGTTTAAGAAAACCGGAAAATCAAAGCATTGGAAATATGAAGTTTGGTGTATTAATTGATTAAACTATAAATCTAAGAGTGACTGTATCTAGACATTAAAGGCACTGTAAACGTAATTTCAAATGACCCTCCATGCAAAGATGACAATGCCCGATTCACAGCAAAAGATTTGCCTGATTAAGTATGAATTATTTAACAATGTTAATAATTTAAAAACTTATTATTTTCACTTTTTATTTCTCTGTAAAAGTGACTTGTACATTTGTAACGTAAGAAAAATATAGTAATTATCTGAATTAAAGGTGTTTTAACCTAGAAAACTACATATTTTCCACATTTTGATCAAATAAAAGTTTTAAGGGTACAATTGTAAACACCAAAATACTTGAGAAATGTGTAGCTTAAAAAATGTGAATGTAAAAGTTTTTCTTCCTTACTTTAAAGTGACTTTCGACCTTGAAGTGGACCTCACCTACAAGAGGTGGTATGGCTTTGATAATTTCCATCTAATGATTTATTCCTTAAGAGAAAGACAAAAAATGCAAATTGATAGAGTGTTGAGCGCACATGGAAAATGCAAGCGAGTTTCGATAAGTTAACACACACATATCTCTGTAATACACGAATTTGCACAAAGGGTTTAAGGGTACCATTGTAATTCAGGCAAAATCCTCGTATTATGTAGGATCACTTCAAATTACGCTTACAGTCCCTGTAAGTTCCTGTTTTGAGTATATCCTTGACGCGTGTAGCCCTATGTTTGTTAATATTTCCGTCTCCTATGTATACTCTTTTGGACATATTGACGCACCTAGTCTTAAGTTTTTTGATATATCCGTCTCCTGTGTTTACTTCTTCGTCATAATGACGCATCCAGTCTTATGTTTCTTTATATTTCCGTCTCCTGCGTATTTTCTCCTGAATATATTGATGCCGCACCCACTGTTGACCTTCCTATAGGTCCTTCAAGTCCTGCAGGTCCTGGGGTTAATAATAATAAAACAGATAATGCAGGAATATACTTCATGTACAGGAATACTTCATGTACAGGATTACCAAGTAGTATTTCTAAACACGTTTTGGATGTTTTTTCTTCAAATTAATATATTTTCCAAGATTTTCAAAACTGAAAATATTAAAGTTTGCTTTTATTAAACCTTACAATATCTATTTCCTAGAAAAACTTAAAACTATCCGAAAATGATCATTACATGCACCATCGTTTTTGCATCGTTTTTGGCAAGAATATTTAGGCAAAAAACGACCCAATAATGAACCCTTAAAGAATGTAAATGTAAAGACGACCTAAACCAATTTCAATATGGCGTTTCCAAGGATAAATTACGTATTCTGTTATGCATATGCAAAGAAAGAAATAAACAATTAAAAGGAATCTTAAATATAAGGAAACAGACAGTGTTAATTCCGTAGAGTCGTCTCTGGATAACCTCTAACCATGTGTAAAAGCTAGGCCATTACCAAGGCGATTTTCGCCAATCTTTCTGAAAATATTTTACATTTTGAAAATTTTAAATACTAAGTAATTAAACGAGTCTTATTCAAAACATTAAATTGTCTAACCCCTATATCTTTGCAACCTGATATTTCTATATTTCAACTTAAAACATTAGAAAAAAATCATAGTTTGAAATATCTAAGGTTTACGACATCTAGTAGCAAAGATATACGGATTAGAAAATCCAAGCTTGAGACAAAGAAATAGGAATTTGAAAATCAAATCTTTTGAGAAAGATATAGGAATAAAAAAATCAAAGTTTGTGACAAAGATATAGGAATTAGAAAGTCAAAGCTTGTGACAAAGATATAGGGATTAGAAAACCTAAGCTTGAGACAAAGATATAGGAATAAGAAAATCAAAGTTTGTGACAAAGATATAAGGACTAGAAAATCAAAGCTTGTGACAAAGATATAGGAATAAGAAAATCAAAGTTTGTGACAAAGATATAAGGATGAAAATCAAAGCTTGTGACAAAGATATAGGGATTAGAAAATCAAAGTTTGTGACAAAGATATAGGGATTAGAAAACCAAAGCTTGTGACAAAGATATAAGAATAAGAAAATCAAAGTTTGTGATAAAGATATAAGGATTAGAAAATCAAATCTTGTGATAAAAATATAGGAATTAGAAAATCAAAGCTTGTGACAAAGATATAGAGATTAGAAAATCAAAGTTTGTGACAAAGATATAGAGATTAGAAAATTAAAGCTTGTGACAAAGATATAGAGATTAGAAAATCGTTATTTAATAATTTTAAAAAAACTTATTCTGAAAACGTATCCACCCCAAAGTAGGAGTTTTAAACGTCGAATTTGCGCTCAAACTCAGGATTTAGAGATCTTTAAACAGTTTAATATGTCTCAAATGAATCCGAAAGAAGTTTCCACAACACTGCATATTCATTTCAACTACCTCACATAGCCGGTCACGCCCTTTAATTGGAAGAATTCTTACGTTTTTTCAAAGTTGATAATATTTGAGGCAACACTTGTTAGTTCTAATTAAATTATAAATCTTCCCAACAAAAGAATAATATTGCTCATGGTGAAATATTTCTGTAATGGAACTTAGGATCCGTTGCTGATTATTTACAAACGCGTGAGACAAAATAATCTTTTATGCCTGATCTATTTCAAACAATATCCTAGTTCCGAAATTATGTCCTATATTTCCTAAAAAATTTATCTATCTATCTATCTATCTATCTATCTATCTATCTATCTATCTATCTATCTATCTATCTATCTATCTATCTATTTAACTATCTACATTTAATGTACTGTAAACATGGAAGACGAAATAAACTTCCTGAGTAAAATAGTTTTTTTGTGAAGTACACTGCATTAATTTTTGTGCTTCATGTTTATATAAAATATTAACTTGTTATTAATAGTCGTCTTCCCATTCCACAGTTTTATGAGTCTTCCTGTACACTTGACATCTAGATATTTTTTATTCAACGTTGATGGGTTTTTTGTGAGTAACCCTGTATGGCAAACTTTGATAGTAATACAACATAAACATAAATATTATTATCAATAGTTTAGATAAACAGTATATTTCAGTTTACAAATAGTTCTAACATATTTCATCTATGTACATAAAAGTATTAAAAAGTACAACGCACACAGCAATTGTTTGCAGAAAGCAAATGCAATCTTTAAAATAAACAAAACATGTAAAAGAAGAATTTCGACCTGTCAACAAAGTAAAAAGGAAAAATGAAAAATTATTGGCTTAAAAAAATTTTCTTTAAAATTGGCCATGAATAGAAATTGGAATTTTCATTTTTGGATAAAAAAGGCATTGGTACATTCTTTAAAAAATTGTACCAATTGAACTTAATTTTTCTAATTCATACAACCTGACGCATAGATCTTTTATATTTCAGATTGTTAATGCTTCCGATCGAATAGTTATCTAATATCAGGCGGGAAAGAAAACGGATTTTAAAATTATATTTTGTGACGAGTAATTAAATTTTGTATGATATAATTTTGTTTATATTTCTGATATATTTAGATTTTTAAAAATCCTCAAAAAAAATGTCAGTTTAAAGTTCCTAAAAGTTTTTTTGCGTCTAATTGAAATCAACCTGTAGTTTAAAATTTTGCTATATGATTATTCTCAGAAAACTGTTAGAATATGGCGTGATACAAAATTTAAAAAAATTCTTTTGAAATTACATTATGGACGATTATACAAGTACTATTGTTAAAGGTAAAATCCGTCAATAATATAATTATTTTGAAAATGAGTTTTTTGAAGGAGGTCTAAATTGTTATTAGAGAAAATCATTAGCTTTTGATTCAATAATATTAAAGGGACTGTAAGTGTAACTTAAAGTGACCCTCCATGCAAAGATGGTAATGCTACATTTATAACACTACCCTTTAAATCTTAGACTTATCAGTGGGGAGAGAGAACTATGTGTGTTTATCTTTCAAAAAGAGATGGAATAACCGTAAAGCGATAGAATACGGCGTCAAACTCAGCTGACGTTACATGCGTACCTCGAAAATACCGAATATTCTATGTTGAAAGCGGTTAAAAAAATATTTTTATATATATCTTAATATCTATGACAGTATATATTAATATTTTTTAAATCAAATGTTCAAAAGTTAAAAATCCGACATCCGTAAAAAGTCCAAGATTTAATGGATACTGCTGTTGTGAATCTAACATGGTACTCTACTGCAGATGGAGGGTCGCTTATAATCGAGCTTACAGTGCCTGTAAAATATCAAGGGGTTCTTGTGTAAATTAATTTAAGTTAAAGTATTCACATTCTTTTTCATAAGATCTTTTTCATTTCGACTAAATGTTGGTTAAATGGACTAGCATGCGAATTTAGACTAGAATAGATTCTTGTTAAAAGACTTGAATAAAAAGTAAGACTAGTTTTTATGCTCAGTAAAAAAATAGAAACACTGAAATGATAACAGTTAACATTGAGCAAACATCACAGATTTTTTTGACGCAGAAAACTAGACATTTTGTTGGTTCAGAAAAAAAAATGATTTCTTGTTAGAACCAAACTCTTAGAAAATCTATTCACAGTTCACTGTCAGAAGAAATATTAACATTTTATTTATGATTTGAACTTTCCGAAAGAACTTAGAAAATGTGAACATTTATTATAAGTTCAATGAAGAAATTGGGTCTTTGCCACAAACTCAAATGTTTTAATTTATCTTTTCAAGCTGATGGTGTAAACCGTTCTTCTATTTTAAACTTTAATTATTTGATCTAGGAATACATAGTTTAAAATATCTAGGTCTTTAACATTTGTTGCAAAGATATAGCGATTGATCAGAATTTGTGGCAAAGACTCAATTCCATTGAGAGAAATCTGCATATTTATTAAAATTTTAAAAAAAATTCGTTTTTAAAAATACTTTCAATTTAACGGACAAAATGTTTTTGTAACGCAGTGTTATTTAATGTTTTCCACGTCATATCAAAGCTCACATGTGCGACAAAGATTAAATAATTTTAAAGAAATAATTACAGAAAAAAATGGCACTAAAGTGTACATGTATAATGTTAATATTGCCAACATTGCCAACAAACGAGTAATAATAGTAAGATTCAGGGGATCCCATAAACTGCCAAATACAAAGACGACATTTAAGCAATCTTTAAGCAACTAATTGCTTTAAAATCAAGTGAAATAGTTCAGTGTACACTGTACAAAATCATAAGATGTGACGTATAGTCGTCTTCCTATTCCCCAGTTTTATAGGTCCCATCTGTATTAGGTTAATCTGTGCACTGCACAATTTACAAGCTGACTTTATCACCGTACTTGGGAAATTTATAGTTTTTTAAACACTTTTTGTAAAGTTTTTTTTTTAACGTGGCCAAAAAGTATCTCACACATCAATCCAGCAAAAATTGTGCATAAAATGTGCTGGGTCCACTAAACACTAGCTGGTACCAGTCAATGCGGTTTACTAGACTGGAAGTAACTAAGGACTCCGACAAGAGCCTCTAAAACAAGCACCGGAGGCACAATCACTGTCGGTCAAACACTCCAGCTGGGTCAGATCTATGCTTTCTTCCACGCATGCGTCGTAGGGAGAGTTTAACTCCTTGAAACCAGGCGGACAGGTACACACAGGTAGATGATGGATGGAACTACACACGGCGTTAGTTCCACACTCTTTAAACCCAGCACATGGGTCAACACACATTCCACTCCTACACTCCTAAATTTTAAGAAATTGTTAAGACAGTTGTAATGTTTATAATGTTTATTGAGTGCAGTATAGAAATGGTACTCATGAAACTTTTTCTGACCAAGAAAAAATGAGATATCCATGTTTGTTTGTTTTTAAATTAATTATTTTCGCTAACGGTTTTAATGTGGTTTTCATAGATAAAGTAAATTAAGTGGATTTATTACATTAAAAATATAAAAAGTGTTTAAGTGTTTTCCATTATTTTACTAAACATTTGAAAACTTAAAACAACAGGCTAAAACTTGAGGCTATGTTCTTAGCTTGCTGTTATTAGTCACTTGTTGTTAATCTGCTAGAGTATGGCCCAGAATACTGTTTGATTTAAAGACGACTATCAGACTCAAGAAATGATTTTCAAAAAGTTAAAAAAACATGAAATAAGGCTTTACGTTCTTTTCCACAGTTTGATGAGTTTTACTGTATTCAGTCTATTCTGCATGTATGCTCGTAATTAGCAACTTTTAACCTTAATGTTCGGACTATACAGTCCTTGTATATATTTCCAGTGCTAAAACTATTTAGAATGACCTTTATGTCAAGAAACTATTTGGCCCCCTTCTTTCCCCTTTCCCTTCTAGATAGATAGATAGATAGATAGATAGATAGATAGATAGATAGATAGATAGATAGATAGATAGAAGGATAGATAGATAGATAGATAGATAGATAGAAGGATAGATGTGGCAAACCACTGTATGATGTGAAGTCATAAGGCGTTTTCAACAATTTGATTTAACAGAACATTATTATTTGCAAAAATGAAAATGATTATAAAATTTTAAAAAACGTGTTTGTGGCGAATAATCAGTTCCTTTGTATTAACTGCATTTGAAGAAAGGTATATGATGCCTATTATTACTGAATAAGAACATTTCTAAGTAATGCTACATCAAAATACTTGCTTGGATGAGTCTTGTTTTTGATACAAATATTATTGTGTTGAATTGCACTCACTTACCGAAACCATTTTGGAAAAACTGGGTTTGGTCTTAAAAAGCCTAGAGGTAGCCTTGAAAAGGTCTTGTTGCAAAACAAAACTGATCCATTTTTCTAGTCATGCATTTTTAAGGCTTGCCCCCCCCCCCTTTTTACCAGAACTGAAATTGTTTCGATGTGATAATTCTGAAGAAAATAAAGGTATTGTTTTTTTATCCGACCCTTTGAAAACAATGCCTCGTTTCTTTCCACGCAATTTGAAGAAGCGACATGCAATTGAAATTTTAGGAATTTCAACAATGCGTACATTTTACACCTCGTCTCTAGTATCTACTCTTCCTCATTGTATTGTTATCTGTTTGGTTTACAATCAACAGTGTATTTTCCCGTCTACTTAAAATCTTTTTAACACGATAAAGGGACTGGTAAGGAAAAATAAAAGGGGGTACAGGCTGAAGCCTGAAAATTATAGAAGTTGATCGCGACCAAAATTAATTCTGCCTCGAGGAATTGACATAAAACTGTGTCAAATTTATACAAATCCCAACATTACAAAACTTAATCTCGATATCCAATATGGAAACTATTAAATGAATTGAGTCTTTGCCAGGAACTCACCTTGCCTAATTCTTATATCTTTGCAACCTATGATATTACAAACTATGAATTAAGGATTACAATATTAAAGGGTTACACCATCAGGATATATGGATACATGGATTAGATAATCAGAGTTTGTGGCAAGCACTTAATTTCTTTGAAAATAGCTGCTTAATATAACAACAACAGGATATAGAACCGGAAGTAAATTAATCCGTAAATCTTCATAAGTTTGAGATGAATGCACGTGAGAACTTATATGTTGTGAATCTCGGGATCAGGCATTAATCTCAAGTGCCCATATCGGATTACGAGAGCAAGCGTTCAAGATTAACAATGTCCACATGAAACTTTCGATTACTGATCGTTAACCTCAATAAAATGCGTTAAATTATATTTATCATGATTCTTGAAACAATTTCTTCAACTTTTTGCGCGGTTTCCAAATCGTTTAATTTTGCCATGAAAAGTAGCGAATTAAACTAAAGGAATTGAGTTATTGCAACAGACAAAAATTTCCCAATCCCTGTATCTCTGCAACCTAATAGTATAAACCTTAGATATTTCAAACTTGGATTATTTGTTCTAACAGAATTCATAGTTTGAAATATCAAAGGTCTCCGACATAAGCTCGCAGATATATAGAGATTAGAAAATCAGAGTTTGTGGCAAAAACTCAGTTCCTTTACTTTAAAAAAAAACGATATCTTTGTAACTTCTTTTTTTCCAAACTTTACATATTTTTTGAAAGCTGAAAAGTTTCTTTTTATGATAGATAAATTATTCTTTCCCTTAACACTAATACGTTTTACGGGGTTTATGTCAAATATATTTAAAAATTTGATGTGAACAAAATAAAATTGTGTTTTGGTAACTACATAGAAACAAATTTAAGAAATTAAACTTGATTAGAATTTTATTTGAAACTGTTAATTTCAAAAGAAAAACATTTTAATAAAAGAGATTTAAAACAAAATAAAATATGCAACATATTACTAGTGCAAATCTGCAGCAACAAATGTATAACCTGTTTACAAATCATGCAAGGTGTGAATCACATCTTGAATTGCAAATTTTTTATAAATAGAAAATCCCTTTTTGCCAGCTTTGCAATATTTAATAAGCTATCGTATAAAGGTTTCTTCTACCGATAATTTTAATAACTCTTTTAGTCAAGAATGAATTTTAAGAAACATATTATTAAAAAATTTTCCAGTTGATATCTGAATATTTAATTCTAATATATTTCACCAAAATTTTTTAATGGTATTATTTATAAACCTAAAACATACACCCAGTGTAAAACAACGCTATATTACCCTTTTTTAATCCCTCTGTACTATTGTTACAAACCTCAACCACTGGACAGACGAAGAAAGTAAAATTTATGAGATATTACTGGTCCAACCTTGTGACCTCGTAGCTCATCTAGCTTTTATTTTACACACAAGTGTGAGAAAATAAATTTTTCGGGTTAAATTTCTTCTCAGCAGCAGCTCTTCAATATCAAGAATTATTCTTTAAAACATGAAAGATTTTAATCTTACACATGCTTTTTAGTTTAATCCTAATGAACAAATAAACCTTTGTATTGTTTGATCATGAAGGTGTTCAAGGGACAAATAAACCCTTGTATTGTTTGATCATGAAGGTGTAAACCCTTGTATTGTTTGATCAGTAAGGTGTTCAAGGGACAAATAAACCCTTGTATTGTTTGATCATGAAGGTGTTCAAGGGACAAATAAACCCTTGTATTGTTTGATCATGAAGGTGTCAAGGGACAAATAAACCCTTGTATTGTTTGATCAGTAAGGTGTTCAAGGGACAAATAAACCCTTGTATTGTTTGATCATGAAGGTGTCCATGGGACAAATAAACCCTTGTATTGTTTGATCATGAAGGTGTTCAAGGGACAAATAAACCCATGTATTATTTGATCATGAAGGTGTTCAAGGACGGGAGGAATAATAGCGGCGAGGAATTTACAATTTATGAGTTAAGGTGCCAAACCCTGGTCGATTGACCATGATTGGTGGTTTCAATACACATAGGTTTAAAGGGACAGTGTAGGTGTAATTTCAAGTGACCCTACTGGTAAAGAACATCATGCAATAATTCACAACGATACCCTTTAATCATTTGTCTGAGCATTAATGCGCTTTTCTAGTTTTCTAGATAAAACGTTTTTAAATATCACATTTTCATCAATTGTTTCTGTAGTAAGTATCCGGAACTCACTTGTATGGAAAACCCGCAATTAAAAATAATCAATTTAAAAAAATCATGGATATCTTTTTCGTTGACCAGACCAAGTGTCAGATTGAATTACGCGTACAATCCCATTTATTGAGTTCACATTATGATGGATCTAGTCAACACATATATTTCTGCAAACTCAAAATATGATTTATAAACATTCCATGGAACCAATTTAGTCAAAAGCTATCGAATGGTGACATACTTATAGATTGAAGGGCGTTCACAAGTATTTTTACAGGTAGGTGCAGTTTCAAAAGTGAAAATTATTTTTTAGAGGAACCCTGCGCAGGTTAGGGCATACCCCCCTCCCTTCCCTTCTGTATATGTCCTTGTATGATGTATGAAGTTTACCTTAAAATTATGTTGAAAATTCTTTACCAATCATTGTTAAAATTGCATCTTGCCGTGAACTGACCTGTTCTAATGGACAATCATTGTTAAAATTGCATCCTGCCAAACACTCCCCAGCACCACAGATCTGTCCGAAGGGACAGTTGCTGTCAGATTTACAGCCAGGACGACAGACGTTCTCCTCACAGTATTCACCAGCTGTCAAGCGATCAAATAAAAACCATTGTTTTTACTTTTTACACAACATAATAAAATAAATTGCACATTTTAAATAATAAAATTGAGGATTTATAAAAGTAAATGACATAAAACGATGTTTGATTTTTTTTGAAATCTTACGAAAAGCTGGACCGAGTTAATTTCGATTCCATTTTGAAGGTTAAAATGGCATTTTTGTTACGTTAACAGAGACACCCTGTATATATATCGAAATTGGTCAGATCTCCTGTGTCATGAATTTGTCTGCTAAACTAGCGTATATATTATGTATATCAGCATGATTCGACAATATAATTAGAAATATATAGGTTGGCAGACCATAAAAAGGTCAGATTCGAACCAAGATATTGCGGATGCAAATTGGCATTTAAAATGTAATTCCTGAGTTCATTATATGAATCTTCAATTGTTACATCAAATATTATATATTAAAGGGACTATCTACGTAATTTAATGTGGCACTCTGAGTTATGTCTGATTCACAATGGGCCCTTTTATCTGAACAACAACGAATAATTTTCAGGGATCCAATTCTTTAAATGAAGGTTCCCTTTAAAATTACCATAAAAGGAGTTTGAAAATTGAATAGACATTTTGGTTTTTATTTAATGTTTTCCTAAGCAGTGTGCATCATAGAAACAGATCTTGATACAGACTTTATTAAAAACATTCTCCTTGGACGCGATGCATCTTTCACCTAGCGCACACTCCGTGTCCCCTGAACACACGTCGTCAACATAATTACAAACTGCATTTTCATGCGCAGTCATATCCTTTATGTATTGGAAATACAGGGCATGCACTTAAATTACTTCTTCTATATAAATATATAAAGTAGTAATCATTTGTATGTCCAATCAAATCTCAGGAACCCCGTGGTTTAAAAATTCTTACGTTCCGTGGGTTCACTTATCATTTAACATTATTTAGAATTGGATTTAGAATTGGAAACTTATGTAAATGAAACTAAGACTGTTTGACGAAAATAAAGATTGATTGATTGATTGTGTACCTGTGCATCCCTTTAAACATGCTTCCCGCTCACATGAAAATTGTGCGGGGCATGTTTCATTCCCTGCGCAGCTGAGTGGAGTTCGAACACAACCATGCTGGGGGTCTGGTAACCCGTTCCGAGGAATTCCTGAACATTTTAAAATTTTTATTTTACATCTTTGCCGAAGAAAATATGTGAAATGATAAATTGCCAACTTCAAATGTCTTTTTATGTCTTAGGGATTTTGTTTTGACTATAAGAAAGGTTGTAGTTTTTAGAAAATGCCTCAATTTAGTTATGTATGATTAACTTTTGTATTATTTCACTTGCTTAGTGACTTCAAGTTCCCCATAATATCTGGCATCTTTAATTAATATGGTTTGTTGCTAAATGATGACCAGCTTTTTTGAATTCGATTATGATGTACCATATGCGCTATGCAGCATACGATCTGATTAGAATGCACTGATAATTAAGATGCACATTGCATAGCCTGAACTCACGTTATAAACAAAATATCGAGCAGGCATTATTGAATATAGACACAAATGAGAACTCATTAATGGAATAGCCGAATGAAAACATACATTCGTAAAATTCAATTCATCGCTGCATTGATATCAAGTATTAATTTTCTACCTGAAAACCCAGGAGGACAAGAACAAACTGCATTTGATGCCACTACTGAACATTTGGCGTTAGGACCACATGTTCCTCGGAGGTCACAGGGATTGTAACTAAATAAAATGTTCTGTCAAAAAGATTAGACAATATCAGTAAACATTTAATCGATGATAAACTGTGATGACATTTAGATTAAATGTACATTTGGTTTCTTGCATTGAAAAAATAAACTTTTTTTTTGCTTTTGAGTCTTCACTTTAAGCGCTAGAAGAAGTATGTGTGGGGGGGGGGGGGGGGTTAAATAGATAAGGGATATTACTTACTTTGAGTCAACGTTGTCTATAATAGCATTTTGTTCATCATAGTCCTCGATATCATCAAATCTGAAAGGTAACAACATCTTGGCGTCATGTCTTTGAAATGCATTAAATTGTAAATTGTTTCCTTATTGTACAGTCTCATCTTAACCTTTCAATTCGATCAGTGCAAATCTATTTTATGGCAGTAAATGTGTTACCGTATGGTCACTGTTGGATCGGTGGAAGCCGGAGGTGAGTTGGTGGTCACCTCGATCTTATCGCTCTCCCAAAGGGTAGTTGTATCGGTTTGAATAAGATTAAACTTCTCATCAGAGCCATCAACAGGATCTGGACCTAGATTCAGAATTTGATAATTCCATATAAGCTTAAGATTGATGTCCACATCCATACACAATTAAATCTCAAAATTCAGAAAAAAGTTACCTGAGGATGGTTTCTGTTTTGTTTTATCCATGCTTTCCATCATAAAGTCTGACATTATCTTAAAGCGTTCATCATCCGACATACGCATAGGTGTTGTGTCTATAACTGAAGGCGTAGTGAAGAATGGTTCTATGGTTGATCGTATAAACGGTCTTCGGGTCACTTGGTGTGATATTCCAACAGAATGGCCTTCTGTAGTGATTGGTGTTGTGAAGGGTCCTGGTAGCGGAGTAGAGGTGGAAAAAAAGGTTGGGGAAGTTATTTCTTCGGGTTCAACTGATTCTGTGGTTGTTTCAAAATTTAATCTTCGTTGGAAAGGGCGTGCTGGTCTTATCCTGAAAAAGGAACTAATCAATTAATCAAAAAAGTCCTGTGCTTAATGATGAAAATAAATACTAGTTAACCATTAAAGCCATGACCCCTTGAATTCTCTGTTATTTAGCAACAAGTTTATAAACTCGGTAACACTATAGGAAAAGAGTCATCTCCGAAATTTATGAGCTATTGTCAAACTCTGCTGGGTTATTAAACTAAACATTTTGCATAGTCCTGTTAACAAAACAGATACAAATATCAGCATGTTGAACTTTTCTTAAAGGGATTGTGGACGTATTTTTAAGTGCACAGACAATGATGGAAATATTTATATTTTTCTATATAAGAATTGAGTGGAAACTCGAGTGCTACATGGTCCCTGAAGGAAGGTAATGTTTAGCTGGACCAGACAACAAGTTTAAGGTGGAAATTGGAAGGTGAAAATGAAATTTAGGCTACAGTCCCTTTTAAATGATAATTATAGCAGATTCCTTTGTCGTCTTATTGCCAGATCGGCTAGAATTTAATCCTACCTATTTGGAAATTGTTTGTCGGTGTTAAAAATCCGATTTTTTGTTCCAGGGTTTTCCTCTTTGTCTTCTACTCCTACACTCCTGGATATTATACAAAATAGGTTGTTATCTAAATTCATTTTTCTCCAGGTCTATCTGTCTATCTGTCTATCTGTATATCTATCTATCTGTATATCTATCTGTCTGTCTGTCTGTATGTCTATCTGTATATCTATCTATCTATCTGTCTAACTTTCAATCTTTCAATTTGTCTATCTGTCAATTTGTCTATCTGTCTATCTGTCTATCTGTCTATCTGTCTATCTGTCTATCTGTCTATCTGTCTATCTGTCTATCTGTCTATCTGTCTATCTGTCTATCTGTCTATATGTATCTAAATATCTGTCCATCTTCTAGCTATTTGTCTATCTGTATATCTGCCTGTCTATCTGTCTATATGTCAATTTGTCAATCTCTCAAACTGTTTGTCTGTCTGCCTGTCTATATCTCTATCTGTCCGTCTGTCCATCTTTGAAACTTTATGTCTGTCTTCTGTCTATATCTCTATCTGTCCGTCTGTCTGTCTGACTGTCTTTTACCTCGGTTCCTCGACTAGGTTCTCCACTGGAGATCTCAACGTTGAGACGCGCACCCGGTTACGCGCGAAGCTGTTAATTAGTCCTCGTGGTTCCTTATCCTGGGGCAGGATCACAGGTCCAGGTGTAGACCCATCCTCACTAGAAAGATAGATAGATAGATCGATAGATATATAGATAGATATATAGATAGATAGATAGATAGATAGATAGATAGATAGATAGATAGATAGATTGAAAGAATTGAAAAAAGTTCCATTTCAAAAAAACTATCTCCTTCTTTAATCTCAGAAGGTATACGATAAATGACCCCCCCCCCCTTTTTTTCTGACAAATACTAATGATTTTAATTTTTAAATAATCTTTGTGAAAAAAAAAATAATGCCTGTGTAAGAGAAAAGAGGGGACTGACAAATTAACATAAATTTCCGATGATTTTTTAACCGAGCTGAGAATCTTTAACAATTAGGATTTTAATTTTATTTAGAAAGTTTTGTTTAGAAAATACAAGACAATGCATTTGAAACTGCATTAATTGTTTAAAGGGACTGTACTTTTAAGTGAACTTCTTATTTCCGATTTAGAACGACATTAATTGAAACCTTTGTTTAAGTAATCGTGGAAGATAATTGTCTGATAATGGCTCCATGGGTTTCCATGCGCATTGCGGTATGTCTTTTTTGTAGAAAAACCAAAATTGAAAAAAGCAATATTCAAAATGATAAACATGGATTTCTAATTCAAGAAAATGAGGAAATTGGGGCTCGGATGGAAAAATGATGTTGCCATTCCACCTTTCATAATCCTTCCCCCCCTCGTTTTAAATTTACCTGGAGGGAACAAACTCGGTAGTGTCGTCTTCAACTGGTTTAGTTGTTGTTGATCTTCGTCTAGATAAATACATTTATAGATAAATAAATAAATAAATAAATAAATAAATAGATAAATAGATAAATGAATAAACAGATTCACAAAAAGCTGAAGAGATGAATCGATAGCAGATAACTAAATAAATAGACAACTAGACAACTAGACAACTAGATAACTAGACAACTAGACAANATAGATAGACAGATAGATAGATAGATAGATAGATATATAGATAATTAGCAAGATAGATGGCTAGATAGACAGATAGATAGATAGATAGATAGATATATATATAGATAATTAGCAAGATAGATGGCTAGATAGACAGACAGATAGATAGATAGATAGATAGATAGATATATAGATAATTAGCAAGATAGATGGCTAGATAGACAGATAGATAGATAGATAGATAGATAGATAGATAGATAATTAGCAAGATAGATGGCTAGATAGACTGATAGATAGATAGTTAATGAATGTCAGAATATAATTGCTTGAAGGAAGATTTGGTTTATACCCGACACAACCATAAATGGATATAATTTAGATACAGAAGGAATCAGACAACATCAGATTATTAAACATATATAATATAGTGTGGTGAGAACCAGAAAACTGTGGAACATTGAGACGACATTCAACCAACATTTGAAAGTATATTTGATGTTTTATAAAGTAGATAATTTATTATTAGGTTAAAAATAAATATAAAGTGAGATGTGTCCGAATTTAATTAATTTAAGCCGCGTCTTAAATCCGCCAAAAACCGGTTTCATTTAAGCGCCGGCTTAAATCTTGAAACATTGAATACAATTTAAAGTGAAACTAACCATATTTGAGCGGCGGCTCAAATTTAAGCCGCCGCTTAGATGTGAGAGGGAGGGGGGCAGAGCATTAGATGTGAGATGGAGGGAGGGGGGAGAGTAATTAAGTAAATGTTAGAAGTATTATGAAGCCGAATTCCAGTAGTATGCAATCCGAACTAAGATGATCAATTGTTAGAATTATTTAATTGTTTAATCTATTTAATTATAACTAGGATGAGCTAATGATTGCTGGATAGTTGCAGCACTTCTAAGAAATCTGTAGTTATATTTACTTAAGTGACAATAGGGGACGCTTAAAGTGACTATACGACGGAATTTGAAGTGATGTTTCATTTAAAGTTTAAAATGTCTGATCTATAATGATATCCTTGGATCTGGAAAACAATGAGTAAGATATTTGTAGTTATTTTAACTTTAAAGGAGTTAAATTCTGCAAATTTTCTTTTATGTCCTTTGTTGCAGAAACCCGCAATATAAGAAAAACTTCAAATGAAAATAATCAGACAAAGGTTTGAAGGGTGCCGGTATTTTGAATCAGGATCGAATGTATACAATCTTTAACTAAAGTTAAGTTTATAACTGTTCTTGTTTACAGTGTACCCTAGCGAGCAGATTATTAACTAAAATCTAATCTATTGAACACCTAGCGAGCACATTGTTAACTAAAATCTAACCTATTGAACACCTAGCGAGCACATTATTAACTAAAATCTAACCTATTGAACACCTAGCAAGCCTATTATAAAATAAAATCTAACCAATTAAACACCTAGCAAGCCTATTATAAAATAAAATCTAACCTATTAAACACCTAGCGAGCCTATTATGAACTAAAATCTAACCTATTGAACACCTAGCAAGCCTATTATGAACTAAAATCTAACCTATTAAACAGATCCTTGAGATTACGTATTATTGGCGTGGTAGCAGTATTCTCCACTGTTTGTCCCCGGCCCAGTTCAGGTCTTCTAAAAAATAATTTCCTTTATTTAAATTTTATTTTCCAATTTTTCTGACATTTTAAAAAATTTGTTTATGGTTTCTTGTGTCTTTTCTTTTTAAAAGCAGATTTTTTTGTATTTTTCCGAAAAATTTGTCCAATTGGCATGACGTTTAAAGGGACTGTACGCGTTTTCAAGTGACCCTTTATGCAAAGATGACAATGTCCGATTGACAGCAGTATTCTTAAAACATTTATCTGAATAATGTGGAAGACATTACCGTTTTTCTAACTTGAAAAGTGTTTTCTTCCAATAATTTAATAAAATAAAATACAAACATTTTCCTGCAGAAGTAATATCATTTTTGTAGTTTACACACAATTGAAAATAATCAGTTTTCAAAATTATAAATATTGATATCTAATTCAGACTTCATCAGAAAAAGCTTGTAAGGGTATCGTTGTGAATGGTGCTTTGCCATCTTTGGATGGAGATCCACTTGAAATTACGCTTATAGTCCCTTTATATACCTTGGTCTAAAATTAGGACGTTTTCTCAGATTGAAAAGAGATTTTCTTTTTGCTGTTGGATTTATATCATTCTCAGTGTTAATATCTTGAGAGATATCATCAGGAGATATTGTAGCTTCTTCATCAGAAGGAAGGATAGATACATCTGTAGTATCAGATTCAGTGTCAGCACTGTTAATTGATACTGTGGGTGTTGTTATGTCACTGGAAATTTGTTCAGTACTGGATATCGAAGTAGCACTGGGGTTGGTTTCTATACTGGATATTGAGGTATCTCTAGGGATATTTTCAAAGGAAACTCTGGATATTGTTGTATCCCTAGGAGTAGGTTCAGTTGTTAAAGCTGAAAGAAGAAGCTGAAAGTTTGAAACACCTGAACCAAATATTACAAATCTTGATTTATGATCAGAAGACATTATCGAAAAGGATGGGATAGCAAATCTCAGTGATTGGCAGTAAGTATATATATATATATATATATATATATGTATGCATGCATGATAAAAAGGAAGGTTATCAGGGTGGGGCTCGAAACCTTTAATTCGTCACAAATTGTTATGTGATGATGAGACAAGCTTCTATTAATCAGGGGATGGGTGTGGATAGGTCGGCATAAAACAGAAAAAGAAACTATGATTAACTAAAGGGTAAAATATGGATCCCAAACAAAGTTAAAATGATTAAAGTATTCCTCATGATGCTTTTTAAAAATAATTTTTAGATCCATGTTATTTTGTTATTTGTTAAATTTGAACGTCTTGTTAAAGGGATTGTAGATGTGAATTTAAGTGACCCTGGCAGATCCCGATTTACAAAGGAACCCTTGAAATCTTAATCTGATCAAAAATGTAGTCATCACAGAAAATTGTTTAATCCTGATATTTTCTCTTTTGTTTCTTAAAAGCAAATAATGTACAATTGTCACTTTTGAATAAAAACAGCAAATAATTCTTGATGAGACAAAGTTTTTAAGGATACTGCTGTAAATTGGGCATTGCCATCTTTGCATAGAGGGTCACTTGAAATTAAGTTATTAATTGATTATGATTTTGATCGTTGATTGCTCACAAAGAGATGTTTTAAAATTTTAAAATTGAATCACTGATTTAAAGTTAAAGATTCATAAGGATTTGAATCAGTGGTTCAGGATTTGAACTGCCAGTATATATGTAATTGAACGACCTCACAAATTTGCTTAATTCGGTCCCAGGGTAGTAATTCACAAATACTTCGAAACTAGAAATTATTTTTTTTTATGTTTTTAACTTCAAGATTTGCTTTCCTAAGTCTTCAGGAGTCGGAGTTGTTCGTTGTGGAGGCTCTCTAGGAGGTATAGTAGAACCCAACTCTTCAGCTCCAGGCCCCAGCTCACTAGGATCATTTATTCCAAGTCTTATCTCGCTAGGATCAGCTGCTACAGATGTCAACTCACTTGACCGGGTTGTTCCAGGTATCAATGGACCCGAAGATATATCTCTAGGTACTGAGGTTGTCACCTCAATATCCTCCAGGGAAAAAGAGGAGGAAAATAATGAGGATCGGGAAGGAAAAGAAAAAGGTCTAGAGGATGGGGTTGAGGACAGGGTTGAGGAGGGGGTTGAGGATGAAAGGAGCGTTAAAGGATCGTCAGTGCTAAAACAGAGCAGATTAAACATATCTATTAATCAGTGCCAACTTAATTTTAAGTGCTCCTTCTATTAAGAAAGATTTTGACAACCACTACTCTGTGCACAGTCAAAAACTGCTTGTTTTCTATTTTAGATTGTGAATAGGATTACATGGAAAAGATAATTGTTTATAACACTTTTTGAAAATTGATTACCTTTCACACTTGCCCCCTAAAATACCTCAAAGTGATGTTTGATCAACTCTATTGATAGTGTATATATAAAGTCACTTACCTTTGTTCTTCCTCCTCCTTCACTTCCTCGTGATCTGCTTTCTCCTCCTGCTCCACTTTCTCCTCCTGCTCCGCTTTCTCCTCCTGCTCCGATTTCTCCTCCTGCTCCGCTTCACTATTTTCATTTCTGTCGGACTGAGTTTTGCGTTCTGAGAATCTATCTCTGAAAGCTGAGCTCCGGTCTTTAAACCGTTCTCTTAGACTGGAAACATGATCACGAGGAGAACTGGGGGTTGTGAAACCTGTCTCAGGGGTATTATCTTCATCCTCCAGGGGTGGAGAAAGGGTTGAGGAAAAGGGGAGTCTGGTGGGGACAGTGAATCTCGGGATTCTAGGAGTTGTTGATCGGACATCTGAAAACAGGAAAAATATCAAGAAATGGACATTGAATTCACGACAAATCTAGGCATGAAAGGACAAAAACAAAATTAAGTAACTGAGTTTTTGTCACAAACTCTGATTTTCTAATCCTTTTATCGATGTCAATAACCTTTGATATTTCAAAATATGAATTCTGTGAGATCAAATTTAGTCTTTATTTGAAATATCAAAGGTTTACTCCAACAGGTTGAACAGGTTAGAAAATTTTCATTTGTGGCAAAGGCTCATTTCATTTCCTTTGACAACTGTGTTTACAAAACTGTAGTACAAGATTTTGAAGTATTTTAGCATCAGTAACAGTTTAACTTTCATAAAAATTTCAAAGAAACTTAATTTTGCCATCTTAATTGTAACCCTTATATCTTTGCAAACTGATTGTGTATACCTTTGATATTTCGAGTTTAGACAATTTGAGCTAACAGAATTTATATTTTGACATACCAGAGGTCTACGACATTGGGTTGAAAAGATATAGAGATTGAAAAATTAGAGTTTGTGGCAAAAACTCATTTCCTTTATAATAATAGAAAAGTGCTGTAATTGTATGGAAAGTGACACAAACTCTTCATATCTTTAAAAAATTATAGGGATATAATCTTTGTTTTACTTCATAAATCATACCATTTATTGTTGAACTCGGATTTTTTCTGGTGAGATTGAGTCGGGGCCGGAATGGAAATTTTCTGATGTTTACTTCTTCCTGTTCGTCTTGTTCATCCTCATCAAGCTTATTCTTGTTCCTATTGAATAATGAGATTCTATTTCTGCTTGGTTTAAACAGATTCAATCTCTTGTCATTCTCATTTTCATCTTGTTCATTCTCATTTTCCTCTTGTTCATTCTCATTTTTATCTTGTTCATTCTCATTTTTCTCTTGTTCATTCTCATTTTTATCTTGTTCATTCTCATTTTCCACTCCTCCATTTTCACTTTCGAGATCTTCTTTGACTTTCTCTTCTTCAACCTCCACTTCACTGTTTCTCTCCGCTTCGAGTTCTTCAGATTTCTCAGATACATTCAGTTCTTCAGGTTGCTCTGATTCTGTATCATCTCCAGGTTCAGTTGATTCATCTTCAGGGTCAGAAGGTGCTTCTGATTCTTCTTCATCAGCAAGTTCTTCAGATTTCTCAGTTTCTACTTTTAGTGTAATTTCTTCAGATGTTAAAGAATCCTCATTAGCTGTTTCAGAACTAATTAGAATAGGTAAATGGGTAGCATCTTCAGCTAATACTGTTCCAATGGCTGTAAAAGTTGTAGCTGTTGCTGCTGTAGACACTGCTGGTGTGCTTGATGAATCTGTCCAACTGGTTGCTAGCGAATGATTGAATCCTAGATGAATTGGCTCCAAATTATCCAGAGGAACTTCCACAAGTGGAACGTGAGTAAATGTGTTCTCAAACATATCATCAACTGTTACAGATTTCATCGTTGTTATCTGCTCGGGTGTATCCGTCTGCGGGGTTGAAATATCTTCAATGTTTCCTTGTCGCGTTTTATCCATGATAAACCCATTCACCACAGTCGTTTCATCTGCAATCAAATTCATTTAATCATCAGACAATTGACGAAAAATTGAAAAACGATGCAAATTCCAATAAATTCCAATTGGCCAATTTAATTTATTCATCCAGAGCAGACACAATTCCATGTTATTGATGCAAACTTATCAAAGTCAGTGTTTATGCATTATACAAGGGGGTTTCCATTAAACACAGATGAAGGAATAATATTTTTTCATTATATCTTATCACATTATTAAATTATATTGTAATTTCTTTGTAATTTAGAACAAACTGTCTGTAATTTAAAACAAAATATCGAGTAGATAAATTATCTTTTGTTTGTTTTCGTCTAATACTCTTTTGGATTTGGATTTAAATGTTGACATAAAAGTTGAAAGTTTTTTTATATTTTAAATGATTTAGTATTGTATATAATGATGCTAAAAAGGGGGGGATATTAGATGTTATAATCAACCCCCTCTTATCCGGACTAGGAAAGGGATTTTAATTTAAAAAAACATAAGATTGAAAATACTATTCATAAAATCCTTTTCTAATTAGAGTTCATTTTATACATTTCTTTAAATGTGTACACCTATTTAAAAAGGAATTGATTACTCTCATTTAATTTTCTGATTCTTATATTTTTGCAACTTGATGATTGATGATAGTTTTGCCAGAACAAATAATCAAGTTTATCAATGGTTTACAGCATCAGGTTGCAAAATTATAGGGACAAGAACATTAGAGTATGCAGTTCGTTGATAGGTTCAAAATACCTTCGAGCATTTTTCCATCTGTCGAGGTGATGCTAGTTGTCGCCTCGGTTAAGCTAGCCTCTGTCGTCATTGGCGGAGGCTTTGTCGAATCCATGTTGCTCGACATGCTCGACATAACTCGAACCACGGTAAAGTCGACATTTTCGTCAAGTTCTGCTTTGATCCTCTTGATATCGTTTTCTTTTCTTTTTTCCTCTTTTGTTTTCTCCTTCTTTTCTCCTCTTTCCTCGGGGAAGAAATTGTTTTGGAATCCAAATCCTTTTCCTGTAAATATTTGATATTTTATTAAAAAGGTTTGACAAGGGGGGAGGGTTTGTTTACAGTAAACAAGAAGGTTTTGTTTACAGTAAACAAGAAGGTTTTGTTTACAGTAAACAAGAAGGTATTGTTTACAGTAAACAAGAAGGTATTGTTTACAGTAAACAAGAAGGTTTTGTTTATAGTAAACAAGAAGGTTTTGTTTACAGTAAACAAGAAGGTTTTGTTTACAGTAAACAAAAAGGTTTTATTTACAGTAAACAAGAAGGTTTTGTTTAAAGTAAACAAGAAGGTTTTGTTTATAGTAAACAAGAAGGTTTTGTTTATAGAAAACAAGAAGGTTTTGTTTATAGAAAACAAGAAGGTTTTGTTTATAGTAAACAAGAAGGTTTTGTTTATAGTAAACAAGAAGATTTTGTTTACAGTAAACAAGAAGGTCTCGACTGATATTTCGTTATCTCTTATTTTCATCCCCATTAACATGTTAAGGAATTGAGTCTTTTTCACAAACTCAAATTTTAATCCATATACCTTTGTAATTGTAATTCAATTTCATAGACCTTAGATATTTGAATCTATTAATTCTGATAGGTTAAATAATCTAAGTTTGAAATATCAAATGTTTACACCATCAGGTTGCAAAGATATAGGAATTAATAAATTTGAGCGTGTGGGAAAAACTCAAATCCTTTCGAAAATTACTTGTTTGTTTTTGCTAATTTATTTTTTTGCCATTATGTATTTAAATCCATGTCTACTTGTGTAACGACCTTTGAAAGGGAGAATTATGTAAACCTTGTTTCTTCTTGAAAAAGCAGATACAACATTTTCACCATTATGTATGTATTTAAATCCATGTCTACTTGTGTAACGACCTTTGAAAGGGAGAATTATGTGAACCTTGTTTCTTCTTAAAAAAGCAGATACAACAACATTTTGGATTTGGGTTGATTATTTTAATTCTAATAAAATATTTTAAAAGTTAAACATTCTGATTTTAAAAGTTTTTATTTAAAATTCTCACCGATTGATCTTGGCTGCTCTGCTAGATTGGGTATATCTATTGTTATCACTCGATCCTTCGCCATATCTTCTTCTTTTTCTTCCATTTCTTCTCTCTCAACACCTACAAGAAAATTCAAATTTTCAACATTAAAAACTCTTAATTTCCTATTTTTAGACTAAAAAACCTTGAAAGATTGTTTGTTTTCTCTGAAATTGTTTTTATAAAACAAAAATAAATGTTTACTTTCTATATTTGGTACTGCAGTCATAACTTGAAAATCCTCCAGCACTGAAGGAGGTATAGTCACTGGATCCACGTTTACAATCTCATTCTCTTCGGAATCTATTTAAGAATAATTTTTAATTTTAAGTGTATTGTTTATGTTTATGTTTATGTTGGGAACTTTTGATGTTGGATACTCATAATCCCGATCACTTGATCCCGATATCCACTGAAGGCACTTTTAATTTGAGTCACTGCGGATATCTCTGCAGGTTAAAAAAAATATTGAGATTAAGCATTGATTGTGAATGATAATTCAAAAAATATTTTTACTTTGTGTAAAATAAATGTATATCATTAAACAAACCAAATAACTTTGGATATTAAGTAATTAAATTATATAACAATTAATCTATGGATATCTATCAAACAATATATCATGGAAATCAACAAACTCTATCAAACAATATATCATAGATATCAATAAACTCCATGAAACAATATATCATAGATATCAATTAACTCCATCAAACAATATATCATGGAAATCAACAAACTCTATCAAACAATATATCATAGATATCAACAAACTCTTTCAAACAATATATCATAGATATCAATAAACTCCATCAAACAATTTATCTATTGATATGAATTAACTCAAGCTATTAAAAAGCTGTCCGTGGATATTCATTTATTATGGTATTGATGCAGTGTATATCAGTGGATATCAATTAGCTGAAGCAATACAACAGTATATCCATATATCTGGAGGATTTATGGGTTAACGTTCTGCGCATTTCCTGAACTGTAATTTGGCCGAGGTTCCCAATTTGTCTGAATCCAAGCTAACAAACGATCGTGAACTGCAGAGTGCGGGTGTCTTAAAACATTTCAATTTTCAAACTCGAAATTGCAACAGATTAAAAAGATTTAAATTTAATGCTCTTTACAAGAATTATCCCAATATTTTTTTCAGAATGATTTTTTTCTAATAAATTCGACATTTTGTTTTTACATTTTGTGCAATTTTATGCATTCGCTGGAGACGACAAATAAGACATTTGTGTCTATTTGATGTTTTTATACATTAGAAAGTTTTACTACCAAATCAAAAATTAAGCTTCTTGAGTGAAATTGGTCTGACATTCCACAATTGCTATTATGTTCCTTGTTCATTGGGCTATTTAATATAATAATATTTTACTGGATCCAACTATGTATCTATTGGGGTTAATGGGATTCCTAATATTTAAACAGAAGAAATTTCTTTGATGAGGAATTTTTATAAATTATTGACAAGCAATAATGAAGGGAAGAAGTTGAGGAGGTACGTGTAATTTCAACTGTTTGATTCACCCTCCACGCAAATGTGGCAATGCCCGATTCACAACGGTGCCTTTAAAAGCTTTGTCTGATCAAGACAAAATTAGATATATTGAATTGCTATAATTTAGAAAATTGATTATTTTTAATTGAAGATACTCTCCAAAAATTACTTTTCCTACTCCAGGAATATGTAAAGGAATTATCAGAGTTAAACCTTCTTAAACCTATAAAAACAGAAATATCTTCCACATTATTGATCACATAAAGGTTTCAAGGGTACCGTTGTGAATCGGGTATTGCCATCTTAAAATTACGTTTACAGTCCCTTTAAGAAAAAAACGAACAGAATACATTCCAAAATAAAAAAGGGTCTGAAAGGTTTTATGAAAAGTTCCTGCATGGAGATGATTCGACCAGTTTCTGCCCTTGCTTGGTTAAATGCTTCCAAGGAATGTATATTTAAGGTAAGGGGGAATGCTTCCAAGGAATGTATATTTAAGGTAAGGGGGAATGCTTCCAAGGAATGTATATTTAAGGTAAGGGGGATAAGGTTAGTGTACAAATTTGACGTGCCAAGAACTAGTTTTATCAAAACAATAACAAAGAAGGGAAGAATTGTATATATCTTTTATTTATTTACCTTAAAGCAGTTACTGAGTAGTCCAAATATGTGATATTATGTACAAAAACTCTACACCCCGTACCTTTAGTATACAACCCATGGATGCATCAATATGTTTGCAGATGTAATGACTCAGGCGGTATTAGGGCATGACCCCATATTAATCAGTTGAATCCACTCATCCACCCTCCTTCATCCTACCCAGGAATTTGTTTTATCAGCCGTTGTTTTATTTTGCGTTAAGATCTCTTCTAGATCTGTTTCTGCCCAGTGGACACAGGACAAGGGAAATGTTACGATGTTGCCTTAATCCCCGTTAAGGTCTCCAGAAAATGACCCTTGCTCAATGTCAATTTGATTATGATACTTTGTTGAGACTCTATGCTAAGAAACCCAGAATTTTATAGAAACGTACACTTTTACCTTTTTTACATTATTAAGACTTATTGAAAATAAAAAATCGTTTTAGATTTTCAAAAAAAATAAAGCTGATTGTAAATGGTATGGGGCCCAGGCTTGTATTTTTATAATCAAGCAATCCCTTTTAGTCCAATAGACTTTAAATGAAGAAGAATTTTGTTTAATTACATATGCTTGAATACTTCAACGCTCAAGTATACTACGTGGGGCCCTCAGATTATGGTGGCATACAGTTGAATGATTAGCGACGTATATGTTCAAGCCTGTACGGAAGAGTAAACAAAAATTTCTGAAGAGGCAAGATATTTTTTCAGAAGATTTATTTATTTATCCTAATTATTAGTTATGATCTATACTACAGCCTAATATTTTATTAAAAAGTCTCAGTCGTGTTCACAATTATAATTTAAGCATCATTAACAGTACCAGAGCTGAAAACTTTAGAATGGGATATCCTTAATCTCGAATCGTTAATCAATCATCGAGATTAATACCAAGTGGAGTACAAGCATAATTTAATCTGGAGATTATGAAAAAGAGTGGATCAAGCATTAATCCCGATATCCACCTGCATTCAAAAGTTCCCAGCTCAGTCAAATAAAAAAGTCTATGAAATCACCTTGTGTTATTGTGAGGTAAGCCAGGGTCTCTCCTGTTTCTTCTGTTTTCACCGCCAGCCAATCAGATTCCTGAAAAGAATTTATAAAGTTAAAGGGACTGTAAGCTTAATCTATGATGGCAATTCTTAAACCTTAATCTGATCAAAGATATGAAAGATATCATCGTTTTCCTGGCTCAAGTCGATCGAAAATTTAAAGATTATTTGTCAACATTGAAGTTTCATCTTTTGTTGTTAACCCTGTCTCAGAATAAGATCGATTTGGTTTCAAATTTGCTTTTATTTTTTTCTTTTCTTTACTTTATATACAAAAGTGCAAGTGGAATATTTTGCNAAGACTAAAAAATTTAAATCTATCTATCTCCATATATATCTATATATATCTCTACATATATTTTTTTAAGATAATGAAAAAAAGGATTTTTGAATTTTTCTACTAAAAATCAATAAATAAATAGACATCATGTATCTCTATATATTTATCTATTTTTTTACTTATATAACTTTAAATTCATTTTTTTTAATTTGTTTAACTGTCTCTACCTGTATTGGTGTCTCTTCCTGTCTATCGGTGTCTCTACCTGTTTATCGGCCTCTACCTGTCTATCTGTGTCTCTACCTGTCTATCGGTCTCTACCTGTCTATTATTAGGAAGGATGAGCGTAAAATCTCGACTAGGACCTCCTCCTGAAATTAACATGTTAAGAAACTTTAAAAATTACATTTCTAAAAAATATAGTTTTTTAATTAAGGAAATATAATTGCCTTGTATTCCGGATTCTCCTTGGTTAACCGGGATGATAATTTCCCCCTCGGGTAGATCTAAAATATATATATATATATAGAAGTAGTCTGACATTTCATACAGGGGGTCCCGAAAAAAAGCATGAAAAAAACAGTCTAATTTTACATTGGATTGTATTGCCTTGACCATAGTAAAATCTTTAAATTTAAATATTTTTGAAAACTCATTTTTTCTTGACACCTTGCAGATATACTGTGGGGGAGTTCTAACTGTCTTAAATCAACTCTATCTGTCAATCAAAGGAAGAATTTAGCTTCGAGGATTTTTTACACATTTTGGGTTATTTCAAGGATTTCAAGGATATGGGAGTAATGTGTTTACACGGATATCAATATCTTTATATATATAATATACTTTGTGTGTCTGTCTGTTTGTTGGTTTGTTTGCATCCAATAAACGTCAGAACGGCTCAATCGATCGGGTCCAAATTTTGTGTGGGATATGAGTATGACATGACCCCGAGGGAAGGTTTAAGGATGATCAAAATGAAAAAAATTAGCTTCCAACGAAGGGTAATTTTCATTGAATTTCAAAAATTTACGAAATTTATTTGATAAAATCTGCGAACTTTTTTGTTTTTGTTTTACAAAGGGAAAATGTTCATATTTAAAATAGAAGATGGGCGCGAAGACCCCCAAAAAGCCTTGTTATTATAAATTGGAATTAGTGAAATATGATATGAGTAAATAGGCCGTTCTACCTCTAATGTTTTATTTTTTAAATCTTGTTTTTATTATTTAAGAATAACAATGTAAAAGGTTGTATTTTTTTGGTTTTCATTTAGTTTTCATTGGTGAATTTCCCAAAAAAAAAGAATCAAAATCATTTTACAAAAGTCCAAACAGCTGGGTAAAGTTGCATCCATTTTTAAGACATTGGTCGACTTTACAGTGTTGCGAAACCTTGGACAATTATTTTACATCATTAACTCATTTATACTTTTATTTTTCCTTCCTCGTACAAACTTTGTACCTAAACAAGCACTTTTTTTTAGCTTTTTTTAAGAAGAAATTTGCAAAATTCTTATAGATTTTTTACGTAAGAGTTCGCAACCTTTGGATCCCACTTATAAATAGATTAATAATTGTGATTTATAAGTTTTAAGCGAAGGAAGGATGGATAAATGAATGAATTGATGAATGGATAAGTACACTTATTGATAATAGTAATCATTCCTGTATTTTTGGGTGTACTGCAGGGTTCAGTTTATATCCCTTAGTTCAAAGCAAAGACTTTGTTACCCGAGAAAATGCGTGAAATTAGCGTAGATTTTCTTAGGGTTTCCTCAACTTTTTATTAAACAATTTGGCTTTACGTTTTCTCGATATTATCAGTGCTTCAGACATCCAAGGGTTAAAAGGTCTATTTTTTCTGGAAGGATTTACATTTTTTTTAGGGAATGAACATTTGAAACAGTTATCAATCGAATCAAAAAAATTATTAAATGCACATCAAGGTTTATTAGTATTTTTCTAGGTATACAGATATAACGATAGATATACATCAAGAAGTATTAAATAGAAGGGAAGTACAACTGACGCGGCCCGCCCTACCATATGATTATACATGCTTTGCTGGCGGGTACTCTATTTGTATAAGAAATATTCATGGAATAGGTTATTGTATACGCGGTAATTGTACATCAGACAAATATTTCTTGTTCAAATATAGTACTGTCTGCAAAGCATGTATAATCATATGGTAGGGCAGCCCGCGTCAGTTGTATCTCCCTTCTATTCCATACTCCTTGATATACATAGAGAGATAGATAGATATAGATAAAATATAAAGATATAGTAAGGATAGATATAGAGATATAGTGACGATAGAGTACAGTCTGGACCAGAATGTGACTGGGGTTATTTCGATACATTAAAGCTTCGCAACTAAAAAATGAAAAATAGAAAATACGAAAAAGAAGGAGAATAATCTGACTTTTACTATCGAGACACCTGATTCACTTTGAACTGGATTAATTTAAAAGAAACTCTGAAGGATTGAAGGATCGAAGGATCGAAGTATTGGAGGATTGAAGTATGGAAGTAGTGTAGAATCACAGGACTAAAGATTGAAGGGTAAAATGATTGGAGGATCAAACGATTGAAAGATTGGAGGATCAAAGGATTGAAAGATTGGAGGATCAAAGGGCCGAAAGATTGGAGGATCAAAGGGCCAAAGGGTCGAAAGATTGGAGGATCAAAGGGCCAAAGGGTCGAAAGATTGGAGGATCAAAGGGCCAAAGGGTCGAAAGATCTGGAAAGATTTAAGTATCGGAGGATTGTAGAATCATATAATCAAAAGTTTGAAGGATCGAAGGTGCAAAGGATTGAAGGATTAATAGAACGAAAGATCAAAGGTTCAAAGGATTAAAAGACCAAAGGATCAAAATATACAAGATCGAAAGATCGAAGAATCAAAGGATTGAAAAATTCGTAAGATAAAAGGATCAAAGAATCTAAGGATCAAAGGATTGAAGGAGTAAAAAAGCAAAGGATCAGAGGATCGAAGGATTGAATGATTAAAGAATAGTAGAATTGAAGGATCGAAGAATTGGAGGATCGAAGCATAGAAGGATCGCAGAATGAGTGGAAGTATTAAATTCAAATGAATTAAAAGACTCCGAAGGATTGATCTGGAATCTGTATAGACTAAAAACTATTTGATAAATGGATAAACTCTATATATGGTAAAACTATATTACCCGGGGTAACTCAGTAGCAAAGAGAATAGAATATATATTAGAGAGGACTTTAAAGAATCTCTCGGTATGAATTTTTTCAGTCCCTTTCAGCCTGAAAGGGAGTTCAAAGTGTACAAATCATGTAAATGTTCACAAATTATATGCAGTAGAGTACATTAACACAGTATTTTCTCTAGACTATCCATTTCAATTTCGAATTTTTTAAACTGTTAAATAAACCTTAAAATGAATTAGGTGAATAAAAACCATCATTTGATTTATAGTTATAACGGAAAATCATCGTTTGTAAAGTGAATGGCATAGAGTCTATGTGAAATGATCATTGGTCAATTATGGAACCAGCCTATTTCATAATTTGGTTTTCTTTTAAATTTAATTTTACATTTTCTATAAAATGATATTCCAGGGCCCAAAAGGTTATATTGCATAAATATGTGAAGTACACCTGCATTATGGAAACAGTACAACAAATTGGCCGTTTTACACTTTTTTCTAGTAAATTCCCCTCTAATATATATTATATTCTCTTTGCTCAGTAGGGACCAATTAATATACACTTGGAACTTCTATATGTTTGTTTACATGTAAAGTGTACTGCAGTTTCTGGTGTGAATTTGTTTATATTGCTCCCAGAAACTCCTGTACACTTTTTATGTAAAAAAAATATTGTACAATTGGACAGTGTTATCCACAAAGAATTACACTTTTACGACAACATTTTATACATACCATTCATCAAATTAAATTTTAACCCGTGCAATTTTTAATATTTTTTTAGTCCTAAAAGTAAAGAGCTGCAGGGAACCGTAAACTACCAAAAATTGATTGAATGAATTCCGTATATTTGAAGCTTGTAAGTCTAGAACTTAAAATATGAATAAGAAACAATAATTTGCAAACTGTACGCAATATCAAAAATCTGCTTGATGAAACGAAAAAACAACATGAACAAAGACTAGAATTGGAAAGGCATTAGTGTAAGAGACAGTGGGCCATATGTCTTTTTGTGAATAAGCTAGATAGTTGAGTATTAATAAGCCAAATAGTGAGCCAGAAAGACAGTTAGCTATGATAGTCGGTAATGCAGATAGTTAGATTGACAGTTCCGTAAGCATTAATAAGCCAAATAGTCGTACATAAAGACAGTTAGCTAAGATCGTCGATAATGCAGATAGTTAGATAGACAGTGCCGTAAGTATTAATAAGCCAAAAAGTGAGCCCTAAAGACAGTTAGCTATGATCGTCGATAGTGTAGACTGACAGGGAGCTATGAGTATTAATAAGCCCAATAGTGAGCCATATAGACAGTTAGCTATGACCCTTAATAATAAGGATAGTTAGATAGACAGTGAGCTATGAGTATTTATAAGCCAAATAGTTAGACATATAGACTGTGAGCTGTGACCCGCAATAAAACGGATAGTTAGATAGACAGTGAGCTATGATTATTAATAAGCCAAATAGTGAGCCATATAGACAGTTAGCTATGACCCTTAATAATACTGATAGTTAGATAGACAGTGAGCTATGATTATTAATAAGCCAAATAGTGAGCCATATAGACAGTTAGCTATGACCCTTAATAATACGGATAGTTAGATAGGCAGTGAGCTATGATTATTAATAAGCCAAATAGTGAGCCATGTAGACAGTAAGCTGTGACCCTCAATAAAACGGATAGTTAGATAGACAGTGAGCTATGATTATTAATAAGCCAAATAGTGAGCCATGAAGGGTGAGGGCAGTGACTATCAAAAGACGATCAGATAACATCTCAATCAGCCACAAAGGAACAGTCCTATGAAGGCTAATAGTTGGGGGTGGTTGCATCCAGAATTATCATTAGTATGTACTTGGTTGAGACTACTGTAGAGAACTATTCAGAAACATTTAAATATACCCATTAAAAAATGCTAAATTTATTTTAAAAAAGGATTGCTACAAAAATAATTAAATTTATCGTTTTTGCTTCTGGGCAAAGTAAAATATAAATAATGATGTTTTAAATTGTGCATTTGGCGGATTACCACTAAATGACTTCATTATCTACCCGTTTGAATTTCTAATAATTATTTATTTTATAATTTATTATTATTTTCATTATTGAATTAACCTTAAGATAAAGTTGACCAGAAACTGTAGACGCAGCAGACGATCCATCGTTTAAATCTCCGAGATATAGTCTTCCATCCAATACAGGAGACAATGTTGTATCTAGAAAGATTAATAGATTATAGATAGATAGATAGAAATATGATAAATAGATTTTTTGGTAGATGAAAAGATAGATAAATGGATAGATAGATAGATATGTAGATAGATAGATAGATAGATAGATAGATAGATAGATAGATAGATTAATAGATAGATAGATAGATAGATAGATAGATAGATAGATAGATAGATAGATAGATAGATAGATAGATAAATAGATAGATAGATAGATAGATAGATAGATAGATAGATAGATAGATAGATAGATAGATAGATAGATAGATAGATAGATAGATAGATAGATAGATAAATGGTTAATTTGATCGATATTCATTTTGTGAAACTGATTTCTCGAGATGATGATGAACTTGATTGATAGATTTGTCATCATGTCGACTATATGTCAACAGTGTACAATCAAATGTCAACATAAACATGCTCTTCTAGACAATGGGGGGAAGAAACAATTGAGGGGGGGGGGCTACCCCCGAACTAACCAGGGCGAGATGCATTCAGTTTCTTCTATTTGAATTTAATCACGTGTTCGTTCAAATAATTCAATTGTAAACTTAAGGAGTTGTCTTTTAATACGTTTTCGTTTAACACGCATATAACGACAAAAAAATATGTTTAAGTCCAAATTGGGTTCGAAAGTGTCAGTGGGCTTACTTGTTTAAGGACCGAACGCTAACTATGCGTGATTGAAATTAAATTAAAATATAAATCATTTTAAAATGAATGAGGGAGAAAAAAATGAGAAGAAATAAAACAAATCTAATCAGTTTTTAATTATTCGTTAAACTTGATTTTTGTCTTGTTTAATGTTTATAGTTCCTGTTTAGCAAGCTTTATGGATAATTAACTTTAGTATGCACAATTGTATTTCAATGGCGAATGAAAATGAAAAAAGTAAAATTGTTCTTTGATTTCAAGATACACAAAACTTAATCCTTTAAGGATTAAAGGGGGGGCATGTGCCCCCTCACATTTACGCCCCCTTCCGTAGAAAAGGTGCAATGCATTTTCTTTAAATCATTAAAATTAAAAAAGATTTTTTTTAAATCATCGAAAAATACTTAACAAAAACCTACGCATTATTTTTTCCAAAATGAAACAAAAATTATAAAGGGAAAATCCGCTGTTTTAAAACCAAAATTTTAAAATAAATGTTAACACACTCTTTCAGAAATAATTATTACAGCTATTTTTATATACATTTAAACAGTAATAAAACTATTAAATGTAAAACTGAAGGATTTTGTCAGACACACCATTCAACAAACAAACATAACTTCTTTAACAATCTTTTTCAGGTTCTTTAACAATAAAGATTCAAGTATTTACGCTGAATAAAAACGCCAAAAAAGGCGTATATGCGTAACTGACAGGGGGGATGCAATGCTAAATTGAAGGAAGGTGAAGGGGGTGTTAAATTTTTATTACAAAGCAAAATATGGGAGTGGGTGGGAAATGGGGAGTGGAGAGGGAAGGGGAAGGGGGGAGGGGGCTGCATTGAGTATTTCAAGTAGGCAAGGCAACTTCTTAAGCATTCACACGTGAGTAAGTTTCTATGAAGATTGGAAGGTTTAATGTAAAAAAGATTGGAAGGTTTAATGTAAAGAAGATTGGAAAGTTTAATGTAAATAAGATTGGAAGGTTTAATGTGAAGAAGATTGGAAGGTTTAATGTAAAGAAGATTGGAAGGTTTAATGTAAAGAAGATTGGAAGGTTTAATGTAAAGAAGATTAGAAGGTTAAAGTAAAGAAGATTGGAAGGTTTAATGTAAAGAAGATTGGAAGGTTAAAGTAAAGAAGATTGGAAGATGTAATGTAAAGAAGATTGGAAGGTTTAATGTAAAGAAAATTCAAAGGTTTAATGTAAAGAAGATTGGAAGGTTTAAAGTAAAGAATATTTGAAGGTTTAATGTAAAGAAAATTCAAAGGTTTAATGTAAAGAAGATTGGAAGGTTTAAATTAAAGAAAATCGGAAGGTTTAATGTAAAGAACATTGGAAGGTGTAATGTAAAGAAGATTGGAAGGTTTAAAGTAAAGAATATTGGAAGGTTTAATATAAAGAAGATTGGAAAGTTTAAAGTAAAGAACATTGGAAGGTTTAATGTAAAGAAGATTGGAAGGTTTAAAGTAAAGAAGATTGGAAGGTTTAAAGTAAAGAATATTTGAAGGTTTAATGTAAAGAATATTTGAAGGTTTAAAGTAAAGAAGATTGGAAGGTTTAATGTAAAGAATATTTGAAGGTTTAAAGTAAAGAAGATTGGTAGGTTTAATATAAAGAATATTTGAAGGTTTAAAGAAAAGAAGATTGGAAAGTTTAAAGTAAAGAAGATTGGAAGGTTTAATGTAAAGAACATAGGAAGGTTTAATGTAAAGAAGATTGGAAGGTTAAAGTAAAGAATATTTGAAGCTTTAATGTAAAGAAGATTGGAAGGTTAAAGTAAAGAAGATTGGAAAGTTTAACGTAAAGAAGATTGGAAGGTTAAAGTAAAGAAGGTTGGAAGGTTAAAGTAACGAATATTTGAAGCTTTAATGTAAAGAATATTTAAAGGCTTAATGTGAAGAAGATTGGAAGGTTAAAGTAAAGAAGATTGGAAAGTTTAATGTAAAGAAGATTGGAAGGTTTAATGTAAAGAAGATTGGAAGGTTTAATGTAAAGAAGACTGGAAGGTTTAATGTAAAGAAGATTGGAAGGTTAAAGTAAAGAATATTTGAAGGCTTGATGTAAAGATTATTGGAAGGTTAAAGTAAAGAAGATTGTAAAGTTTAATGTAAAGAAGATTGGAAGGTTTAATGTAAAGAAGATTGGGAGGTTAAAGTAAAGAATATTGGAAGGTTTAACGTAAAGAAGATTGGAAGGTTTAAAGTAAAGAACATTGGAAGGTTTAAAGTAAAGAACATTGGAAGGTTTAATGTAAAGAAGATTGGAAGGTTTAAGCTAAAGAAGATTGGAAGGTTTAAAGTAAAGAAGATCGGAAGGTTTAAAGTAAAGAACATTGGAAGGTTTAATGTAAAGAAGATTGGAAGGTTTAAGGTAAAGAAGATTGGAAGGTTTAAAGTAAAGAAGATTGGAAGGTTTAAAGTAAAGAACATTGAAAGGTTTAAAGTAAAGAAGATTGGATGGTTAAAAGTATGCGTATTTCTGAGGGTTAGAAGCAAAGAAATGGGAAGGTTTTAAAGAAAAGAAGATGGGAAGGTTTCAGAGAAGATTTAAAGAAAAGATAGGAAGGTTTAAGGAAACAATAGGATGAGGAGGTTTGAAAGTTGATTTAAACAAAAGATATGGGAAGGTTTAAGGAACCTAAGATGGGAAGGTTTAACGTAAAGAAGCTTGGAAGGTTGGAGAGAAGATATAAAAAACACTATGGGAAGATTTAAGGAAACTAGGATGGTAAGGTTTGAAAGTTGATTTTAAGAAGGTATGGGAAGGTCTGACGGTTGATTTGAAGGTTATAAAAGGGAAGTATAAGGGAGTATAAAATCCAATAAAACAAATTGTATTGTTTTTATTGCATTCTTAGTTAACATTATACTTTAAGTTATTTACATCAACAATTTTACCAAAAATACACTGATTCTCTGAATAAAGGGTTAGCTCAGAAAAGTAGTGGGTTTAAAGGGACAACTGCCAAAATTTGTCATTTGACAAATATAGTTTTCGTTCTAATTAAAAAAATAGTTGGTCACAAGTTATACAAATATAGCCATAGAAAACAAAAGACAATTAGTTCTTGATGATGGGAATTATAGTACAGTGGTCAACGTTAATATAAATACAATAAAGACGACTTTTCAAATTATGTTTTGATTTCTAACAGATTTTTTTACATTAAAGTTTAAAAGTAAAGAAAGAGAAACTGTTAATTGGCATCTTCTCTTTAGTTCCATGTTTATGTTTATCAATGCTATTTGAAACCGTGGTGGTAATAAAAAATTAATAATTGAAAGTTATCTTCATGGTATTGATATATACGACGACGACTTATGTAAATTGTAGAATTGTTTAAGGTAAAATTTGTAAATATCTAAAAGAAGAACGCGGACAAAAGATGAGCTGTTCTATCATAGATTAAATATAGCCTACTTAAGACCATTTCTAAATGTGGGTCCTGCGGGGGAGGGGGGGGGATAGCTTGTAAAAGCATTTGTCAAATAGCTAATATTTTATTTTTTCAGATGATATAATTTTAGAATATTTTTCACAATTTATTGGCCCTCTAACTCTTGCTAAATTGGGTAATGATATTGAATATCATTGCATCTCCTTTCTCCACACAATGAAGCTAAGAGTAAGACCACACAGACCCCTAGAATTGGCTCTGGATCTAATTGAATCGGTTTAATTTAATCTGCTTACCTCTAAAACTGATTGAACAGGTTTAACTTAATCTGTTTACCTCTGGCTCTGAACGGAGGACAGGAGTATAAAGGACAAGGTTGAACCTCTGTTGAATCTCCGGAGCAAGCACCTCCATCTTTCTCCTTCCTGGACACTACTCTATACCTTCAACAAAATATAATGAAAATACCAATATTCGAATTTAATGAATTTAAGCTGCATCTAAAATCTCCCAAAAACCGGTTTCAATTGAGCGCCAGCTTAAATCTTGAAAAATTTAATACAATTTTAAGAGGAACCAACAAAATTTGAACCGCGGCTTAAATTTAAATCGCGGCTCATATTCATTAAATTCGGACTCTGATTTAATAGATTTGAGCTATGCCACTAAACTACAATCGTCGATTCAAATTTGATCCACCGATTTAAAGTTAAAGATTAAGGAAGAATGTGAATAGCTGATTCAAATTTTGGCAGTTTAAATTTAATTAATTCGATCCTTACATAAGTTTAATTTTTAAACTTTAGAGAAATTCACAGAAATATAATCACTTTTTGATTCAGAAAAACTTGAAGGAATTGCTGTTGTAAACTCAAGAAACCTTCTGTTTAACAGCTTTCACCGATCAAGAATGCATAAGATAACCATATCTAAAATAGATTTTAAATCAAGGAAGAAAAACGACGATATCTCAAACATTATTGATCAGATTAAAGATTAAAAGGAACCGTTGTGATCTTGGCAAACCCCTTTTTAAATGGATGGTCACTTGAACACAGAGCAACAGTTCTCTTAATGGGAGATATTGCAAAAATAGAAAACGTTTCAAATCTTATATTTATAATCTTAAATCGTTCGTCATGTTAACAAACATTCGCGATGGAAAATAAGTAATTGTCTAATTCTTAGTTTTCATAAAAGTTGTAAAACAAAGAAAAGAAAAAATTGATGAATTTTTTACATTTTTTACCTTTTTCTTTCTCCTCCTTCTCCACAACTGATACTGCAGAGAGACCAACTGGACCACTCGCTCCACTCGCATGTATCTGTAGATGATCCTACAATTAGATCTATTTAGAACTTGTTTTAACCGAACTTTTATTTGCAAAAATGTTTCTTCTTAAGACAACTCTTTTCTCATCTAGACAGCAGAATAATTTTTGAAAAGTTTCTTTTTTCATTTAATAATATCATAGATAAAAATCCTCCCCAAAAAAAGATAGAAAACGTCCATAACCGCGGGCAATAAATTTAAAACAATCGACATTAAGTTTTGTCAAAAATATTACTCTACTCAATTTTTTAACAATTGAAAAAACTAAAGTTTGTGACAAAATATCAATTTCTTTAAGTTTGAGTATACTAGTCAGTTTCTTTATTAATTTTCTATCCCCCCCTTTCATCCTCCCTGATAGATCATTTGTAAACTTGACGCTGTTCAGAATATGGTCAAAGGAATTTACTTATCATCTAAGGAAGGGTAAAAACTAGTCAGGGATATAAAGAGAGGACCGGGATATAAAGAAAGGAACTGAACAAGGATATTATAAGAGGAGCGGGGGAAATTTTTTGGAAAACCGTATTTTTTTGGAGCACCGTTTATTTTTCTTCAAAGGAATTGAGTCATTGCAACATGTCGTAGACCTTAGATATTTTAAACAATGAATTCTATTAGATAAGAAATTATAAGTTTGAAATATCAAAGGTCCACACCATCAGATTGCAAAGATATAGGGATCAGACAATGTAGTTTTGTGACAAAGACTCGATTCCTTTTTATCAAAAAATTTAAAATAATAAAAGAAACGAAAAAGGACACAACTTTTGTTTCAGGAAGGACAAAGGGACATGGTGTGAATGAGTTTAATAAAGGTGTTCAATTGTTTGATAATGGTGTTGGTTTCGTGTTTATTTAAGAGTTTAGTTTAAGAGGTTTGAAAAGAAAGGTTGAAGATCTCCTAGAACTATTTCAAGTCACTGTTCGTGTCTCCAGTCAATAGATAAACTAGGAGCATACAATCTTCAGAACAGAGAGGATATATTATAACAGAGAATTTATTTTTCAACCCAGAGATGATATAGTATATCAGAGAAATCATTTTTCAATCCAGAGATGATATATTATATAAGAGAATTCATTTTTCAAACCAGAGATGATATATTATATAAGAGAATTCATTCTTCAGACCAAAGAGGATAATATATTATATATAAAGAATACATTCTTAAACCAGAGAGAATATATTATATAAGAGATTTCAATCTTCAACCCAGAGAGGACATATTACATCAGAGATTTCAAACTTCGACCCACAGAGGACATATTATATCAGAGAATTCAAACTTCAACCCAGAGAGGACATATTATATTAGAGATTTCAATCTTCGACCCAGAGAGGACATGTTATATCAGAGATTTCAATCTTCGACCCACAAAGGACATATTATATCAGAGAATTCAATCTTCGACCCAGAGAGGACATATTATATTAGAGATTTCAATCTTCGACCCAGAGAGGACATATTATATCAGAGATTTCAATCTTCAATCAAGAGAGGAAATCTTATATTAGAGATTTCAATTTTCGACCTAGAGAGGACATATTATATCAGAGACTTCAATTTTCGACCCAGAGAGGACATATTATATCAGAGATTTCAATTTTCGACCTAGAGAGAACATATTATATCAGAGATTTCAATTTTCGACCCAGAGAGGACATATTATATCAGAGATTTCAATTTTCGATCAAGAGAGGACATATTATATCAGAGATTTATATTTTCAGACCAGAGAGAATATTAAATTCAATTTAATTCAATTCAAATTTTATATTTCTGAAGGAACATTAGTATAACAATTTTTAAGATAACATAGCATATTTTATATCAGAATTTCATACTGAGTTCAAAAAAAATATATTTATATAATTCAAGAGTTTAAATTCTTCAAACAGAAAAATCCACAAATCACTTTTATAGAAAAACCAAAATGAAAAATGTCATTTTTTAAGACAGAAAATTGTGAAATCTTTACCATTTTTGTTCGGACGATGGGTTTTATGGGACCTTTGTGAATCGTGAATCTTTAAGTGAAGCGTCACTTAAAATAACGTGGGTATAGTCCCTTTCATATAATTTTCACATGGGGAATACAGTTTTATCTTTTGTGATCTGAGTATGCCTTAAAATAAAAAAATACCATCCAAGGAGCAAAAAAATGTAAGTGACTCAAACTATGTAATAATTCTATCCAAAATGTGGTGTAAAAAGGTTAAATTTAGAATATTCCTGTTCATATGTCTTCAAATTTTATAACAGAATACATCTTCTAGAACACCATAAAAGGACTGGGCTCACAGAATTCCATTTATAATTTTATTTACTTTTTTGTGAAGATGTGATTAAATTCTGGAAAATTCAGAAAAGATGACAGATGAGAAAGATAGGATGGAGATTGTCAGAGGATGGGAGGGAACATCACATATTATAGAGATAGGACAAGAAAGGTAAAGAGTACATATCAGGAGGATCTATGGCTTGTTTGTCCGATTAACAACGGTACCTTATAATCATAGCCTAATCATGCATGAAAAAAAATTACTGCAATTTTCAGAATTTAACACTTTTAAGAGAGAAAAAATAAGATATCTTCCTAGTTGTTACTCAAATAAAGGTTTAAAGGGTACCGTTGTGAATCAAACATATCACTCTATAAATGAAAGAACATTTGCAGCTACGTTATACAGTAACTTGATGTGTTTTTGAACATCTTAATAATAATCACACTGTAAATCCGTGAATTAAAGATTTGAAATAAAGTTTTCTTTAAAAAGATTTTATCAAAGGGTTCTTTTGTAAACAAGAATGAGTTGAGGGGTGGAGGGGAGGTTGGTTTATAGAACTTGGTAGATATTTAGTTGGTTTATAGAGTTTGGTAGACATTTGGTTAGTTTATAGAGTTTGGTAGATATTTGGTTGGTTTATAGAACTTGGTAGATATTAGGTTGGTTTATAGAGTTTGGTTGATATTTGGTTGGTTTAAAGAGTTTGGTAGATATTGGGTTGGTTCATAGAGTTTGGTAGATATTTGGTTGAATCATAGAGTTTGGTAGATATTTGGATGGTTTATAGAACTTGGTAGATATTTAGTTGGTTTATAGAGTTTGGTAGACATTTGGTTAGTTTATAGAGTTTGGTAGATATTTGGTTGGTTTATAGAACTTGGTAGATATTTGGTTGGTTTATAGAGTTTGGCAGATATTTGGTTGGTTTATAGAGTTTGGTAGATATTTGGTTGGTTTATAGAGTTTGGTAGATATTTGGTTAGTTTATAGAGTTTTGTAGATATTTGGTTGGTTTATAAAGTTTGGTATATATTGGGTTGGTTTATAGAGTTTGGTAGATATTTGGTTGGTTTATAGAGTTTGGTGGATATTTGGTTGGTTTATAGAGTTTGGTAGATATTTGGTTGGTTTATAGAAATTGGTAGATATTTGGATAGTTTATAGAGTTTGGTAGATATTTGGTTGGTTTATAGAGTTTGGTAGATATTTGGTTGGTTTATAGAGTTTGGTATATATTTGGTTGGTTTACAAAGTTTGGTAGAAATTCTGTTGGTTAATTTATAGTTGACTGTTGATTTCTTTTTAGGTTGGTCGATTGGGTCGGTGAGTTAAATTGTTAAATTGTTGGATGCTTAGATGATAGGTTAGTTGTAGTGGTGGGGGGGGGGAATGATTGGTTAGTTTTATTGGGATTATTGGTTAGTTGTTCGGTTGGTTAGATAGTTTGTTGCTTAATAATTGATTGGTTGGTTAGATGATTGGTTAAATTGTTAAATGGTTAGTTGGTTTTGTGATTCTTATGTTTATTGAAATTGATTGTATTCCTACAAATTGAATTGACAAGTATACAAGTGTACACTGGTTCTTTTCAACTTTACATTTATACATCTTATGTCTCTCATGTGTTAGCATCTTTTACTACAACTTTCATGGTCAAAAGGCTTGGTCTCAACAATGAAAATAGAGTTGGGCATATTCATATTTTTGTTGGAAGGGTTAATATTTTTAATATATGTAGTTTTCTTACTTAACAAAAAATAAAAATTTTATCGATCATTTACCAACGTAATATTTGACCACTGCACTCTGAGAACATTTGTCAAAGAGAACAGTAAGGAATTGAATGAGTGAATTGCGTATTTATGAATGCAGAAAATATAATGGAAAATTAACAACAACAAAAAACAGAAAACAGGCAATATTATCCTCATTGCTTTAAGGGTACCTCAGTGAATCGTGTATTTAACTCTTTAATTAAAGAGTCAGTTGAAATTAACTCTACAGTCTCTTTAAGGGTACCTCTGTGAATCGTGTATTTAACTCTTTTATTAAAGAGTCAGTTGAAATTAACTCTACAGTCTCTTTAAGAAATCACTTTTTATTAATATTAAGGCCCAGCTCTAACTTCCGCAGGAGAGAGTTTTAAAGGTTTTGTATACTGTCAATTAGCAAGGATTATTTTGCAGTTATTTATCTACTTTATTTCTCAGGTTAAGTGAGACCCATACAACTTTGGAACAGAAAGACGACATTTATGCAATCTAACATGTTTAAGTGCTGTTATAAAACAAAAATTGTGTGCACTGCTGAATTGTAAAATCATAAGTGGAGTCTAACAGGTGTCTACAGGTTCCACACTTTAATTTGATATTTATTTTTATTACTTTCTATTGCTTATTTTCAAGGCTAAAGCTATAAATAAACACTTTACATCATCAAATCTCAATACCCAGGGCTACAAAATTTTTGTTATTATAATTACTAATTGATGCATAAATTTCATAACTTTTTTAACTTTTTAATTTTTATGTGCTTTAATCTCTTACTTCTTCTTTTCCTTTTTGAAATCCCCCTCCCCTCTTTTAATATGGTGCACCCTGTAGGTTTACAAGGACACGTTAATTAACAAGATAAAAAGAAGTTGACTATATTTACATATATATAGTTAGGACGTGCAAGCTGTAAGATTAGGCAGACAAGGGTTTCTAAAG